ACATCTAATCAGTAGGACCTAACTATGCAAGCAACAATATCAACAGCTGATCTTCAAGATTTCCTCACTTTAAGCTCTTGTTTCATATATATTTAGAGGGTAATATAGATTAGGGGGTTGCAAAAGGTAAATTGATAGTTTTTGGGTGTGATTGGCAATAAAACTGCAAAGATTGCTGACTTTTTATTATTAAAGGAACAACTGCAGCAGCATCAATAGGAACAAAAAATGGAAAGACTGCCCTGGACTATCACTGTTGTTGGTAACAGAGATCAATTGTGTCTGCAAGAGATCAAAAGAAGGTAGAAAAGGGTCAGCATGAAAATGAGCTGGAGAGGACTGTCATTTGATGCACCCATCTGTACATAGTACATCCAAGCAGCATAACGGTCACCATATTTAGGGCATCTGGTGCTGAAGAAAACATCCATTTTGGAGAGTTTTTTACTTTCCCCACCCGTTTCCAGCAGTGGGACATGCTTGTGGAGCCAGGGAGGTCTAGGCTAAACTAGTAATGCTGCCATTTCATCATTAGTCAGCTCACAGGGAATTGAGCTGCAAATAAGAATTCACTATCACAGCTTCCCACAAGAAATATCCATGCGTAGCAAGCCTGGATCAAAGTTTGGATTTCTGAGATATAAACAGATTCTTCCCACTCTAGATGTTTGTGATCCAACCTCTAGACCCATCAGAAGCTTATCTGAGAGCGTCTCCTGAGTTGCTTTCCTCATAGCCACCACTGCCACCACACTCTGGCTTTGCTAGGAGGGGACTCTGCAGAGGCCATCTTTATACCGGGGATTGGCAAGGGCAAGAAAACAGCCCATGCAAGTAAACATCATCACGCAGGCAGGCCATGGGAAAACAACCAGTCAGAAAGGGGGCATAATGTACTGTGTTCATGACACCATGCCACATGACAGCTCCCATGATGCAACTTAGTATCGTGTCCATGGAAAAAAATTGTATAAAAGGGAACTTGACTGAGCTCACATGGACAAATTCATCATTTTTAAAGTAAATAACAAATTTAGTTAAGTTCAGCCACCACTAACGCTAGCACAGAAGCAGAAATTTGACAACAGAAGCGTTTTAAAGATTCCCTTTAGGACAAAGTTAAATTGGCCAAGCCCTATATAAATGTACCACGTTCCATGATTGGCAGCGCCCCTGAATGTCTTATGGTGAGTCACATTGAGCTCTTTGCTCAGTGAATGCCCAGACAGATGCTCCAGCCTCACCACAGGCTAGGAGACTTGTACATTTCACACTGCTCTACAGTTCTGTTTCAGACAATTTATGAATGCTACAAACGCATGTCGTTTCTATTACCACTGTTAAGTGGCATAGCTTCTCCCCAGTAATCCTGCAGACTGGTGTTAGATGAGGTTAGTGTTAGTCCTGAAAGAGATCCTTTCCTGCAGAACTGCAAAGGCCAGGACTCTCTCAGGAGTGGAAGCTAACAACAGCTTCCCCTAACCTGGTGCCTTCCTGATGTGTTGGACTGCAACTCCCACAATTCTCAGCTGGTTTAGGATGGGAATTGTGGTCCAACACATTGACAAGGCAGGACTATCACATCAGGTTAGCTACACTGTATCTGTGGTATAGAAGTATTCTAATTCAGTTAATAAAGGTGCAATATAGCTAGTGAGACAATTTAAATCTGGGGACTTTCTCCTTAGAAAGTTTGAAATGCCATGTTTTAAAAATATGCATATGGGCATGAGTTACTGTGCTGGGTTGAAGGCTTATTAAGCTAATCTCTATGTCCATGCAGTGCTCTTGGCAACAGGTAGATATTGTTGCAACACACTCCACTCTTACTCCAGAAATTGTCACTAGGATGCTGCTGCAGCGTTGCGGAAGGACTGGACCATGCCACCCAGCTCCTGGTTGCAAATGCATCCCTAGGTACAGTTGAAATCCATCCCACAGACCCTTTTCTAATGCGGAAAACAGCCTCCAAGTTTAACCAGGGCGAGCCATGTTCTCAGCTGTGTAAATAAAACTGTAGGGGATGATACAAGCAGTCCCAAGGGAAACCATTTTGTGGGCAAGACCTTGTTGCATATTCTGAACAGTGCTGAAAGGTGGTGCCAAGGAAACAAAGTAAGAAATGCCATAGATCCACATCTAGCAACAAAGAAGACCCAAACAGTAAGGCTTACTTATTCTCAATGGATGCTACAAGCATGGCCATTTAAGGGATTAGGCGAAATGCATGCATGCATGCTTAGGGAAGCAGTTATTATAATACAAAGCACATGCCATATATATCATAGAGTGGAAGAGCATTCTTCCTAGTCCTAGATACTGAACATGGGGTTGGGTTATGCTTACTCAAACCAGCAGTGAAGAAAAGACCTAGCATTGAAAACTGGCTTTTAGGACTAGGACCTTGGTCCTCAAATCAAGACATCATCGCCTTAGTTCCACAGTCTGCCTGGTGCCTGGGGGTGCTTGGTCCTAGAGAGGCACACTGCCTCACTCTGGAATACCCTGGTGAGGTCCCACAGCTGCTCAGGCTAGTAGTCACATAGAGAGTCCAACTCTGCAATCTTACCTGGGAAAAAATCCTATTGAACTCGATAGGGCTTACTTTTGATAGGGCTGCATTAGCATTGTACTGTAAGTGAACAAGAATTAATTACATTTGCAAACCTTTCACTGAACTGACATCTGCTCTGGGAAAAGCAGCCATGTAGGGGTTAGATGGAGCTTTTTGAAATTGTAATGGAACATCTTCCTCTTCAGGTGCAGGTTTGTCAATAGGTTGCCTGCTCTACCCAGATGGTTGGGACTCTCCTGAGGTGAAACGCATGTGTGGAGAGAAAACTGACAAATACACCCTGGGAGTGTGCACCGTGCGCTGGGCGTACATCCTTTGCATCATTGGGATCCTTGATGCCCTCATCCTTTCCTTCTTGGCATTTGTGCTTGGCAATCGGCAAGACAATCTCCTTCCATCAGACTTCCAAGTGGAAAATAAAGGTATGCTTACTTTTCTCAGGGCAGGCAAATGACAGGTTTCCCCACCAGTCTCAGGTATCCTAGTAATAGGCAGCATACACTAAGAACAGCCAGGACTATGGAATGGTTTTGCAAGCACAGTGCATAGCATTGAAGCTAAAATCAGCATTCATATGCTATACACTCTGGCTGTCCCCTCAGCTTATTAGAATTACAGCTCAAGCAAGATTCCAAACTTCTTTGAAAGCTTTAGAGTCTTATATAAAGTCTTATTTTTATAACCCACATGTCTTCCATGATGAAACTCAAGGCAGACTTGAGACCTGATTTCTGCATCACTATGTGAATATTTTTGTCTTGCAGAAGAAGGGAATGAATGAAGACAAAGACTGAAGCCATCTCAAGAATAACTGCTTCTGAAAGCCTTTGGCTGAACTGGGTGTACATGCTTGAACTTTTCAACTGGACTCAAGAAGGCTGCCCCCCCCCCCTCTCTCTCTCTCTCTCTCTCACACACACACACACACACACACACACACACACGGAAAGGAACAATAGTGTCATTGATTTTGACACTAATTATCAGTCAGCAGACTATGCTGTGACACAAGGGCAAGGAACCACAAAAAGCTCAGACTGCATTGGTAAAACTGACTTCCTTCCATGGGACTTCAGACTGTAAAAACCAGGTTCAGTGAAAGCACTTGCCAGGGCCTACTGCCAACATCTGCTCCATCTTCCTTTTAAATTTTAATATCTCACACAACTCCCCAGATGCTTCATGGCATGGTGAGAAGCTTCCACTCCCAGATAAGCCCATTACGATGGTGCTTGTTGAGAAGGGCTCACCAGAAGGCAGTTTGTTTGGCACCAAGTGAAGCCCTGGTCCTTCAACTTTTTGAAGAACTATCATAAAGCACATTTTCTTTGGAAATCATAGATCAAGTCTGGGGAGCCTGTAGCCCTCCAGATGTCATTGGATCCTAATTCTCATTAGTCCTAGTTACCCTGTTAGACGGGGCTAGTGGTGTGGAGAGGAGGGTCACAGAGTCCCCAGCCTTACCTTAGATATTATATGCAAAAATCGACATTCCAATGAGTTTTTCAAATGATCCATTCAAACAAGACTGGAAAGCAGGCTAACAAGGTACCAAATAGTCCATGGAAAGTTCTCTCCTCCCTCTTTCTGTATTCATATTGGTATTTTTTAACATAAAAAGACCCTGATGAATAGGACTTTTGCATCCTGTACATTAACCCAGAAAGAAGTATTTAGTTCCCAATCATTTTAAAGCATCCCTTGAGGAGCATATTTCTGAAATATACTTCTCTGAGCAAGGGTTTTCTATCCTGAACTACAAGCTATCTTTGAAGTACCTTTTAGGTTAGATTTTCATGCATCATGACCATGGAATATGAGTTTTGTCCTTTTATTGGAGTCATATGTTGTTTCCCACAAAACAGAGATTAAAGAATTTATTGCAAAAATGAGCCACTCAAAAATGCACAGCTATGTTGGTACCCAAGAACAATGGCTCCGTAGCCAAGCCCCCAACCTTAACTACAAAGTTAGCCTTTTTCCTCTCCTGCCTTTACCCAGTTTTCTTGCAATGATCCTGACTGCTAGATCTAACCACTAATTTTTTCCAGTAAAAGACACACCAAGATAGTGCAGAGCTAAACTAAACTGCCAGTTTTATAAAGGATAATTTACATAGATTATGGTAGTAAAATGACTGATTAATGATGCATTCTGATGTATGCTTTTAATGTCAATGTACCAGCCTAACAGTAAAATCACCATTTGCTGAACTTAGTTACGGGCAACATGTAGTGTTTTCGTTTCTTTCTATCTAGTTATGGAATTGCATCACTTAATTACCACTCCCTTCCCACAATTCAAATCATATCAGTAGTGTTTGTATTTAATTCGAGCTTCTTACTGACACACAGTTTGTTCAGGTAAGAGGTTCTACCATACAAAATTCTAGATGAATACAGACAGCATATCAAAAGTACCTGGGGATTATTTAATAATCTGTTTATTGTGCTGCATTTACAAAGAAAAAAAAAGACAATGCACCCAATAGAAAGAATAAAAATGTATTTTTTCCTTCAGGTTTTAGGCCAACAAAACAAGTACAAATAGGTCCGTGAGCACTTTATGGCAATTTGGAAGTTGAGTGAACCCACTGAGAGCCACAAAATATATAGGTAATTCTGACAAACTACCTCTTGTATTACCCCAGATCTTCTCTTTTAGTGCAAAAGAGGTGGCAGTCTTCGATTCTGGAGGAAACCTAGATTAGAACCAAGAGATGCAGTCCCCATACCTGTGAACATTTTGTTGCTTTCGGGTAGTCAGGATGTTGATGCAAACTAGGTTGCATTGACAATGGAAATTCAATTCTCCCTGCCAGCAAGTTTTCACAGTATTCAAAGAGAAAGTATTATTATACATTCGAGTCCCATCTTAAATCTTTTTATAGACAGGCGCGGAAGTGCTTTTGGGAGGTGAAGATGACACTCCAAATAACAGGAATATCATTAAAACTTTTGGAACTTTTTCCTTTACATCTTTAAGGTTGTGCATAGAGAACCTTACTTACGATCTCCTAAATGGACATGCAGCACAGAGTTTGCTAAAGCCCCAAGACAGGCATCACATGACATCATGGCCAACTTGGAAAGCAAAGGGGATATGATGGCTACACTAACATTTTTTAAAGAAACAAAAATTAAACTGCACCAGATTGTTTTCTTTTTTTGGTGAAAGGCAGGAGTGTTTTAAGATTATAATAATAAACAGAGATTTCTCACACAGAGAAAACACCTGAGAAGAGTGTCTCACTCTGGCAGCTTTTGTATTCAATTGTCCCACACAATGCCTACAGGCTTGAGTTGCTTCAGGAGTTTCCAGCCTTGGAAAATTTTGTAACCTCAAAGGCCTATTTGGTCCATGGTCGGGACAGGCTGTTGGAAATCCCAATGCCTGCAAACCTACCATTAGAGGAGGATGTTTCTGGGGAAGACTAACAAGTATTACATATGTGACAAAATAAAGACACTTACAATAGTCAGTCACAACTGACCCCCCCCCCCCCTCCTAGGAGCTGAACACCTTACACTGCATTCTGTTAAGCAACCATGTTTTCAACTATTCTGAAAAACAGAAACGGACACTTCACCTCTAGGGGGAGGAGGGAATTGGACTATTTTCCACTAGATTATTTGTCCTGATGGTAATACATTACGAAAGAACAATTTCTATTCAGAAAGGTAAATCTTGGAGTCCAGCACCTTGGACAAATTTACATGGAAGATACATTCATCAACCTTTGGAAATGTGGTGGTTCAAAGACTGAGCACATGGTATGGCTGGAAAGATGCCCACTAACACCATCTTTCCTTACTGTAAAAGAATGATATAAATTGTATATCTAGGCTGATAACTAACTGACCCCTACTAAAATGACACTGTCACACAAGGCCAACATAATGGCATAAGGCAGACCAACATGATCTGCCACATGATCAGCCTGCCACATGCTTGGTAATCCTGCTCTTTTTGCAGAATGCACAGCTGGCATGCCACATCCTGCCTGGGGAGGCATGTTGGGCAGGTCTGGCACAGAACAGAAGCAACCTGGCTTCCTTTCTGCAGCCAGCAAATGCATAGACTGTACTGTAGGGACTGTTACCTTCACCAATTCCTGCTTGCTTTCATTTCCCTTGTGAAACTTACTCAAGTTCACGTGTTCTGCCTTTTGAGAGCAGCTGATTTCACTGAATTCGGAAAATCACCTGAACACTGAGGGAACAAGTGGTGCTAAAATATATATTTCATATAAGTTGTTTCGAAAGATTCAATGGCTAAAACTAGGAAAAAATATGTCTGAAAAGAAGAACAAAAACGTTACCGAAGCAGCAGAGCAGACACCAAAGGAATGAGTCAAGTAGAGTTGAGTGCTCCACATGGAGCTACCACCTTGGTGCCATCTGCCATTTCTCCTCTTACTGTCAGCAACTGGATGTGCACTAAGAATATGACTCCTGGAGTCAGTGAGCTAAGGAGGGATTCACAGCTCTTCACATCCCCCTTGGGATGACTGCAATATAGTTAAGGGAGTGTGTCCCAATGGAGATTTCCCCATACTTTCAGGGGAAGGTACTTGAGTAAGGAAGTGGGTTGGGGGATAATTTCACATTCCCATAAAAACTCTTTGGCAAACTCCAATCACAGCAAAACATATTGGACGCCCACTGGCTGACAATAGTCCCTACTGAGTCAAGTACACAAACTCACATGAACAGTTAGATTTATCTAAAATCTCAAAAGCCCTCAAGAAGCTTCACTCTGAAATTTAAGAAGGGAAAAACTGACCCAGGGAAGGGGGGAGCTGGGACATCTAGGTATGTGTATATATATTATGTTGTAAACTCAACTACAAGGTCATGGTGTCAGATTTCAGCTTCTAGGAGTTGAGCCAGGGGTGCCTGAGACACTGTGCTGCTGTAGCTCTCTTCTCGGGATTCAGCTCCAACATAGGTAGCAAGAAGTCTGTGAATGCAGCTGCCTCATCTTGGGCCCATTCGTATTTCTCCACCAAAACTTCAAAAAGGCCCCATGGCTTCAGTTTGGTGATGTGCTTCAGATCACCTGTGGACAATGAAAGGAAGATTAACATGATGGCATTAACACAAACAGGGAAGGGATGCAGGGAAGGAATTGCCTCCTTCTGTTTAGCTGACAGGAACAGCTCCGTTACTGGAATGACACCACTGGATTCAATCTGATAATGAGGAATCCTGCCCTCATCCACAATCCCTCACACTGCTCCAATGACAACTCTGTCATTAAAAGACTAAACAAAAAACATGAGTAAAAATTAGGACAGGATCAAAATTGGACTGAAAAAAAAGAGTAAAAACTATTCCAATTGTCCCTATGCTAGGATATCTCTGATTCTTTCCTCTTACCTTTTTTGGTGAAAAACTCCTTAGAGTATTTTCCAGCCACAATGAGCTTGCGAGGTATTTTCCCAAGGAGTTCGATAATCAATGCAATGTGGTCTGTGTTCCCAGGAGAAAATGAACAAAAAGAACAATGAACAAATTAACCCAAACTGCCCTTTTGTGATCTCGGTTCAGACACTCGGGTCTTCTGAAATGCCTTCTCTATCAAACCAATGCCTCAAAAAAGATCTCTCCATTCAGTGCTGCTGGAAGTTCCTAATATCAATTCTCTGGAGCCTGCTAATATGCTATGTTGCTGGGTTTACCTGTGGTCTGAATCCAGGGAACTTCAGAACAGGTTGTTCCTGGCCCCTGGATTTTTTATTCAGTGTTTTGTTCTTTTATGAGAGGTTGTTTAGTCTGCAGATTGCCCTGATTATCTTTTTAACCTATAAAGCCTGGTACAGCTTATGACCACGATACCTGTCAGAGAGCCTCCCGCAGCTGCAACCTACTCCGACACTACACTCAACACCCAGGCGTTCCTTTGAATGCCCACTCCAAGGGAAGTGTGAATGGTGGCACCAATGGGGAGGGCTTTCTCAGCAGTGCCACCCCCCATCTATGGAAGAACCTCCCTCTTGCAGCCCAGCTGGCACAAAATCTGTCATCTTTATGGCACCAGGTTAAGATGGCTCTCTTTTCTGAGGCTTTTAAAGGTTTACTCAGCCACCCAGGGGCTTGAAGGGGATTTACCAGGTGTTTCGCAGAGTCACTCTTTTGTCATTCCTTGTATTGTGTGTTTTTATCATGTTTTTAGCTGTTTTAAACCTTTTAATTTTTCTGATTTTTCTGAAATTTTTATTGTATTTTTATCATTTATTTTTATGAACTGGGTTAAATAGAGCTTTGGCTATGGTGCAGTATAGAAATGAATAATAAATAAATAACAATAATGCTCTGTTTTTAATAAGAAGGAAACACATACAGCATTATTCCCAATGTAAAGAATTACGTCTACCAGAATGCATTCACCCAATGCACTTGTGCAGAAGGTTGCTGTTATATTTTGCCTCTGTAGCAAAGCTTGAGCTTTGACATACTAAAAGGTGTGATTTAGAACCCCATGATTTATCTCTGTACTTCCTACCATGCATAATTAACAGCAAACTATTCAAAGTTATGTGCAAAATATGGCCACAGAGTGCTGCTTAAACCCACGGAAACAAATGAGTTTACGTATATTTATCTTTGCGTTGAAATGTGGGCTGTGGTGTTCCACAAAGATTAATGTTGAACTAGGGGTGGATAAATCTATATTCAGTCCATATCACCTTTGCATGTTTTTACCCATAATTCTGCCCCATATTAATCTGCTTTTAAAAAAACCCACTTCTCAGCACGTGTATTTAAAGCATACATGGATATACTTAAGCGATCCAGAATTCTCTAATACCATTAGCAGAAGTGTGCAATCTGGTCTTTGAAGCCCAATTTTTTTAACCTGCTTCAGTGATCCCCAAATAAACTTAGGAAAACCCAGGAGATAAAATTCAGTTACTTAACTCTGTTTTAACTCCCTCTGCATTCTCATACCCTTTAATTTGTAGTAGTTTAGAAGAATCTGTTGCTAGTTCTCACCTTCATCCCGTGAGTAGTCTTCACCAGAGTGAGGTTCAAACAGATAGTCACCTGTAGCTAGCTCAAAGGCCTGAACAAGAAAACAACAGACAACTTATGGGCATTTCATTTGAGAACAGTCAGAAAATGTTACAACTGCAATCCTAATTGTATATTATCCTGTAAGGTAAGGCTTCCGAAGCTTGGTGTTCTTCTCATGCTGTTTAGGAATGACAGGAGTTGTGGTCCCACACATCTGAAGGTTCTCTCGGTCAAGCAGATCTGACTCAAAGCAGTGTCTATATCCAGAAACCATACTTACCCCAAACACAGAAACTGAATATAGACATGACTGGTTGAACTTCGGACCTGAAAGGTACTTCAGGCATTGAGTCTAAAACAAGTGGGACTTACCACATATTCTTGTCTTTGTTACCATGCTGCCATTTTTAAAAAGCTCATCATTTCCATTAAGTGGAAAGCTTTATTTAAACTATTTTCCCATTTAAAACAAGTTTTAGAGTACAAGTATACCTTTCATTGTACAGAAATGAAATTAAGAATAACAACATCAGATTTCAAGGCAGTGCAGAACAAGTCCATCATACTCAAAAACAGCAAAATAGCCAATAAAATATTAAAACAGACTGAGACTTACTCACTTAAGGGCGCAATTCCCTGGCAGCTAGACAGCTATAGGAACATTTGGAACCCCAGCTCAAAAGTTGGAAAAGCACTCTGAGTTTGGAGCTGGTCCCCCAAATTCAGAGTGCCCTCCCATTGGGAGCAATACTTTCCATGTTACTCCGAAAGCTCACAGGTCTCAGTTGCAACTCTGGAGCTGGGGCTGAGATGCAGTGGAGGGAAGGCAAGGAACAAGGCTCTGCCAGGAACGATGAATCCTGATGGTGACTCAGCCCCTCCTCCTCACAAACAGGGGAAAAGCACTTAGCCAAAGCTGCTCTTGCTGTCCATTGGAAGCTTGTAATCCTCCAGGTTTGGAGAGTTACAGGTAGTCCCACCAGATGACACCCTAAATCAGTTCACTATGATTTAACAAAATATGGTGCAGGTCAGCAATTCCTACAGAATTCTAAAATCAACATCTGAAAGAATATGATTGAACTTACCATGCAGGCTGTGCTCCAAATATCAGCTGGGGTGCTATACCCTGCTCCAATCAGTACTTCCAAGGATCGGTACTGTCTTGTCTGGATGTCCTCAGTGAAGTGTTTATGCTGCAGAAAAAAAGTGATATTGTGTTGCTACCAAAGACAGATATGCACATGAATGCAACTTCCCGAGTCTTAAGAAACATTAAGATTTATGCTCTTAAAGCCTGACAGCTTCAAGAATACACCCTCAAATGGCCCTCATTTGTTTAATTTGGAACCCAATATTATCGTAACAGGGATGTGGTCTGGCAGGTGTCTTTGAAGAGAGAAGTGTTGGCACCACATCAGAGAAAACCCTGTTCTGCATATAAACACAATCTTGTGCCTCAGGGGAAAAACACTGTGTTCAATGGCATTAGCAGACACCCACATTACTATCAAGGAAACTAGGGATGGAGGCCAGGACCTGCAAGAGTAAACAGCTCTCAGTTATTTGCCATCCTTTAATTTCACTTAATCCACCCTCTTCCATAATCATTTCCCCTTCTATTTTATTAGAGTTCTAACTAGGATGCTGTCCATCACCCAACTGACACCAAACATCAATACATTTCAAGTTACAACCCTTCCCCTCACATTCTATTTTTTTCACCAGCAAAGTTTGGAGTTCATTTCTAAAAAATGAATCACATGAGAAGAAACTTGAAGCAACCTTGTCCCTTCACTCTAAAGCAGGATCATTACAAGAAGGCTACAATCTGCATTTACAGTTCAGCTGTAAGGTTATTATTGTCTGATGGTAGTTGAGTGAAGCAGCTTGAGGGTCATAAACACACCCTGACACCTGAATAGCCAGTCTTAGAGACTGAAGCTGCAAAGTACAGCAGCGAAAGAATGAGTCCAGAAGTGGATGAGAATAAACAGTTTACAAAGTGAAGACTAAAAGTGAGCTAGAAAGCTGTTCTTTCTTCCCTGATGACCCCAAGAAAATCAAGCCTTCTATGAAGAAACCTGAGTGGAACTTCTTAGAACAAGCTGAGTTGAAAGCTGGAGATCAGAAAAATGCACAGTTTAGGTGATCACCATTCTAAATTGCTTGAAAATGAAGTTCCAGTGAGCTCTGGACTTCTGTGTCCCTACTCCTAAACACTAATGTTGGAACAGGCTGAAATCATCTATCCTAAAATTAGAACTGTCTGGATAATAACAGAAAATCCATATTTTCTGGGGTCAGATTCTTTCCCAAATGAGTGTCATATTAATTTTAACAATTAAACAAATATGAAGCAGTAGACTTGAGGCACGCTTCTGAAACATTTTTAATATGATGAAGAATCAATGCACCTCTCATGAAAATAGCACATATCCATCAATATGTGTATTTGCGAGAATGCAATACTGCAGACAAAACTCTGTCCCTTCTCCAAATTGATGGAGTTCCATTTCTGAAACTGGACTAAGCTTCAGAAGCACCTGGAAGCAGCAACACAATGCACTGCTTTCTAAGTGCCTCTGAAGCCAGGCGTGAGCATGAGGAGGAGCTCCTGCCATTATTCCATGCTATGTTTAAATGATCAAAGGTATGATTGCTGGCATTCATATGACTCTTGGTAAACTGGCATTTGTAGAACCCTGTTTTCAGGCTTAAAAGAGCATATATTCACTGGTGCTAACTACAAAAATTAGCATCTTTTGTCATGGGATGGAAACTTACCACCCAGCATGCATTTCCTAAATCAGCAATCTTCACTTTGAGCTTTTCAGCATTCACAGGCTCAAGAGGATTAAGGAGGAAATTTCCAGCAGCAGATTTTCCTAGATACAACATAAATAACAGTTAACTTCATATGGGCAATGCCATCCTGTGTCACACAAATTCTGAAAGCACAATTTGTCATAAGAACACTAGACAAACCTTGACTGGTGTTCCAGCAGTAAATTTACAGTAATGAAGTGGCTCAGGTGCCACAATAAACCATGATTCACACATTCCCCTTCCCCTCTGGTGTGGTCATAAGGAGATCAGAAGCTTTGACTTGCATTTTTTATTAGCTGCAGCTTGCTAGTTGTGTCTGAACCTAATAAACTGTGGATAACCACTGCTTGAAGCAAGCTATCTTCAAACCATGGCTTATTAAACTGGCTTGACTCCAAGAGCTGGGTAGCCTTAGGATACAATCTAACAACCTGCCATTTCCCTTATATGGGGAAAATACAACCTGTCTGGTAAGATGTTTGTAAGATTATGCCAATCATGTGTGTGAGCCCAATAAAAAAGCCTACATATTAACATGAGTACTCTGATATACTCTATAGAACAACTTTTCAGAACAGTATGATTTTTTCTTACATTAACCCACATGCAGTACCTTTATTGTTCTCAGAGGGCCCATTATTTTCATTTTCATCTTCTGAAGGTATTTCTGCCCTGATGCTCTCTTGTAAGTTGCTGATCTGTTGCTCACTGAAATACTGTTCCTCACTTGAAGTTCCCTGGCATACCATTGAATCCAGAACCTCCGAAAGCAAGGGAACACAGGAGTCTGATATTGCTTCTTTTATCTTGTTCTCTGAGCCACCATTACTTTGGCTGTAAGCACAGCTCCCATCCTCTTCCTGTTCCTGAGAAGGACCACTGCAATCGTTGGCATTATGAAGGTCATCTTCAAGTCTCACTGACACTTGGCTCATGGAATCAGTGAAATTAGCCATTTGTACCATTCCATTGCAATTGATTTCTGTTATGCATTTCTCAACCCCCTCCATTAAGATAGTTTGCTCTGATACAAGAGAAATGTCATCTAGACAAAAAAGGGACAAGAAGTCAGAAAGTCTGTGGGACAAGAATAATAATTCAATGTGTTTTATTGTGTGGCGATTACATGCAACAGTGTACCAGTAAAAAAATTACTTAATACCTTAAGTGCTCTGAACATCGGCAAACAATTGTCTAAGCTTAGATGTCCATTGTATCTTATTTTATTGATTTATTATATTTATATCCCACCCCTTTCTTTTTAAAGAACTTAAAGTGGCTTACATAATTCTCCTCCCATTCTCAATCCTTTCCTTACAACAGCCCTGTGAAGTAGGCTGGGCTAAGTGTCTGTGAATGGCCCAAGATCACCCAGTTAGTTCCATGGCTGAGTGGGGACTAGAACCCAGATCTCCCAAGTCTCAGTGCTACACTCTTGACCACTACACTAGTTCTCAGATCTTATGGGAAAATGCTGAGCTAGAGATTAGCAAACTCTTATAGTAACTTATTTAATAAATATCCTACCTTTCTAGCCAAAAAAGCTCTTAAGGTGGCTTGTACACAACATACTCATCCAGGTTTAAGGAAGTTTATCAGTGCTGATTTTAACACTTCCTTGGCTTGAAATGGTAGTATTACCAAGTACATCCAATGCATGTATTTTTTTGGAGATCAATACCTGTCTTTTCTGGTAGCCCTTCATTTGGGGGGCTTTCTTTTAAGAGCAGCTCAAGTGGTCTTGGAACCTCTTGTTGCTCTTCAGGCTGTGGTTCTGGAGGGCTCGCTTCCTTCTCCATCTCCTCAATTTCCTGTATTCGTTTCTCCAGTAGCTCTGCTTGCCGTTTCTGTTTCTTTTTCAATTTCTTTTTCTTATTTTTTGACATTTTGTCAGCCTGCAGGATGAATGCAAATAAGCTGACCCTCAGGCATCCATTGCCTCCTGCATTTACAAATAGTCTAGCAGACACTGTTTCAGAATTTATGAAAGAGCGTTTAAATAAGAGGAAGGAAAGACCTCACCAATCATAAAGATCCAGATGCCAAGTACACACTAGGTAACATTACATTGTGCCAAAGCTAATATAAAGCAATGTTTACATAATGTAAAAATGCATTTTCCTGGGCAGTGAGAATATGTGGTTATCTGAGGCAAAATTGTTTTTTCCTCATGATGCTCGTCATGTTGTGCACTACTGCAATAGCATCAGTGCTAATGTCAGTGGACATATATATGATTGTAGTGCAAGCTCTACTGTGTTCAATGTGGCTTACTCCCAAGTAAGTGGATATAGCATTGCAGCCTTATCCAAGTCTTTCAAAGAGGTTTCAAATCCTCTTGTAATTCTGATGATATTCATAGGGTCTATTAACTGTACAATATAGAAGATTGCCAAATGAAGGCTTTCCAGGGAGACATCTGTCCACCAGATACAAACTCATGCCATCTTCTCAGGTGTTTCATGGTAGAAAGACAGTCAATGGTACAAATTGTTACCAGTGTTTATTTACTCCTTTGTGAATTGCCAATCCTCATTAATAACTGATCATATTTATAATTCACAGATTAAAATAAGAACCTTCAGGCACTGCAGACCAGTACATAAGCATCTATTCTGTTCATGTGAATGGTCCAGAGTATCTCCAAGTCTGTGTTGCACATGATGAAATGTAACAAATGAAACTGCAGTGATTGGGAAAAAAAGTCTGACTGCTCTCAGTTTTACTAAGGCAAAGTAATGCTGCCTATTATCAGCATGGGAAAAAATGAGGTACATATAGCAGCATGCTAAAATTTTAACTCTTGGAACAATGGAGGCTACAAATCTTGATATGCTATTATGTCTTTGGGTGGGAACTTTCCTGCATTATTGGAGCTGCTCTGTAACACAAAGATTGTTCTTGTTCAGCTGTTCAGCCATATCCGACTATAAGTGATCCTATGGGCCAAATCTCGCCATACTTTCCAATCCCATGCCACCTCTTTCAGCTGAACTATGCTCTGGGCTGCATCCTCAGCACAAAAGGTTATGAATATTAAATGCAACATTTAACTCATTTCTAAAAGTAAACTCACACTTACTGGTTTGGGCTGTGGTGCAGTACTGACTGTGAAGAAAGAGAGAAACACAATTAGTATGCTGGCCCTCTAGGTTGCAACAATGATACAGAAGTAGTATACTACTCACATTCTTCTACAGGCAGCAGCACACTACTGCTATTATATGCCTGCACTAAGGAAAAGGAAAAAGAAACCTCTCAACAAGACATCACCAGTTTTCAGTCCATTACAAGGTGGTTATTTATATATTTAAATTCTATGCTATCGAATAGCCAAGGCTGTCTGGGCAGTTTGTAGCAAAAGGTTTAGTTATATATCTAAACACTTCCTGGACATTATAGATGGTGTTCAACACAAAATGTTACTTATGTAAGCAGAAAGAATTCAGTGCACATTTTTATACAGAATGACAATTAGGTCATCTATCCTAAGGGTAGGTAGCTGTTTCCAAAACAAGGGGCATAATTATGTGCAGGAAAGGTGAAGTAGCACCAAGACTGCTAGTGCTTCTATTTAAAGAAAATTTGAGGTTAGTATTTCAGGACTGTGAATTGTTATCCTCAGGCAACAATCTCTCAGTGGGCTGGCTGATCAAACTGTGAAGTGTGCAGGTGGCCATTTGGAAGATTCAGCACCCAACTATGGTTTGTCATATCATGTGCACCTGGGCAGTAGGAGTTGTATGAGGGTTAAACAACTTTTGCATAATCCAACAATGAAACATCTGCAGCCTGGGTTTACATGACAAGCCATGGCTGGGTACTGAATATTCAAATCATGCCTAGTATATGCTTGCACAGCCCACAGCCCACTGTAGTTTAAATAAGCCTCTATAACTTAAAATATGCCAGCTATTCAAGGCTGATAGCCACAGTGGGGGTGTCTTGATTGTGCAAACTAGGTTTCTATGTAGGCAAGGGATTTTGGGTGGCACTGGTTATGCCGCTTGTTTGTCCTCATGAGTGGCCACTATTCATTCCTAGTGATTTCTGAACATCTCTGCACATGCCAAAAAAAGAAAAGAAAGAAAGAAAAAAAGACCACACCATTTCTACAGCAATCCCAGGATGAAATACAGACAAGGAAAGAGTGTGTGTAGTCCACTTCAAGACTATTCAATTTCTGATTAATCCACTGAACATGATTAATTGGATTAATCAATGAATCCATTGATCAATGAATCCACTGATCCACTGAATCCAGTTGGCAGCCCACAAAATAATTTTCTCTGGTCCCTTGTAGCTTTCTCACAATTAAGGGAACAAAAAGGTTGTCAATAGCTGAGGAGTCTAATCACATAGGAGGTATCACGTTATACAGCAAAGTATATTTTTGGTCCCTGGATTCCAGTTTCTAAACCAAGCTGCCCTCCAAGAATATAGGCACAATGTGACATTAAAGGTTTGCTTCTGCAGGGTAACTGGTTCTTTTAGCATATACATGTACCACCCTGGTTGGTCACTGGTTTTCATGTAACCATGATACTGCACAGCATTTTTTTTGAATGGGATGTCTCACAAATGCTATTCCAAACGGGGTACAAAAGGCCACTACCACTAAGCAAGGCTCTTTCAAACCTTGGAAGCTAAGTCTTAAATACAAGAACAGTCAGCCCTTTTTCATGGCACATGAGCAGCATAACTCAGGATTCAGTTTAATTATCTACATTCCTACTCTTTATGATTACCAGAAGAGTATAAAAAACCATGACAGCTGAACCATTAAACTGCTAAGGGAATGTGTGTTACATACGTCCTAGACAGGTCTACAGTAGACATGACTTCAGGGATTCACCAGAAAGATATAGTTAGAACAGAGAAACTGTCTTGTAGCCCAAGAGCTACCTTTATTTGAAAACAGGGAGCTCTGTGGTTGGCTGCTTTGAATGGAAATGTCCCATATTGTTGATTAAAGCTAGCTGACCTTCAGCAGCAAATGTCTACAAATTATCTCTTTTGCTGGGCTTCTAATTTTTAGACAAAAATTTGAATGTTTAACTCTTTTTGCTGCTGTGTGTTTTGGGGAACAAATATTTTGCCAGATGTTTGACAGAAACCAAGGGTAACTTCAGATAATGCTTTTCATTCAGTGTGTGAAATGAAAACAGAATTTTGCAAATGGAAGCTTTCATTAGGCTCTTAACCTGAAAAGAGCCAGGTGTGACTTGGCTGAGTCAGATGACTTGAGTTGGCAATTGTGATAGGGGATAGAAAGAAAGAGGGCAGTGAATACCAAAGGTGGATCACTTCATTTCCATCTGTTGCTACAAAGCACTAATGGCTACTAATGAGTGTTGATACTGGCAGTACTCTCTTCATGGCAGTTACTTTAAACTAGATCCAGCAGCCAAGAATCAAATCCTAGAATTGTTTATCCTAGTAAATGCGTCTATCACAGGAATTGCTCTCAGTGGTGATACTGGGCAAACACTCAAGTCTTAACTGAAGTTACTACAATCATATTTGCACGTATGGAGATCTGAGGGAAGAAATAAAATGTGCAGAGAGGCTAGTCTATACATGATGGAATTCAGCATACATGGACTATGATGATGGTAATAGCACTTGTTTGACCTTATATCAGATTTGCCTTACATGATAGCAAATAATACAATAGTAAAATCACTTAATAGGGTATATAACAATCACATGTAGGAAATAATATTTAAACTCTCTGGAGATTTCAAATGATTTATTTATTTGGAAAACTTCTATGCCACCCCATTCGCAAAAGCCTTGGGGCGGCTTCCAATACAAATAAATACTATACAATTACATTAAACATCTGGAGACATCCCGGGAAGCTGACGAAGGACTGGGGTTATATGAGAACAACGCCCAGTCCCTGTCAGCAACCTGGCAGCTCTGTTTTGCACCAATTGAAGTATCCGGACCGTCTTCAAGGGCAGCCCCACGTAGAGCGTGTTACAGAAATGGGAAGTTACCAATGCATGTGTCACTGTCCCCAGGCAATCGTTCTCCAGATAGGGACGCAGCTGATGGATCAGCCAAAGCTGAAAGAAAGCGCTCCTCGCCACCACTGTCACCTGAGCTTCCAGTGAAAGCTCTGGGTCGAGGAGCACTCCCAAGCTGCGGACCTTGTCCCTAAGAGGAAGTGCAACCCCATTCAGGACAAGGTCCAGGTCCTCCACCCCGAAGTCCGAGCAGCCTACCAACAGGACCTCCGTCTTGTCTGGATTGAGCTTCAGTTTATTGGCCCTCATCCAGCCCATTACCTCGGCCAGGCACCGGTTAAGTACAGCCACTGCCTCACCTGAATTGGTAGAAAACGAGAGGTAGAGCTGGGTATCATCTGTGTACTGATGATTCCGCAGCCCACACCTCCTGATGACCTCTCCCAGCGGTTTCATGTAGATGTTGAATAGCAAGGGGGATAAAATGGATCCCTGCGGAACTCCATGGCATAGCTGCCATGGCGCAGAGCCATAGACCCCCAGCACTACCTTCTGGAATTGGCCATTGAGATAGGAGCAGAACCACTGCAAAGCAGTGCCTCCAACTCCCAATCCCGCTAGCCTATCCAGAAGGATACCATGGTTGATGGTATTGAAAGCCTCTGAGAGGTCCAGGAGGACCAACAGGGACGCACTCCCCCTATCTCTCTCCCTGCACAGGCCATTATACAGGGCGACCAAGGCAGATTCAGTACCATACCCAGGTCTGAAGCCAGACTGAAATGGGTCCAGATAATCAGTTTCATCCAAGAGTGCTTGGAGTTGTCCCGCCACCACCCGCTCTAACACCTTGCCCAAGAACAGGATGTTGGCCACCGGTCTGTAATTGGTGGCCATCTCTAGATCCAGGGATGCCTTCTTTAGGAATGGCCGGACTACTGCCTCCTTCAAAGGGGCAGGTATCCGGCCGTCCCTCAGAGAGACGTTGACAACCTCCAGGATCCAGGCCCCTATCCCGTGCTTGGCTTTGTTAAGTAGCCAAGATGGGCAAGGGTCCAATAAGCAGGTGGTGGGACGTACTTGTCCAAGCACCTTGTCCACATCATCAGGCCGCAACAACTGAAACTCATCCATCAATTTTGGACCAGACGGCAACATTGGCCCAGAAGGCTCTGAGTCACTAGTGGAGTCCAGCTCGTGACGAATCTGAGCAATTTTCTCCTTAAAATGCTTGGCAAAGTTGTCACGGTGGGGTAGCACAAGGTCTTTTTTGGGGCCAGCATGTACCAGTCCTTGTACCACCCGAAAGAGCTCTGCCAGACGGCATTGTGCGGAGGCAATGGAAGCAGAGAAGAATTTCTTTTTTGCCGCCCTCACCACCACAGCATAGGCTCGATAATGAGCTCTCACTGTGTACACACACACACACACAATATATAAGGTTCATCCTAGATAGGGAGTAGATAATTTCATGCCTGTGGGCACCAGTGTATCATTTGGACACCTTTCCTAGTGGCTGCTGAGTTGCTCTAACCGTTCCACTTTTTTAACATAAGAAATGTTTTTACCCAGTTAGGATTGCTTCAAAGTAAGGAGAGAGCTTCTATCTACTGCCATTTTCATTTCCACAAATCTCTCTTGAGCCACAGGGATATTCTTAGGAAATGAAGATGGCAGGCAGCTGCAGGCCAATACATTCTTCTGCAGCACACCCAGCCAACTTGGGAGTCAGGGAAGCCAGTGGAGGCTGGCAAGGAGCCAGCTGGAGAGCAGTTTGGAGTGTTGGGGAGGGTTATATGCTTGTACATTTGAATGGATGGGGGCTGCATGTGTAAGAAAGAGAGAGGAAGAAATGGTTTAGAGGGATTTTGGAGAGAACCTGAAAGAGTGGGTGTGTTTTCTCATGTGCTTCAAGAAGGGATGTATGTATGTGTGTTCAGGTGTTTAAGCATGATGAATACATGGATGCTTGCACTTGTGTGAACTAGAGTTGCAATGAACCCTATTAGAATCCATCCCTCCAAGCGTTCACAGGCTTCCTCTTATGCTTTGGCTGGTCTTCCAAAGTGAGCCAAGCCGAGAGGAAGTTTGTGAATGCTCATGGACCACTGGCTGTTCAACTGACAACCTCCTTCTGCCATTAGCTGCAGCAATCCAAAAGGTGCTGCAGCTGGCATGGAAAAGGGATGCTGTTTGTGCATTGGTCACAGGAGACTTCTCTCCCGGCAAGCCCCTTATGATCAGCCTTCTTCAACATCAGTTGCCATGCTCAAATGGTGGCTACTCCTGGCGTGCAAGAGGGGCTCTGCTTGCACAGTGCATGGAACTCAATTCCCAGCAAGTGCTCCACAAATGCTGGGTATGCTTGCAGGAACTTGGGACTCTGGGCTATTGCAAGTCCAGGAAGCAAGCCCAGCCAAGCCCACCTCCCTTCAACTGTGAACAGTCAGCAGAAAGGCTACCAAACACCTTCCCTTTGTTTCCCTCCAACCATGTCTGTGAACAGATGAAGGGAGGGGGGGGTGCATGAGAGTGAGTGAGAAAGAGCAAGCACAAGTAAGCGCATAAATATACAAGCATTAAGGCAAGGTGAGAGTATTTGTGGATTGTGATCCAAAGAAAGAGATGCAGGAAATGAGTAGGCTGCTGGGGAGGGACATCCATCTTCTCTGAAACTGGGTTCTGTTAGCAATGAAAGCTGTGAGATCAAAGGGGTTGTTCACTGTTTGGGGGCTCAGATTCTGCCTTTTGGTCAAATTACTAGACCTTTGTGACTAGCCTAACTTTCCACATTATACATCCTGTAGTATGTTCAGTACAGTTTCTCAACTTGTCAAATGCGCCCATAGGATCAAAAAGGGCTACTTATGTTGTTGTACATGCACTTAATTATAGAGACTTCCTACAACATAGTTCATAGGAAATCTTTCCTGCAAATGCATAAAAGCTATAGCAAGCTGTTTTTCCACCACTTACTTAAACTATATAAGATCAGAAACAATATTTTGGAACTACAAAACACAACAGTTTATACTCTGTTCATAAGCTTCTTGCAGACTCGTACAGCTATCCAACTGTTGTCCAATTAAAGTATTAAAAATGAATGTATTACATATTAACAATGCTTGCAGTACTATAGCTACTTTATGCCTATTAATACCTTATCTACCTCCTTCAGAATGAGCTAATCTGTACATATAAAAAGTACCTGCAGAGCCAGAGGGAGGGGGGGCTCCAGATCTTTGCCACTCTGTTGCTTCTGCAGCCAGTCTGCGGATGTACTGGTCATTCACACACAGCAGAATGTTTTCTGGTTTAATATCAGTATGGATGATTCGACACTTAGCATGCAAATACTCCAGCCCTTGCAAAACCTGTGGAATGAATACAAGACAATGAAAAATTATATTTAGGAGACATAACACATTGATGGAGCAACTTGAAAGTATACCGAAAAGAGCCAGAATCCAGTAGTTAAGTGTATGATATGACCAAAGCCTTGCTGAAATATAGAGAGATTCTGGATTCATTTATAAAGTGATCAATAAGAAACTATAGTAAAATGGGCCTTCTTCTTGAGATCGTCAATCTACTATTACTTGAACAAGAATTTCTGTTCAATTTAGTATTCTTCTTTCTGCTTTGTCTGAGCTCCCCCATCCTCCCCAGATTTAACTGTGTAATGTGGCAGGGGGAGGGAGGAAAAAGAGACATCCATCCATCTTCCACAGTCAGCAGAAAGGCTACCAAACACTTTCCCTTTGTTTCCCTCCAACCACGTCTGTGTCTCATTGCCTCTAAGCCTAAATTAAAAACAGAAACAAAATAACATGTACTCCACAAAACATACATGAACCTGTATCAAAATAAATGCAATAGTCATGGAGCCGAATGAGGCACACATGTACAGCCTTTTTCTATCACAGAATCTTCTTAGAATTTTGCACTCTTGAGGCAAACCTATCTCATCTTTCTTAATGGCTCTGTTTCACTTTTAAAGCAATCAGAACAGTGTCGTTGTCTTTGCTTTTGGATGAAATAACAACTTGGAAACTAAAAGGCAGCAATAAAACTCTTGAATTGCCCACCACTTCACATCAATTGCTTACTATTCTTAAACACTGTGTACAGAGGGCTTAATGTTCCTTCTGAGGATCCTAGAGCAAATGGACAATGGGATTTTCACCAAGGCAAGGTCACAGTGCAATTTAGAACTGTTCTGTCAACAGCAACTGTCAAGATAGAGCACAAAGCATTTCCAGCTGCATGACTGAGCACCACACGTATTCTACCGTATATGCGTCACCAAAGCATAAAGCTGAACTCTAGCCTACTGTAAAGAACCTCTTTACACTTCAAGCAAATTTTAGCAAAATAGTTATAACTTAGGTAGAACATGCCTGGTGAATAATTTTTTTTACACATAGTAGTGGAAGCCCTTGATAATTTGATTTGATGATCCATTTCAGAAGGTGGTGCCCTAAAACTTCAAAAACCATACAAATATCTGTAGTTGAGTCAAGGTTGAATTTGCTGGGATAGCATCTGCCATTAATAAAAATATAGCCACTCTCAAATATTCATGATTACTTACTATATGTTCCTTTGCCCCCTAAACTTTCTGTACGTCATTTTTTACAGTAACTGTAGAAAAGCCATTCTGTGATAGAACCACATTAGGAAATATGGCTTGTGTTACTGTAATCATTAATAGACCTACACACTTTCTCCAGTAAGCTCGATGTACACAGACATATCAGCCCCCCTTTAAAAGCTTCCTCTCCACTTCTAGAAATTCCTCAACCATTCACAGTTAGGAGGGAGGGAGGGAGGGAGAGAATGTGCAGTTAAAGATCAGTGTTATGTATTGGTTTGTTTTAAAGACTGTGACTTTTAACTAGCATCTGTAGGCAGACCAGGATGAGCTTGCTAAATAGCTGCCAACAAGTCTGATAATAAGCCTTAAAGTCCCAATTAGAGCGTCACGTTTTTATTATATGTTGAGAATTGACAGATAATTTGCATTATTTGCTGCCATTACATCAACAGCTCTGCAAGATTTTTCACTGAAATCTATGCCCTTGTGGCCTGTTCTATGAAAAGGATACGGGAACCATTTACTCCTGAGATTTTGAAGTCATCTAATAGCTGAACCACCCTTTCTCTGTTTGGATCGTTTGGGTCAGTGTTGCGGACCTGTAGAGAGAAAAAGCAATAACAGCATCACCAGAAGAAATTATTTAATGAAGATCCAGTCCCCTCTTCAGGTTTCTGAGATGCTCTCCAGATTCTTATTCTACTTACTTCATTTTAGGAAATTGAAGAATCAAACATTTCTGACTGTTTTGGATACATGGGTTCATACGTCCACAGATTCCTGCTTCCTATGTAACCCTGCTTTAAATCCCAACTGAAAAACCTGTTTTAAATTTACTCCCACATTAAAGAAATGCTGTCTCAGAAGTTGTACTTAAGGCTGATCTATCACATGAGCCCATCTTTCCCTCTCAGCTTCTCCATAAAAATCTCCGAAAACATATGGCTGGATACATGAAAGTAAGGGTACCAACTACACTAACATGTTGACAGGATATCCAAGTAATGACAAGAGGACGAATACCTGATTTGAGATTACCTGAACCACTCTCCTAGATTATAATTGCTATGTTCTATCATCTTTTCAAATGTCACAGGAATCAAAGTGAAACGTACCCTTTACAGATTAATGAAAAACAATAAAATGCTTTATTTCTGCATCTACACAGTGTTGTCCTTCTCATCTATCAAGAAAAAACAAACCTGTCAGAATGATGTGATATTAATGTTCTCAAAGCATATACAATTTAAAGTTTTCTGTGGTGGTGCCCCAGCTATGGAACCTGCTCCCCAGAGAGGTGCACCTCACATCAATGTTTGATTCCTTTCAGTACCAAGCCAAAACCATTTTATTCACCCAGTATTTTAATGAATGAATGTATGGAATGGTCTATTTTGTGCATTTTGGTGCATTTTTATGTACTGAAAATTATGTTTTATTTAAATGTTGGGTTTTTTTGTCTTTCAGTAAGAAGTCTAGAGATCCATCTCAGATATAAGATGGGATAAAAATGTTTTAAATAAATAAATGATGCACTTGAAAAATTGTGGATACTCACTGATTTTAGCAGTTTGATTTCATCCAATGCTGTTTCTGTATAATGTTCAGCACTCTTTACAACTTTCATTGCCACAAATCTCTTCCCCCTAAAAGCACACAAGGTTTAGTATAGCACTGTTTTCGGGGATCAGCCAAAAATAAACAGATTAAGACCTGAATGCTCAGAATCATTTCCTCTGAAAAACTGTAAAAATAGTTTGATCTTGAACAATTAGAAAACGTCAGCTAAATAGAAGAAATAATATGCAATGGTGGATCACATCACTGCACAGCTTGAGCATAGCACTGTTACGATTCTATTTATAAAATAGGTTAGATGAATGCTCTAAATTTGAAAACTGGTAGGAACTTGATAAGGAAAAATCTCAAACTGGTTTATAAGAGTGTTGAGCAACTAGCAGAAATTTCATTCAAAAAGCGAAGACTTACTGGATGTCCCAAGACAACCACACCGTGGAAAAGTGTCCCCATCCCAACTTCCGGATCACATGGTATCTTCCATTGAACAGATCTCCTATTTTTACAAGATGATAGCCCCCTAGAGAATGTAAAGACAGTTAAGAGGTCAAGAAAACACAGAGATGTTGTCAGTTTTTAATGGCAAACAAAACACTGTTTGACAGTACATGGCTGCTAAGAAAGGCCTGTCCTTTACTCATTTTGGTAATTAATCCTATGCAAATAAACCCCAACAGCTTACTAAACACTGAATGTAGTCCCAGTACATAGTGGATGAAGCATTTGTTTCTCCACTCTCTGGAGAGCTAATAGCCCTACAATGTGCAATGTACAATATTCCGCTCTCAGACCAACATGACTATCTGCAGGAGGAAATGTCCAACTGGTTGATTTTCCTACTAAAAGTACCCTAAAGGTATAATCATTGGTATGTTTAGACAGAAAAAAGCCCTACTTCTTCCAGCTGACTGGGGATGATGGGAGCTAAGGGATTTTTTAATTGTCTAAACATGCATAGACTTTGCCCTAAATGAAATTACATACCACTCTCCACAAAACTTTCCAACTGCCAGGTTAGCTAAGTAATGCTGGAGACAATGGTTTGGAGAAAGAGACAGACAATGGATCTGCTTATTATTAAATAACCCAAGAATTGGAGGGATGCATGTCACACACAAGCTACTTCCTGTCTGCATTAACAACTCTCAAATGCTGCCCTTGAGGGTTGTTTTTGTGACATACAGACAAAAAAAGTGCAGCTGGGGTTGTTCATGGCTTAATTCATGTGATGCTTATCTTCAGCAATGTGGAATTAAAAACAATGACACAAAGATAAGCATCTCTGTCAGGCATTTTTGCTCAATTTCCACATCCCATGTGTACTGTAATTGCCACCACCAAAATGATCTGCAAGGGGAATATAAACAGTGGGGAAACAATTCACACATCATAACCAACACTTAAAGTCATATGAGAGCTACTTCACGTAAAAAAGAGCCTTCTCACCTAGCATGGACCATATATACCCTCCTATGAGGGCTTCAGCCATTCACATTATAGGTAATGCCAGAATTGGACATGAGAGGCAGTTAAACAAGCATGTGTCTCATACTGCTGTCTCCATTTTGAAAATCTGCCACTATATACAGGTTATTCTGCTCTGTACAATGAGAAGGTAACTAGTATTTACTCTCACTGGAAAATGGTTCAGACCTCCTTGATTCAAGGAAACATCTGTAACATGTTCTTCCTACAAAATGTGCAACTTTAGAGCAACCAACACATAGGGCACAATATGTATATTATTCATACAGGCAGTAGATTACCACTATAGGAGGGGGAGAACCTGTGGTCATCCAAATGATGCCAGACTTCAATGCCCATCAACACTGCCACCAGAGCCATTGGTCAGAGAAGATATGCATTTTACTCAAATAATGTGTAGAGAGTTCCTGCTCCTGCATTAGTAACTATTCCTGCAACAGCTGGCTCCAGATCTCTTGCCAACTGCACAGGGTAAGGAGGGCAGATCAGCAGCTAAAGGAAAGGTAATCAATGAGTGATGTTAGGCAATTTGCCACAATTTAAATAGTAGGGGTTGAAGATAAGGACAAAAGTCAAGTCAGGAAAATGGCTTGCTATTTTACTTCCCCCACCAAAAGGAATCCCATATGCCAACTCTTATGGGGAGTGGTAGGCCTTGTACCTTGTAGCAGCACTTGTAGTCTCCTAAGCCAGGTGAAGGAAGCCTCACTGCCCTACTCAGGTGCACAGGCTGGGGGCTTCCCACCTCTTCCCTAAGCTATATGCCTCTTTGATTACCTCAACTCAAACACCTTTAGAAGTGCCCCAAAACAACTACTTCTATATTAAAAAAGGGGGGGAGAGATCATTTGATTGGCTCCGTGCTCAACCAATGAGAATGAGGCAATCAGTTTTAGGACTATGTGTTGGCAACCCTGTAACACTTGCTGTTCAACAAACTATGGGTCAACCTTTACCCTACAAATGAATTCAACAGATTCCCTGATTTTGTGAAAAAATATCCACCCAAATACACTGTAATTACTTTGAGCACTAATCAGAATTACTTTTCAAAATTCAGTCTTCCTTCTGACAGTTCACCTTCAGATTCAAAAGGACTAAGAGAGCCTGCTTTCTATGCAATACTTCTTCTGACCTCCTTATCGAGACACTGCACCACTATGACTCATAAGAACACCATGTCCTTTTAGGTCATCCAGTTGTTCATGTTACACCTACATAAGCTTCACTGCAGGGCTGCATTGTTAGCAGTTATTTCCATCTAGTTTTCAGAAGGAAAGGAATCTTTCAGAGCAAGTCTGTGAGCTCCAAGACAGCACCAGAGAATCCACAGGTTTCCCAATTCTGCTGTCAGAGACAGAACTCTTAGAACTACAAAAGAATTGGGAGGAATGTAATGAAGTTACAATGAAAGCTATCCTGACACCTCTCCAGTCTTCACCATCCCCCCTTTGAGGCACTTCAAATATACAGGAAAATAAACCTGTCTAGCAGAAATGCAGGGCAGGAGGACAGAGAAGTGGAGATTACCTCTGCCACTTTTTCCATTCCACATTAGATATTCATCAGCCTCCAAGTTCAAGGGTTTACAGCTACCACCATAGGATTGTGCTCTTACACTCCCTCAAAGTATATTTTTGCTTCTAGTCTTTAGCAATTACTGATTCAGATGAGGTGCACTAAGTGACAATACAAAACAAGGAAGCAATATCTTACTTTAAAAATACACATATGCTGAATGCATTTCTATTGAGCCTGTTTAGCTTTTCATTTATTTCTGGATCACTACACTAGATTGGACTATGGAAGAACTAAAAGCCACCCTTGTTTTTGAACACTCATTCATGGTTGCCATGGGTGACAAGCCATTTCAACCAGGCAAATTGGGTTGCAGGAGGAAGCGCTCCAACAGCCTATAGAAACACAGTGGGTTGGCAGGGGAGGCTGAGAGATGCATTCAACTGCTACATCTTCTGTGCGGGACGTGCAGGTGGTTAAGTCTCTTCCTGTGCACTCATGACAGCACCCAGGTGGGCTGGTAGTAAAGGGCTGCTGGGCCTCTTCTGCCAGCATGCTGCATTTCTAGCCTGGAATTCTTTTAATTAACCTTTTTACTCATGACTGAAGTTGGGTTGAAGTGCTCCATCTGTTCTCCACCAGATCCTCATGAATAAAAATCAGCTAATAAATACCTTTTGCAGCAACAGTGCTCTTGGGAGGCTAATTTACTAGGCTGCAATCAAGTACACTGCAGATGGCTTCACTTCACTAGCACAATGGACAGTCTCTCCCAACATTTTCTATCTTTGAGCAAACCAGAGCATGCAAATTGGGACTGGTCTCACCACTGTGGGTTCCCTCCAACTGGACTGAGTTCACTCCTACTTGCCACAAATTCGATCTCTGCGTGGGGCTAATCCAATCCTAATATTTCAAACAGCCTTTTTTATGGGGTGACAAGGCTTTGGGACTCCCACCACACTGCAGGTAGTGTCTCTAGCAGATTTTAATTTAGGGCATTAAATTACTGTATTTTTCGCTCTATAAGACGCACTTTTCCCCCCCTCAAAAGTAAGGGGAAATGTCTGTGCGTCTTAGAGAGCGAATGTGTGTGTGCCCGACGCCCGGGACGCTGCCGGCCACCTGCACCATGTGGCACCACCTGGCCGGCACACGCTCGGCACGCCCTGCTCCACCGCCCCCCCCTCCGGCGCAGGTGAGAGCTGTGCCGCTCACTCACGGGGAGCGGTGCAGAGGAGGAGGAGCCGTGGGCTTTAACCCGCCAGCCGCACGGAGAGACCGACTGCTCACCACCACTGCCCGGTAAGACCTGCTGCTGCCGCGCTGCCCGGAAGACCACCATCGGCATGCTGCCAGCCCAGCTGCACCACACCTGGCCGGCACGCGCTCAGCGTGCCCTGCTCCGCCCCCCTCCTCCGCGCAGGTGAGAGCTGTTCATCACAGGTCGGTGTGTGTTTTCAAATGGCAACCCGTCTTTTAATGCCCATGGGGAAGTGATGGGGAATGTGCCTGTGATTATCAGGAAGCTTTCCATGGATCTCTCCTCTAAAAACTAGGTGCGTCTAATGGTCAGGTGCGTCTTATAGAGCGAAAAATATGGTAAGCACATTTTAATTTAGGGCATTAAATTAGCATACTCCCTTATTTTGGCTTTAGCTTGCCATGTTTGTAGCTATATATTTGAGTGTTATGCCCTGGACCAATTTTCCTCCTTATTTTTTAAAAAAATTCTGATGTTAATTCTGCTATTTTGATATTGCCTTTGCAGTTAAAAGCATGAACACATTTAAAATAAAAATAAATGTTAATACCTAAAATAACACACTTATTTTTCCGTTACTAACACATTTGATTTGTTTTACAAACAAAAACCTAGTCCATTGAATGACTGAGTTTATTATAAAACAACATTAGGTCTATTAATCCATGAAATAATCTGTATAAATGAGATATCATGTCCATGAACAAAGCAAATTCACTATTTGGCCTATACACAAAGGATTTCAAGCATCCTTAGCTACTGGTCTAAAATTAAAGCAAAGAAGTTGCAAAACGATGACCTCCCACCTTTGCAATAATCATTGGGATCTTCTTGCTCATCATCATCTGATCCCAGGATTTCCTCTTCTTGCTCAGGAATATCATTCTCCGAATGGGTGGCAGGGCCTCGATGCTGAGTTTCAGGCCTGAGGGACATGATACATTTATAAGCCATAAGCTTGACTTCATCTGAGCACTCAACAACGGAGGAAGAAAGGCTAACACAAAGATTAAGGTTCCATTTGAGGATGGATAATAACAGGCTTTTAAAAGTTCCTTTTTTCCCTTTTAGGTTACATTCCAAGAAAATTGTTCCTGAAAACTGAGCAAACTTTGGAGGCCACCTCTGCTGCAGCACATGGACTGACACAGGTCAGCACCATGATTAGAAACAAGTGGTGATGGCTCACAGAACTCTTCTAATAAAACCATCTGTTGGTGGGTTTAATGTGGATGAAAAAATCTGGATTTCAGAATTCTTTTCTAGAGATAGCCCTTTAGAGTAGCTTCACGTCCTTTATCATCTTATGGAAGATAACCACATACTTTTCAACCTTGCAAAAAACTCAGTGGACTTCCAGACAGGAGAACCCCATCTTTGAAAGTTCTTCAACATAATAATGTAATAAAGGTGAATGAAAAAACCCACTTTTGACTAGGGAAAAACAATTGTGTACATCATGCTTCGACTGTTATAGCGACTCAATTCATATTGTAAATTTTCTATAATGACCAAAAAAAAAAACAAGCTAATTTTATTAACCGCTTGGAATTACTGAAGGTTTTTTCCTTTTACAATGTAACTACATAATAATTGTCTAAAACAACAAATAGTCATCATTTACACATCTAGAACCTGGTGAAAACATTTTGAAGTGAAATCTCCTCTCAGCATATCATGTAGATTCACTTTAATTTCCTACATATTTCTTTGGCAAAAATTACAAGTCAAATTTGCATAGAAAGCCTAATTCAAACATAACACACATAGGGATAACATAAACCTGACTGTAAAGTGGTGTAGTTTAATATGAGCGTTGACAGCTCCAGGCGATGAAAAAAATAGAATGCTAATCAATAAATTCTGAACTTGGAGAAAAAATGAATATGGACAAAATCAATATGATCCATCTGAAAGCCACACCCATCTCAGCAAAGCTATTTTTGTTAATTACATCATACATGCCAGAACAATCGTTAAGCCATATTATTATTTTTTATTTATTTAGGATTATATAGTACTTTAATTAGGCTACACTTTAAGGAACACAAGAACAATGAATTAGATTTAGTTGGGTCTTGGTGTAATAAGCCAATCAAAGATGCTGTATGAAATGCAACAAATATTCTGTAATTACTCATCTCACGAGAAGCACAATTTTCTTGCACCAAGGAAGTTACTAGAAATCCTTCATAAAGCTTTTGAGAACTGCTGTGAACCTCTAAAGGAAGTCAAAATGCCATATCACACAGACTAAAGACTTTAACATTTTTGCAATTAAGTATTTCAAATCCTTACATTTTTAAAACAAGTGATTTCTCAGTCAGTAAAATACACTAACACTGCAAAGACATGATTGCATTTCAAAGACAATACTGTCACTACTACAGTTTGGAAAGTATGAGTACTTTTACTATTTAATCCTTAAATATACTCAGTCCAATCTCCACAATTGCTTCTGCCCCACCCCTTCTAAAATGTGCTCCAAATCTTTATAGTTGCAGGCCAGAACAGTAAAATATGCATATACTGTACAAATACTTTGGAACCAAAAAGTGGATTCCTATAAAGAAAATCAATGATCTATTCTAGTAAATTGGTTAATCAGAACACAGAAAACCATAGAAGCATCTTCCCATCTATTTCTGCCTTTCAAAAAATTCATAAGCCACCTCACAAGAAGGGACAAAAGGCTGAGATACTTTCCAATGAATAAAACTGCTTCATGGCTAGGAACACATCAAATTTTAAAAGAAGCTGTGAAAGCATCTGTTGTAGTATACAAGAACATTTTGCAGCCATCCACTCTAATAAGCACTGAAAACTTCTGAATATCTACTTGCTTTTGCAGCTTAGCTTCAATGGATTCATTCTCAAGCTAACTGTCTGATAAAGATTATGAGCCAAGAGCTGGGGGAATAACAATTGAGTTAGTATTCTAAGGAAGATTTATGTGCTTTCAAAAGTCCTTGCTGAGGTAATCAACCCTTTTTCTAATATAACTGCAAGGAAAGAAAGGAATGCATACCTGCATGAAGCACGGACTCCCATTGATAAAGGTATCTCTGAAGATGGACTAACAGTTTTCGAAAGAGCCATCAAAAATCAAATGGCTCACTGGTCCAGGTAATGGAGTGCATGAATTGCAAGCAGGGTGCTGGCTGTTCCTAAACACAGCAAAGCTCTTGTGCAGAAGCAAGAGAAAAGGAATCTGCCTCCACCACCTAGCTGCAGATGCACAGCACTGCATTGCAGGTAAATGGCTTGCAGCATCACTGGAGAGGGTTGATCTCAGCTGATTTGCTTCCTGCAAAATTTAGCCACATTCCAGAATGACCAGAGATTTTCTATAGTCCTGTGATGCTTACCACCTTTTAAAGTCTTGCCAGAGGCACACCTCTGCCCTTTAGTTTTTCATTCCCTAAACTAAGAACTCACCGCATTTCCTGTTCAATAAATCACTTCCTTAAACTGGATGGCGGGGTGGGGGAGGGGGAACCACCATCACAGTAACTGCTTTTAATTATAGGAGCTCTACGGCCAGTGTATGAACACGTTTTCAAAATACCAAACTCATTGGTGCCAGAAACTCATTTTAGATGTCCATGACTCTTCTAACTCTTCCTAAAACAATTATATAAAATAGAGAAAGAACATGTTTCATAAAATCTTTATCCCACAAATTTTCACTAAGAGAGAAACAAGCTGGACAAATAAGTGCTCTTATGCTATAATGTTGTACTTCTGTTAAATATTTACCCTTTTGAATCAAATGTAAGAAGCAATGGAGACCTGAAAAGGCACGGAAAAGTATTATAAGAAGCAAGATGAAATTGAAATGTACGCTCTGGATAATTTGTGGTCAGCAGCTCCTCTTGCAAACCAACTCAAGTTCCAACCTGCACATCTTATTCATGAAAGAGGTACTCACTCGCTCTGTGATATCTGAACAGCCCATGGTAGACTGTTGCCTTCTCCTCTGGCAGATTTACTCTGAAGGAGAACTGAACCTCTTGTCTGCAAGTTAACCTGCCCTGTTTCAGTTGGAGCTTACACCTTCACACAGCTACCTGCAATTCCTCCTCTCAAACAGATCTGCTTGCAAGGAAAAATTGCAACCCTCTGCATAACACAAGAGACTTAATCTTTTTTCCCATGGATCTACGTACTATTAAATACCATATGCACACCTACAAGTGATTTCTATGCTGCTCTGGGTTCATACGGAATGCATGCAAGTGAAAGGCAGCATAAATACTCAACCTGGAATAAGGGAGACAAACTGGCAGTAGGGCAACATGAAATCTAACAGAAAGTATCAATGACCTGGGGGCAGATAATGTATGCATTCTGAAAGACAGACCTCACAAGGTTGGATTTTGTTTTGTCTTCCATGTTTGCATTAAAAATATTTGCCAAGAAAAAGAAAAGGCTTACTTTGTGTAAAGACAAGTTAGTAGCAAAGTGCAAGGTGGAAACACACTTTGGTTTGACATATTTGCACAACTGCAGCATTCAGCCACTGAGTACAATTACATCGAGAAGAAGAAAAAGTATTATTTTTAGGACCCCCCTTTTGTATCCCTATGATTGAAAGAGGGCTAGCAGTTTTAGAGAGGCGGGCAAGAATGGAATATATTTAAAATACTTGGGAATCAGCCCTTGCAACAAGCAGTATGCATAATAAGAGATTATACAACATGCTAAATTTTTCTCTACTTCTTTCATTACAGCAGCTTGGACTGTTGAACAAATTGCCCTTTTATGGCACATTTCCAAAATGATGGTCTTCTTTACGGATCTTTGAATGTTACTGGAATGGGATGAGATGCAAACAAGCCTTTGGAGTACTCAGGTCCTATTTCCATGGCAAATATAGTCAGTTTTCTTTAAGTCCAAAATTGTTCTTCATTACCTTGAAGAATGACTTGCCAAACCCAGAAAGTAGACCCAACTGCTATTCTACCTTAGTAATATTGTGCATCTGCTATTTTGTATTTTGATCTAGTTCACATGTAATAACTCACTATGGGTTGTGAGAGTGAAAGTTTTGTCTCCCGATCACTCATTTGCTGCTTTGTTTCTGGATTAGAAACACTCTAGAAACTGGGATGTGTGCCATGATATACAATTGTTGAGGGAGAAACAACTCAAGAGTTTAAGCCAGAATTCCAGATTTGCATATCAGAGAGCACAGTTCAACAACTGGGCATTCCTGATGTGTGCCGCTCCAACAATGCCAGTGGGTTGTCATTACTTTTGAACCTTGTCTCAGCAATGGCCTGCAATGCTATCAATTTGTTGTATTAATACAATTAGGAGTTAGGGCTTGGAAAAAAAAAGATAACTGACAAATTTTGCATAAGCTTTTCCCTGTAAAATTCTATGTCAGAAAGTTCCACTTCAAAAGCTTTTTGTTCTGCAGTTTTAGCATGATGCAAATCCACATTAGCATATGCATTTCATTGCCACCAATCTAATACACACACAAAAGTTTTCCCATTTAGTGTACAGAAGGTGCAGATACATGTCATATAAGCAACAGACCTTAACATAGGCCACCTAGAATTCTGCTTCTAGTTACTCATTTGTAAGTAAAGACATGAAGGCCCAAAAAATGCAGAAAAAGAGAGGAAAATGTAGTTTTTTCCCAGAATTGTTCCCATTTTTGTTTTTCTTTTTTTGCTCAAGTCTTCACATTGTAAGTCCCACTCAAATGAATTGTGCTCACTAGTGCATAACAGCTGGCAGAATTGCACCCTCAGCTGTTTGAACTAGTATGTTAGATTAATCAGCCCACAAGGTATTACATCATGCTGCCGTGCAATAAATGTGCTTACTCCTTTATGCCCTATGTTTGTTAGAGCAGAGACTGCATATCCTATGAAGAAAAATTAGTTAAGCACTTATTCCTAAAATCTGCAAATACATAAAACTCTTGCTGCTTCTCTCACAAACCTAGGAATAAGAATTTCCTGTTTTGTTAAAAGAAAAAAAGAAAACATGCCAGCTAGTCACTAGCTTTGAAACTATAAAAGTATATGAATTTATTAAGAAACAACCTCAGCATTATTTATTTTTTCAGTTGTACTCTGCTTACCTGGAGTTAGTATACCAGATTACTTTGTGCATTACTTCTGCAGGCATTCATTCTCATGATAAATACCAACAGATTATTTTAACAATTACGTTAAAAATCACTACACTTCCATTCTTTTGTAGCCATTAACAGTCTTGCACAAAAAAATCTTTCAAGGGAGAGTTTTAAAAAGCAATCTATTTGTAGTTTCTAATCTTACTGAATGACATTTACATGCTTCACAAAAAAGATCCCCCCACACAATCTTTTAGTATTCAAAGAGTACTGTCTTATGTACTATATTCATGTACTGTCCGATGTATTGTTGAATACAAAGGACATTGGGGTTTAAAGGGTTCTGTCATATGCACATCTGGCTGTGTGAATAAAAAGACAATAGAAAATGGAAGCTAGGAGAGTGCTGATAACGGCAGAAGAAAAGAGCAAAGGACTGACATATATGGATAGAGCTGTATGTGGCTATTACAGAAACAATGTTTGCAGCAGTTATCTTCTGACATGCCTCACAGATGCATTTACTCAAAAGGTAAATAGCACTGGTAACTTTTATAGCCACTGTACTGTAACAAATGCCATGTGCACTGTTTATAGCATTTTTATGTATGCCAAAGCCACAATCTCCTACGTTTCTTAGTAGTCCATTACAGCCACAAACTTCCCGGATCCAGGAAGCAATTTCCATATAGAACTTAATGGCTCATCAAAGAAAGGTCATTGAGGGATAATACTGCACAGCAGCAAGAATCTAGACATCTTCCTCAATTCAGTCAGCAATAACATGTTGAGCCCTGGATCAGTATTTACATCTTCTCAATGTCCTGCCCCATAACCCACCAAAGCGTAGCTCAAGGTTAGATGATGATGACAACTTGGCTTGTGGCCAACTGCTTATACTTTACAGCCCTTCTACCACTGGAAAACTTTGTCAAATGCTCAGGCTCTTCTACAGCTTTGAAGGATCGGGACTTTGGGAAGAACTGTGCGCTTAGAAAGATAATTATACCTCTATATCTATCTTTCTTCTCATAACTATAAAAGGTAGGGCCTAGGTTGAAGACACTGAGGGAAGAACGAAAGTGTATCTTTGCAGTAACAAAAGTACATAGACGCAGTAGGGCACAGGAAAGAGAGTAGTTGCTTGCTTTCCCAATTCTGAAACTGGTGGAGGGTTCTTTCATAGACAAGGGCAGTAATATTCAAAGTAACTTTGCTTAGTACTGCATAGAAGGCAGCAATGGTAAACCATTTCTGCATCTTTTCTACCTTGAAAACCCTATGACTTTGTCTAAATGCAAATTCATATTTAAAACAACAAGAATAAATTTTAAAATCCAGCACCTGGAAAAATCACATGTCTATATTTAAAATTCAGGGAGTGCTGCATTGTCAAAGTTGTGTGCTAGTCATAATAACAAGGTGGAAAATGGAAGGAATCCTTCCTATGGGTGGTTGCTAAAACAGTTTAAGGGTGCAATATTATTGTGATGCCTGTAAGTCCCTGAACTCAGAGAAATGGCAGGGGCATTCTTCACTATCAGTTCTCCTACCTTGCATTTTCTGCTAAACAGGCTCACCTATCTCAGAGAGGCAAAGAAGGATGCTGGAGGGTTGCAGGATACCTCATATCCTGGTATCTCCAGTCCCCTCCCCTACCTGTCTCCCAAAGTGCTGCCCTTCTCCAAAGTTGTTTTCCTGATCTAGGAGGGCGGCTGGTACAGTTCTTTCGATGCTAGCTGCAAGGGGATGGAATTCTGATCCAGGCTGTGAGGTCAAAACACCAATTCTAAGTCTCAGATCTGGGAATCTTAAGTATCCAATGGCCCCTCAGATGTTGCCTATGAGCCATAAGATTGTTGCTTATGTAACTTCTTCTCCTCAGCTTGAGTGGGGTGTTCCCCAATAATTTGACAAGATAACTGTACAAAATAAAGAACACACTCCTATTATTATTTATTTTCTAAATTTTACCTCCAAGCATTCACACCTAAACTACTTACGTATTATTCTAAACTTGTCTACTATTTTTCAAGCATTCTGGATCTAAGATATCTATATGTTTATTATCAACCAAAGGATCATTATTGAGAACAATTACCTGAAAATCCACAGCTAGATAGAAAATACAAACCCAAATGTAAACCTTAAATCTTCTATACAGTGTTCTTCAATGCTGTATCTATATGCATAAAGTTAAACTGTGCATATTTGTTTCAATCACTGTATATTACATCAGTTTAAAAGGCATGCATACAATACAAAACTAATAATTAGTCTATCCAACAAAAGTTATGTATTATTTCAGGTTCCCAGGCAATGAAGATGAAACTTTACAAAAGAGCTGTCTAAAATGCTGCTAAGAGTTTTGTGGCACCTAAAGACTAACAGTTTTAATCTGCCATAAACAGTTTGTGACAACTGTCTAGTTCATCAGATACATGAAGTTGTGACCTTAAACTGGCAGATCAGGATAACTCTGTCATCAGAGGCAGCTGAAATGCAAAAGTACAGACAGTGATCATTACTTTATCCGTTGCCATTCACAAAATATTACTAGATGGTGATATAGATACGATTGCAATGTGTGAGCCAGTAACTTACAGAAGTTAATTAAAAAACACACATATTGTCTTCATTAAAAGCATAAAATAAAATTGAATCTCTTGATGAAATGCACTTCACCAATTTCATAGTGATATCTTGTCTCTGAAATGTCTTTGTTCAAGAATGTTTAACACATCATACTTATGCAGTGGCCAGTGCCCACAAAAGTTTATGCCAGAATAACACCGATAGTCTTTAAGGTGTTATGTATGAAACAGACTAGCATGGCTAGTTCTCTGAAAATTCTATTCTATACAATACATACAGAACCATGTTTGATTGTGCTTATGTTATGTTATTTATTAATAAGAGAATAACTGTCATGTCGGGAAGAGAAATATGATAGATTCTTAACTCTGTCACTTAATGAAGTCTACAAGCTTCCTCAAACCAGTTCAGGTAATTATGGTGGTCTGTCCATAACACCAGTTTATCCTGACATGAAATGAGAGTGGTCATTCATACTTACTTTCTCTGGGCCTTTTCCTTCTTGGCTTTGGTCCTTTTCTTCCGGGCTTGCAGTGCTAGAACTGGAACAAAATAAGGGAGCAGCAGAGAGAAGAGTCAGGAAGCTTTTGTTTTGTTCATTGTTAGCATCTTCAACCCTTCTAGGCTTACTCTGGTTTAAGATTAACCCTATCTTTCCACAGCAGTAGCATTAACCCGTCTTACTCCATTAGAAAGACACACATTCACACAAACCTATTTTACCCTCATTAAATAATGTTACTGGAGGTCGGCTATTATGTCACCCACTTTATCTCATGCACACAACGAGGCGGGGGAGCTATACATTTTCAGGATGCCTGAAAAACAGGCAGTTATGTTCGGTAAGAACTCGAGGAAAAGCCATACAGGATACGAGAAAGACAACAGAAGCGCGATCGTGTGAAATGGGGGCAACGTTGGGGATTTGAAACGCCAACCCCGAAAGGCCCAGGGATGAACCCTGACTGGGAGAGCAGGGGGATCGATAAGAGCGGGAGACGACGACAAGATCGAGGCTGAGCGGGATGGTCAGCGAGGCCGAGCACACTTACCTTTCCGCTCCATGGCGGCCAGAGACGGCTGCCCCCCGGAGCCCCCGCGCGTGCGCTCTAAAGATGCTCCTTGCGCCTGCGCCGGGTGCGGGCGAGCCGGTCGGCGCGTGCGTATGGCCGGTATCTTCGCGCGCCGTTGCGCGCGCCACCAAATCTCCTCCACGCTGCTGCTGTCACTTCCTTCTGAGCTGGGGCTGCTCAGGAAAGCCACTCCTCCTGGATCATCTGAGCGCGTGCGGCACCTCCCCCTGTTCTTCACGAGAGGCAGGTGCTGGAGCCGCGCGTTGGGCCCCTCGCCGGCCTCCCCCTGCCCCATGTGCGGAGCGCATGTGCCTTCGTCTGCGCTCCACTGCTCTCTCTCTCACGGCTTTGCCAGATTTAGTAGCACCGGGAAGTTGGGGCTACGTAAAGCCTCGCGCAAGGCATATATTAACGATGTGGTGTCGCTGGAGGTGGGATTGTGACGTGCCCGCCATCCGTTCTGGCTGTGGACGAGTTGTCAAGCCACACACAACCTGGCATGACAGGAAGGATGCATTTTTGGCACTCTCAAGCGCGAGATTATGTTTTGTTATGTGTCTTTTGCACCAGTAGATGGTGTGGTAGCTCACAGCAGTTAAAATTACCGCAGGATTGGAAATTCTTTTTTCTTTTAAACATACGAATGAAGTTGAGACCATAGCGATAATGGTTTGCATGCACACTTTCCGCTGTGTTTCCGTTCATATTTTTTTTTAAGTTCATTCGATAGTTTTGAGTCCACTTAAATGCTAAGTTTCAGATTGGAATTTTATGAATGGCAACTCCATTTAATGGCTATATAGCGTAAGTTCTTATAGGTTGTTTCAGTGTATTGCAACCTATATGATTTAGGTGTATATGCACAGAACTTGAAAATGAGCAGAACCTCGCATTTGGATGCTACTAGTTCAACCCACCCAAGCAGCGGGATAGACATAGGTGCAAATGAACAAGATACCAATCTCAACGTGCATATGTGCGGCTTATGTTGATCTCAGCCTTACCCCTGTACAAGGAATTGAAACAGTCTAGTTATGCTCATGTACCTGTGCATGCAGACGGTAAAAAGATGTTTTATGGTTGGGGAGGGTGGACAATCCTGTTGTATGGTAGAGTATCAAATCGTTTCGAATACAAAGGTGGTTGTTGTTAGTCGCGAAGTCGTGTCCGACCCATCGTGACCCCATGGACAACATTCCTCCAGGCCTTCCTGTCCTCCACCATCCCCCAGAGTCCACTCAAGCTCACGTCCTTCAGTGACTCCACCTTACCACCTCATTCTCTGTCATCCCCTTCTTTTGCCGTCAATTGTTCCCAGCATTAAACTCTTCTCCAGTGAGTCCATCTTTCTCAAATACAAAGGTAAGCAGCAGCAATTACAGCTAATTTATAGTGGTTCAGCACTAGCAAGAACAATATTTTGGGAAAAAAATCAGTTCACAGACTCCACGCGATTAGATGCATAGATTAGTTCTGCCTAATTATTGATCTGATAAGTTGCGGTGAAAAACAGCATGTTGAAATTATTATTGTTATTTCAATGGATCCACGCGTGGAGACTGCACTTGAAATAACCTGAGAGTGTAAACCCTGGGATTTATTTGCGAGTAGATGCGTGCGGACCCGAGCTGCCTCAGCCGCTACGCCAAGGAGGCAACGCCGCCTTGGCGTCAAGCTCTACCTTCCCTCCTCACTTTCTTCTCGCCTCTTTCCGTTTCTCGCGAGACATTCCTATTGCGGGCTGCGTTCTTCAGAGGGGCGCTAGAGCGAGGTTCCATATTGGGACATTGCCTCCAGCTTTTCCGTACCGCTGCTCTCGCGAGACATCCGCGATCGGCTGGCCGGAAATCTAGGAAGAGGTCGGGAGAAGTCAGACGGTAGCGAGTCCTCGTCATTGCTTAACTATTCGCTTTCCCTCAGTACCAGCTCCGGCTCCCCAGAGGACCCCTCGCCTCACCTGTTGGTCCGCTCCGCGAGGGACTGTGCAGGAGGCCGAGCGAGCGCCTGCAGGGCTCCCGCCGACCCGCAGCGCCCTCAACTCCGCTCGGCCAGGGGCAGCAGGCACTTGGGCCAGGCGCGGTCACTTACTGAAGCGGCCGCTGGGCGCGAGGGACCTCTCCATCCTCCGCCCTCCGGGCAGGAAACCCCCATTCTTTGCAGGGGGAGGAGCCAACGGTTCTGCCTGAGGGTCTCCCCCTCCCGGCTGCGCTGGGTGGGGCGGGCTCAGGGTCGCGATGACCCAGGAGCGGCCCACGTTCTATCGGCAAGAGCTGAACAAGACGGTCTGGGAGGTACCGGAGCGCTACCAGAACCTCTCGCCGGTGGGCTCTGGCGCTTACGGCTCTGTCTGGTGAGTTGCTGCCGCTCGAGGCCGGTGGGGGGCGGGGAGGTTTGGAAAAACTTCGCCGTCCGTTGTGTGTGTGTGTGTGTGCACTCCGCATTCAGTGATTTCCTCTTCTCTCTGGTCCACACTTGTGCAGGGATCTAGGCAGAGCAAGCTTCATGTTCTCCCAAGGCCTGTCACTCCCTGCAGCTGGCGAGCATTCCTAAAACCGGCGTCAGAATGTGTTGCTGTCCCCGTCCTGCCCAAATGAAACCTATTAGATTTTGGCGTTTCAAGCCATCGCGTCTAGGTTGCGGGTGTTGGCGGGAGCGTCGCTTATCCATTGCCTTGAAGCTTGGGCTGTGTAGATTTTACTGATGCACGTTAGGCACGATCGCAGTGTGTACTGAGGTATCTCGATCTTTTCCCCTCCTGTAGTTGTCTTCTGCTGTCTTTCGCTTCTCTCTAATATGTGCACAGCGCTGTACCTTGCTCTGAGCTCCTAACTGGCTAGATCCTGGTAAAAAAGAGTTGCTTGATTTCCCTATTTCAATGTCACTTGAGAACTTCACATCAGACTACTTAAGGAGACTTGATATTGAGGAAACACTCTTGAGTGGTTTGATAAATTTAGGGTCTTGCTAGCCAAAAGTTGTTCCGTCAGAGTAATACAGCATTCTCTTATTGCATCATCTGACTGATACTGATAAAGCAATATTACCATAGCTAGCACAATGGAAAGGATTGACGGTAGCATGAATTATTATACCTTTATCTCATCTTTCCTCAGAGAAATTCAGAATGATATACATAGATTATTTTCCTTCTTTTCATCCTGACAACGACTCGGTTAGGTGGGTTAGCTTGAGAGTGACTGGCCCAGGATTGCTCAATTGAGCATTATTAAACCTGGCACTCCAAGACTAACATGTTACCTATTATTACCACAGTAACCTTGATGGGAATGGGGCAAGATAGTCTTCCTTGAGACTGAGGAAGTTATGTACTACAGAGGTTGAGTGTTCAGCTGCTGAAGAAAGAATAATCGCTTGAGAGGCATAGCATAGATTAGGAGAGGAACTAGTGATGTCACTCATATGTGCTAGATATTACCACATTTTGTCCAGCAAAAGATGCATTACACTTTTGCTTCCTGGAGGGGAAAATAATAGAAGCTTCAAGAACCCCCATTTAAAGGAATGTTACTGTGTCTACAGACTACCCTATGTGCAGAAATGGCACCACTATTTCATTCGTATGATGTAGTAATGATGTGATACAATATGGAAAATAAATAAAGCAATCATTACATAAGGAACAAATCTTCAGCTGAGAGCATACTAGTGTTATTCAGTAAGCACAGTATGTCTGCATCTAAAAGCACTGCTGTCACATACAGGGTGGAGTTGGAAGATATTCTTGTGGGCTGTCAGAATAATCTTGGGGTCCTTCTAGAAGCTATGACTTGTGGAAAGCTGCACCCAACACTGAACCATCCAGGTGACATCACCCTTTGCAAATTATTTCAGTGTATAGGAAATGGAGCATTTTTTAAAAACCCATGTTGCAGGTAAATTGATTCTCAAGTAATTCCCACATTACTTGTGGGGAAAGATCATCAGAAAACAGTTTATTGGAATTTAAAGAGGATTCAGGATAAATATATGTGCATGTTAATGGTGGCATGTAAAATTTGACTAAACTAATTACCATTTGAATTCAGTCTACTATAGCACTTTGTTTTAAATGTTTCACATACAAGTCCCTTTAAAAGTAACCCAACATTGTATGATATTTTCATTACACATTCATGGTGGTCAAATTTATTTGGCAACAAAATATATTCTGTATATGTTTATACATTTGCCCCATCTTTTTGTGTTTTCTTAATGGAGACCATTTAAAGGCTATGCAAGAGCTACATGCACATATTGCCAGTTTTATATTGAAAATAAAGGTTCAGATTTTGTACTTCCATTTATTTTTCTATGGCTGTATAATTCAATGTTTTAAAGTTTATATATTAACACAATTCAGGACACACCCTTATGGGGATATGTATATCCTTTCCAGCATGGAGGTTTACAGTTATTCTGTGCAGAGCAGGAGGAGTGAAGATGTGTATGTTGCCTTTGCAGTATTCCTGTCCTGCAAAACAGCTAGACTTTGTCTAACTGCAGCTTTGGGAGTGCAAGGGGAGGAGGCTGAAATGCCACCAGGTTACCTCATATCGTGGCAACACCAATCTTCTATCCCCGCTCTGCAACTCTTGGAACCCCTTTTCTGAGATAATTTTTGTGCTCCTGGGGAAGTGGTTGGCATGGTTCTTTCTGCATTGGCTGCAGGGCAGAGGAGGGGGATCTGACTGTAGTTGCAGCCCTGACTCCAAGAAGATTCTGTGGTCCTCTAGATGTTGTCTAGGGATCCATAGGATTGTGCTGTTCCTACTTTAAGCAAGACCGTCAGGGTTCTTGTTATGCAGGGTTTTTTTCCTAGAAAAAATATCTAAACTATGTTGTCTCAATTCTGGTTTCTAAATTTTTTAATGCAGTATTTTATTTGTTTCATAGCAAGCCTCCCTGTACCATACAGGACTGTTTCAGGATGAAAGAAGCTTCCCTTTCCCACTTTCTAGAACTTCCTCAAGGTTTTACATTGGCAGCCATCACAAACTTTGATCTCTCTAGTGTTATATAGTACAGGAAGGGAAAGCCTTGGGTTTATTGAACAAAAAAAGTCCTTTTCTCACATCATACTCTTTCTTAAACCTCGCTGTGTGGGTCTTAAACTGGGCTTAAGGCTCCCAATTCAAGCTGTGGGGAACCTTTTTGATCCCCTGATCTAGATTGACCCAAGGATCCATCTAGTGGCTGGATGACAGGAGTAGAACCTCCCAATTAGGACTTCAAGCTGCTTTCCCTCCCTGACCCCCATTTTAGTTTTCTCCATTCTGAGAAAATCTCAGAGTAAAGAACAAGACTCTGCTAAGTTGCGTCTCTGCTTTACATGATGCTCATGGTTGTGAGTAAGAAAGCACACAAACATAGATCCCTGCTTGGTTGGTGCTAACAGTGAGTATTTCCCTTTTGAATGGTGCACAAAGGGGAAGCCCTGCCATTAGCAAGAATGCTTAGTGAAGAGGGGACAAAGTTTGGGAGGGAACCTTCAGGAACCAGATTAAGCCCTTGGGCACAGATATTTCTCGTGGCTACCCTAGGAGCTGGTGATTTGTGGCACTACTTTGTTGGAGGTCCCAGTCGTTTTTTCTAGTACCTAGATTGGTGATGTGAGTTATTGATAGCACTCTTCCTCCCTGTGAGTACCATATACCTATGTGCAGGAAATCATACCAGCTGGATGGATTTCTGTCACCAACTTTTAAAAAATTAAATTGGGTTCTCCTTTTGCAGATATTTCCCTTAAAAATAGGTAATACCAATACTGTTCAGTTATTTATAGTTGACAGAGGAGTAGAACCACAGAGGAGTAGAACAATTGTAGAAAATGTTACAGGATGCACTGCTCATTTAACAGATTTTATATTGCTTTGCGGGAGTAACTGGAAATCAATCCCATGCATATAAGAACAGCCTATGGGTTAAACACACCAGTGTGCTCTTAGGGACAAGTAGGAAAGAGCAGCCACTTCTGCTTTTAATCAGCAACCTATGCTCAGTTTATTATTAGTTTATTGAGGGTGATGTGCAAACCTGGACTGATGAATTATTTAGGAGCTAAACAACTTGGCAGTTAACCCTACAACAAAACATAAAACCAATTGGCACGCGAGGGAGCTGGAGAGATTTCATGGTATGAGATCACCCAGAACATGTGGATAATCTTGGTATCTTTTTAAGGAATCAGATGCTCGATCTCAATGCCCATGATAATTTGCCAGTTCCTGGCACCCAGTTTCAAGCTCTTAATAAATGAAATCCAATATTTTTGTCCTATATTTATTCTTGACCTCAAAATGTGGATATTAATTTTAAATAATAGTATGCTTTATTCAGTGTATCTGGAATGAGATCTGTGATTTGTTATATAAGAACATAAAAGCATAAGAAAAGCCATGCTAGATCAAACCAATGATCAAGTTCAACACCCTGTTCACACAGTGGCAATCCAGTTGTACACAGCATCCCTCAATCAGGATGGGTACAAGACCTGCATCTGCCCAGGTTCCTCAGCAGCTGTTGTATGCAAGAATGCCACCTCTGGTAAAGGAGGTAGCACAAAGCAAGGCTAGTAGCCACTGATCACCTCCTCCTCCATTAATTTGTCTAAGACCCTAACCTATTTAAAGCCAATCAAATTAGTGGCCATCATCATTTCTTGTAGCAGAGAATTCCATAGTTTAATTATATGTTGTGTGACAAACTTTCTTTTATTTGTGCTAAGCTTCCCACCAACCCATATCATGTGATGACTCCAACTTCTATTGCTATGGGAGATGAAGAAAACTCTCTCCCTCCCCACTTTTTCCACACCATACATAATTTTAAACACCTCTATGATATCCCCCCTTTACTCAACTTTTTAAAGTTAAACAGTCCCAGTTGCTGTAAGTGCTTTTACTTTTGTTTAGGGTATCAGTGCTTTGACATATGTTAAGCAAAGTTTATAGTCACACTACTGTCCTAAACATGCCTACTCAGGCATAAACCACATTGACAATATGGCAACCTGTCATGAGAAACTAGCTGTGGTGCATTTTGTGTAGTCCAAGTCTAGACTGCTTCCTGAAGTGTGGCTTAAATTTCAGCAACAAACAACTCTAATAACCCATGGTTTGTGCTAGGGGTTGTTTGATCCAGAATGACTTGTGCTGTCTAAACCCAGGAGAGCAATTTCATGAGTTATGGAGATCAGCTAACTGGCTGCCTGGAAAAGCAGCAAAAACCCCTGCTGCTCTTAGAGATCTCACTTTTGTGTAAGTTTGCACTTACAGCTGTCCAACATGTGTCAAGTCTTGATCACTTTAATTGCATGTTTCAGGTGTCAAGGGAATGGGGAAGAGGAATAGGTAACATATGTGGAATGTGACAAGAGCAGACTAAAAGGTAAAGGTTTCCCCTTGACGTTACATCCAGTCATGCCTGACTCTAGGAGGTGGTGCTCATCTCCGTTTCCTAGCCGAGGGAGCCAACGTTTGTCCGCAGACAGTCTCCGTGGTCATGTGGCCGGCATGACTAAACACCGAGGTGCACGGAATGCTGTTACCTGCCCACCTAAGTGGTACCTTTTTATCTACTTGCATTTGCATGCTTTCGAACCGCAAGGTTGGCAAGAGCTGGGACAGAGCAACGGGAACTCACCCCGTTGTGCAGATTTGAACCCGTGACCTTTCGATCAACCAGCCCAGCAGCACAGTGGTTTAAACCACTGCGCCACCTGCAGTTCCAAGAGCAGACTGCATCTAGGCTAATTTGTGCGCAGTTATTAGGGGCCAGTTGCTGAGTTTTCACTTGAAAAACACTGGTAAAAGTACAAGAAGTGGCAAAAGAAGATTCAGCAAAGGAGCCAGGATACCTTCCACTTAACAATGTAATCGTATTTATTTTATGTGTTGGACTGACACTTCTCAGTATTTTCCACCATTAGAACTCTTCCTCCAATCTCCAAGTAGTCCAGAACAGGGAGATAATGTTCCCCTCAACTTTTTGTGGCTCTTTTTTCTCAGAGCATTCACTGCAGCAATTACTGCAGACACTGGCATAATGGCTGGAGAACCATGGAGATGGATTCACCAATCTCCTGTTGAGCCCACATTGGATTGTTCCATGAATAACCCTCACTGTTTTGCCTATTCACAGGGTTGCTTATTGAGCTATGCAAATAGGACCAATTGGGTGGTTTTTATACAAATCTAATAAGTAACTAAACAATCCATTTTCAGTTGAGAGTGTGTAGCCTTAAATTCAGAATGGAATTTGAGGAATTAGGCAGTTATTTAAAAAGCTCTTACTATAGCTGAAATGGAAACCTTAAAAATCTTATTCTTAGCAAAACCCAAATGTTATCCAACCTTTTTATTGATCTCTCTAATTTCTGAGATCTCACTAGGTGTTACCTAATGCATTTGAAAGTATGTTTGCAAAGTGGTAATAACTAGAACTTTCAAGAATTTAGATTCTGAGGATACTACTTCTTGCACCCAGTATCACATTTTGTGGCTACATGTTCTAATTACACATCTTATTTATTATTTATTAATTTGCAGCATTTTTACCCATTCTTTAGCTAAGAAAGTCTCCTGGAGTAGATTATAAATGTTGGCAATAAATTAGCCCTGCCCTCTGGTTTACAAATTGAAAAGACAACATAAAAGGAAATGAGATTAGAAAGGAGGGATTAGAAAAGACAACAGTCAGGCACTGGATCTTAGTTTCAAAGTTCTTAGAGGGTGTTCTTGCTTACAAAGAAGCAAGTTGCCATTATGCCATTATGTTTACCTGGTGGATTGCATGTTTTCAGTGGCCTTTGGTTCTCATACTGATAAATGAGGCCAGATTCTGCAGTTGCAGTTCCTGTTTGCAAGGTGGGTGAAGCAGGCTTCTTCTAGATGCTCCCATTCTGGTTGATTTATGAATCCAGCTTGGGTTCTGCCTTGCCATGATATTGCTTCTTGGAGACAGGGGGCATAGCCCTTAATTCTCTGACTAATGGATGAGGTCAGAGTCTTGAGTCGCAGACTAACATTTTCTTAATGTAGTGAACTTTGAGAATAGTTTTGGAGCATATAATTATTCACTTCTTAAGCAACCAACATTTATTAAGCATTGTACACTCATTTAAAATAAGTTCCTATCTATTACGTTTATTCCCAGGGAAGTCTATGTGAAATGTTAGTCATAGATAACTTGAGTCCTGTTGAGTATTCAGTGTGATCAAAGTGTGGCTCATTTGCTCAGGATTCAATCTGAAGTAATTAGGAAAGCTTTGGTCATCACTCAGGATAGAGCACATATTTTGCATGTAGAAGGTCTGAGTTCAATCCTTGGCCTTCCCAGACAAGGCAGAAAAAACTCCTGCCTGAAACCTGGAAAGCAACTGCCAGTCCATGTTGACAATAGATTAGCATAATAACTTTTTGAGTTCCTGGACTGAACTGAAGGATTAACTGTTCTAGCGTGCTGAGCTGCAAGTACTATGCTTGAACAAGTCACATACATGTGCTAGCCTCTGGAGTTAAGTGTCTGGCTTGCTTCCTTGTGACTTGTATAAAACACTAGTGGGTTTGCACATGTCTTAACCAATATCAGGGTTTAAGCCTTTCCAGGCCTTTTCCACTGCATTATGCTCTCTGGGATTGCGTTATAGATTGAACAGTGAAGAATAATTGAAACTGTAGAAACAGAATGAAAATGTTTCAGGCTAGTCTGCAAAAGACAGACTTAATGTTCTAGAGTAAATTGCACTAAAAGGCATAATTGAACTAAATATTAGATCAATTCCTTTGTGCCACTTCTGAGTGATCACTCTAAAGGGCATGCTCTATTTTTTGTTCATCAGTCTTGTTCTGCTTACTTTTAAAAGCTTTAAGAGACATCTGGAGCTTTAGTAGCTACAGCCAGCCCATTTTCTGTACCTTTGTTATCCTTTAGGTTTAAAGAAATACATTACCATTATTTGAGAAACCAGGGCTATGAAATTCATATGTAGTTATAGAATTCATAAGTAGTTGTACTTTGTAGAAACAGTTTGGATGTTGTACTGGAGAAATCAACAGCTTAGATTTTTCTTTCAATGTTTTTGTTCTGGAAGACAGGCTATGTACATATAAAATATGCATAAAGAAGGATGGAATAAAATTTAGCCTGAACTTTGCAGAATTTGGGAGAAGGTGGAAAGTAAGTCTCTCCCTTCAGTTTTATGTTAAAACATATGGTTGGAAGGTTTTGTTGGGTAGAACCAAGTTAAATGGTTCTGGGTAGGATTATTTTTGGTAGGATGCTATTCTGAGTAGGATTATTTTTGGTAGAAATCAAACAGAAGGCCAGGTTGTTCCACTAAATGTGCCTATACAACATAGCTCAGGTTAAATTAAAATAGTTTATTGCGTTCACATTTTTATCCAAATGTAAATATTTCTATTCAAACATAGTCAATTATTTTTGACTGGCGTGTTAGGAGTGTGGCAATTATATCTATATTCCCTTCAGAATGGAGGGATTGTGGCTTGCCATTCTTGGTAACTTAGGGCTCAATTCAATACATGTTTAGATAGGAAAAAAGACCTACAGCTCCCAGAATGCTCCAACCATGTCTCATTTTGTTTAAATGTGCATAAAATCACACCCTTAGTAATTATAGCAAAAAATTGGCCTGTGTTTTAACAATTATGCAGTACTTGCAATGAAGTATGAAAGGAAAATGAACATATTGCTCTATATTTTCCATCATGTGTTAGCCTTTTTTCTTATCCTTATTCTAATTTTAAATAATTTAGTTTTCTTTTAGTTATAATGTTTTTGCTAGGCAGAGCTTGATTCAGATGTTTAAAAAATGAAAGCATAAGTGTAATTTGGTTTGCTGCTAATTGTTTCCCCCCGATTCTTGCAACACAGGATTCAGGTGAGGCAGAGTACCAGCATGGGAATGTTTACTGGCCAAAATAAAAATGGATTTCATTTTTTTAAAACAATGCTTTCAAGAAAATATATCAGCTCTAAGTCTCTGAAAAGCAGGTATCTAGATAACTCCTTGTAAGCCATTCAGGCCTAGAGAATCTAAAAGAATTTGGAGTCTTATTTTCACAAATGGCTTCCTGTGAGACATGTGTGGGTACATGGTTTTATCTGAATACAATGTGAGATTGCTTCTGAAATGTTGCAATATATGAACATTGAAGTTGAATACTCAAGGAAGTTACAGGGAGTCATTGTTGTATCTCTTGACATGAGTCAGTAAATGATTGCAAAATTTGTCATTTTTTTTACAATTAAAGCCTAATTTCCAAATCCATCCATGTACTATTAGGACAGTTCTTATGATTCAGTTTACTCTACTTTCTGGAGTGAATTCTGTCACCCTTGTTTTCTAACAGCCTGACATAAACCTTTTTATTGGACACAAATTTAACGTTACAGTTTCCCAATGAAACAAAATATCTGTTAAGTATTTTCACAGAAAAATTATGTTTCAGATTTGATATCTATTAATACTGATTTTAAAACCATTTTTATAGCTCTGCCGTTGATGTTAAAACTGGGCTGCGAGTGGCTGTGAAGAAATTGTCCAGACCATTTCAGTCTATCATTCATGCGAAAAGGACCTACCGTGAACTTCGTCTGCTTAAACATATGAAACATGAAAATGTAAGTTCCAGTAGAAACCTAGAAGTATGCATTTTGTTTTCTAGATTAGGATTGTTAGGAGAGGTTAGGTTAGAATTCACCTAATCTTAGGTTAGGAGTGATCCCTGGCTTGTTAACACTTGATGCATTTAGAGTTGTGAAGGGGCATTCAAGTTTTTATTGACGAGAAGAGGTATTAAAGAGGGAGCAAATTATTCTGAAATTAATCCCCAATGCCTAAATAATAGTTAAATGCTAGGGAAATTCAACATCTGTACCAGCCCCAACAGTACTGTTCGTCACATACCAGTTCCAGCTATAAACTATTTCAGGGGTTTCTGATTATACTGTAGTTATTAAGTCCTGTGCAATTTATATGTTATATCTGATTTCCTTACCAATAAAACTCTCTGGTTTTAAAATGGTTCAAGGTGCAATCCTGTGCATGTTTAGATAGAAAAATATCCTGCAGGTCCCTTATTGAAGAATACTGGGAGGTGAAGGACTTAGTTCTGGTTGTATATGTGTAGGATTGCACCCTTAATGTAGGGTTATGTTCAGTTAGTAGTTTCTAATTGCTGTTTTGGGACATGTCTTAAATGTCTTCTGATTTCTGGATTTTGTCACAGAACCTATTCACTGAAGGCAGACTCAAGTCATGACGAAATAATGGGTTTGTTAATACCACAATTTTCAACTGTTGGAACAGTTGCAAAATACTTCCCAGAGTACTTCTGGAACACTACAACAGGGATGTTGCAAAAACATTTCTTCCTGCTATGTTCCTGTGAAGAAGCTTTCAGTGCTAATATCTTTCAGTGGTTGCTCCTGTCAAAGTAGGAAGGCATACATTAACCAGAATATTTCATTTTTACAGTTGCCCTAATCCCAATACACTCTGTGATGGCCAAATAAATAACTGCAACAAGATAGCTGTTGTTGAGATCTGAACAGGGCTGTGGAATTGGTACATAAAACCTTCAAATCTTTTATTTATGTATCAGTATAGGAAATAAATAAACTAATTATATATTTCCTATATTGATTGAAAGCATTCAACCTATAAGGCATTTAATCACTTTTAGAACCCTGACCTGTTAAAATATATCCTGAAAATATAACCTGAAAAAATAGGTTATTCAAATTATTCTCTGTAAAATAGAAAATTTTAACTTATTATTTATATTACAATTTAAATTTATTAGGAGTAGGGGTTAGAACATTTTTTTCAACTCCAACTCTGTGTCTAGTAACCCAAGAATTGTTTCTAACCCCATAACTCCAACTCCATAGTTCTGGATCTTAAGTAAAAAATTTGTAGAATTGTGTTCTCTGTGCTGAACATATTTCTTCAGGCAAGCTAAGAAATATCAGAGGGGTGAAAAGAACAAAGTTGCTGACTTATGAAACTGTCTCCTAATTTCCCTGTATAAAATAAGGCCAATTGTGCAGATATGACTGTGTGTGTAGACTGTCACCTGTTTGAGTCGTAACACTTGCTATTCTACGTCTTGTTTCTAAATCATATACTCTCTCTCAACATTACCAGGTTGCGTTATTATGCAGATAGTGGTAAAAGTACTGAATTTATTGAAACCTGGCGGTTGTTAACTGATCTCTGGGGTAGAAAAGACCATTGAACAATATTCTTGCTTTTGGCAAGAAGTTCACTTAGTTCAAATATCTTTTCCCATATGATTATGCTAGTTTATTCAGGTCTGATGAAGCCCCTGCTTCATGTCCCACCACAGACACTGGTAGGACTGGTGCTTCTGTGGGCAGGGTTGTAATTCTACCCTGAGAGATTTGGCTGATCTCCTCTCTGCTGCTGTTAGAATACCAGGTAAAAACTGTGTGTGTTCCAGTGTACTTTTGCAGTGGGGATACTAAGGTTATGCTCACCCTCTTCTTATGTTTTATGCTTTTTATAATTTACTGCATTGCAACTTTTTCAATTTTTATCTTCTATTTTATTCTTGTTTTAACTCTTGACTATTGCACGGCCTGAGGGCTTTCAGTGGTGGTGTGAAGGAATGCCTGTATTTGTGATTCTGTAATATGTATGTTGTGTAGCCTCCACAAAGTTACAACATAATCTGCATAGGCCAGAGGTCTTGACTGATTTCTGTCAAAGACTTATATAGGTGTTACTGAATGTCATGCTGAGGAGGGAGGGAGGGACAGTCGCTTAATATCTTAAGATAGGGTCCAGACAGGTAAATTCAATTTTGGTTGGCTGGGGATTCTACCTAGGTAGAAAAAACATTTGGGAGATAAAGTGCAGTCCTAGGCATATTTAGAGAAAACATGCTCATGCACTTCCCAGCAGCACTGACTAGGGAATGCTGGGAATTGTAGGACATTTTCTATCTAAACATGCCTGGGATTCTTCCTTAAGGTATGACTGCTGACAGTGGAGGACTAGTCAGAATTCATGGTGTGTGTGTGGGGGGGGGGGGGGGGGAGAGGGAGAAGATCTTGAATTATGTCAAGAAGCTACCCTCAAATCTTGCAATAGGTTGGGCATATGGAGAATGCAAAGAAACAGCACATTGGAGAGAAGCCCTGCTTGTACCTGTGATCACAAGAACCATGCACAAAGGCCCCTTTAGTTTTTGAGCCTTATGTGAAATTTGCCTATATATTGGGGTAGCCAGACTTGCTCAGTGGAAGACCCGTATCCAGTAAATGTCAGATGTTTGAGAGCTGCAAATAGGTGCCCATGGGTGGCGGCACCACACAGCGAGTGGCAAGTGGTGAGCAGTGAGCCTCCGTATAAACTCAGAGTGCCTTGTGTGACTCCTAAGCCTCAGTTTGGCTACCCACAATACATATCTATCTGCACCCATGCAGATTATCTTTAGATGCAGGTGATAAAGCAGTATATTTATTTTAAAAAGAAAAATGAGATTGTCAAGAATCTAAATTCATTTTTAGAGTACAGGAAGAGGAAATGACCTGTCTTCCAACAAACTGCAAGCCATGTTGTAACCCTTGGAATGATTGTATAGGGTGGATTTGCAAAAGCTAATGTATTGGCTTCATTTGTTTTCCATGTTTTGTGCAAAATGGTTGCTCTGTTGGAACTACAAAATCCATTTACTGAACTATGCTTTTAGGTATAGGTAAGAAAACTGAAGTGGTGTGGAAAGATCAGTTATATATCAAAGCAGAAATTTCATTTGGGCTTCAGGTATATAGGAACTGATACCACAATATGACATTTGTAAAATAAAGATTATTCTTACATTTAAAATAATTCCATATATTAATACATTCACCTTTGGAATAGGTAATATGATTAGCACCAACCAAGAAATCTGAATGATGAATTTAGTGTATTTGTTTATTTGTCAGATGGGGTATTGTGTTCCCCAGATCATATTTTTCTTTGCATTATTTTAAATGTAAGGGAATAGACTGTTCTGAACTGTTAAAATATGCTGGTGAGGTAGAAAATAGCTGTATTAGCATGTTTACGTTAAAAGCAAAATAAAAATCACCTTCTGTTCCTGTCTTCTGTAATTTTACTGTGTTCTATGTAAAGCCCTTAGAAAGAAATAGATGGCTATATTGCCTGTAATTCAAAACCAAACTTTGTAGTTTCTGGTGCCAGATTACCTGCTATATACAAATGTAGAGTGGCATCCTGGCAACCCTTTTTTTGACAGGAAAATCCATTTTACAAGGGGATGATTTGGATCAAAGGAGTGAAAGGGAAATGCTTTTTAACAATTTCTTGTTCCAATCTAAATCATTCTTTCATCTCCCTTCTGCCACCCCATTCCCTTGGCAGGATTTCAGTGGGCATTTACAAAGGTAGAAGGTATTATATTTATTCTAAAGATGATAATGTTGCACATCAGTAGAAATCCCCAGGACAGTTACATGAATAGGATACTTCTTTCAGTGTGTGTGTGTGTGTGTGTGTGTGTGTGTGTGTGTGTGTGTGTGTGTGAGAGAGAGAGAGAGAGAGAGAGAGAGAGAGAGAGAGAGAGAGAGAGAGACAGAGAGACAGACATGGAGACGGAGACAGACAGAATAAAAAGAACACAAATTGAACCTGTCATGTAAAAAGAGAAACAGAGAGGGAGAGTAGAAATATAATCAGGGTAGACTTGAGCTATTGTATGTAACTCACTTGAGCAACCTCATCATTATTTATTTCTGCAATCCCTTCTGTGTAATAAGAAGCCTAGTTATACAGGCTTCAGCATTCTGACTTGAACAAAGGCTTAAATGTGCAGCTATTTTTACTGCAAATCCTGGTACAGCTTCTGAATAGCAAGCAGCAGTTTGAAGATACATGTTATTTTTCTTGCCCAAATATGGGACATTTAATGGATGTATTAAAGAATAAAGGCATTTCTTGATGTGCTTGGTCTGAATTATACTTGCTTGCTTCTGAAACATAGCCAAGTGCAAATGCACTGTGCAAACCTGGCTTTGAGTCTGTGAAAGTACTGTTTGGCATATCATGGAAAGTAATGAAGTCACGTATTTTCAAATGTTAGAAGATTTGTTGTTTTTTGTAGAAATGGTTAATCTTTATGACTAGAGTGGTTTAAAGCCACCATGGTGGCAGTACTATAAATTACATAAATTTAATTTACAAATCATATGTATAAAAGCTCATTTAATCAAGAAAGGCTGAGGATGCCTTATTTTTCCCACTGAATTCAGTTTTTTCCCTGTTTGGGCTGTTGTAAATTTCTAAACTTCAATATAACACCTATACTGCATTTTATGCATGATTAATAATTTAGATACCACACTAAACCATAAGTTAGTGTGTAGAGAACAAATCACAGTAGACTCAGGCTTGCAAAATGCATGCTCCAACATGGTTATGAGGAGGACTTTAGAAGCTATCAGATCTGTTTTGTGGTAGCTTCAATTTTCCATGTCATCTGAACCAAACAGACTGTGCATCACCTTAACCATTGTTGTTTCTAGACCAGGTTATTCTTTTGCAATATAGTCCTGCTTCATTTACAAATTTTTATGGAGGATACCAGATTTGTCTTCCATTTTAGCCCTTCTATGTTTTCATATGGGTTCTTTCATTTTTTCCACTATCACAGAAAATCCATTAAGCAGGGAGAGGCAGAACAGCTTCACAGTGTCTTTTGACTAGTATTGCTGCATGCTGCCCATCAGAAAACTTCCTGTGGTTAATGGCAGGAAGACAACTGCAACCATTTTTTAAAAAAATGCCTTGATTTTACTAATCACACATAAGATTAACTAATTTAACGTTCAGTCAAACACTATGCAGCAGTTAATCTAAAACAGAAGTAGAAACTTCTGATCTCCTCAGGGCTGTACTGGAGGAGGAAAAAGCGAGAGGAACATGCAAGCCTCAGGCTTGGACAGCCTTATCCTTGTGCTCATTCAAGGCTGGGGAACTTCTAATCCTCCAGTGTTACTGTACTGCAGCTTCCAGCATCCCTGACTGATGGCCATGCTGGCTAGCAGTGGGTTGCCCATATGTGGTATACATTTATGTTTGGAGGAAGGCAGATTTATATATATAATGTGCATTTCCTTATGTGTACTTTTTCTCTCCCAACACAGGTTATTGGTCTTCTAGATGTGTTTACACCTGCAAAATCGTTAGAAGAATTCAATGATGTGTATGTAACACTTCTAAACTGAATTGCAAATACTTGGGCAATTGCCAAAGTAATCCAAAAGTTGTGGCTTTGATATTGTAACATTTGTTACTCAGTGCACATTCCTTTATATGATGATGATGATGATACAGATGGAATAAACTGAAAATCTTCAGTTTAAAGAGAGCTTTAAATTACCGTTGGCCAATAAGATTGTGTATATGAAGGAACAAGTATGTTAAGTGTTATTGCACAAAGCAATTATTTTTGTTGCACAACCTTTTGCTCATCAGTACAGGAAGGTAGCTAAGGACTGTTGCCCATACTGTAGTTTATCTATGCAGGAATGGGGGAAAGTAATACAAGTGGTCATATATAAAAATTATGTGAATACCTATTTTGCCACAGCTACATGCTAAGAAACTACATGATAAGCTATGTAAGATGCAGCTCTGTGATAAGAAGAAGCAGTTGAATGCTGGTACCCAGCTGTTGTCCCTGGTCTTAATAGTATTTTGAGACAGCTTTACAGAACAAATCTATCTGATAGAAGATTCTAAATAGCTTTTGAGGATATTTATATGCAGTAATAATTTGAAAATTCTGAAATGCAACTATCAGCTCTTCTGATCAGGAATCCTTAGTAAGGTTCTCCTCTGCATGCCATCACAACATTGTTTCATCCTTTTGCACTTTGCTGGACTTTGTGCCTGTTAGTGTACAGCTTATCCCAGGGCACACAGCAAAGCTTAAGTTTCCAAGTTTAGATGGTTACAGTTTTGACAAAAATGTGCACTGTCCAAAGTTGTTAAAATAATTCTTGCTTCTGCTACTGGAATGATGGTGGACTTCCTCTAGAAATTTCCTTGTTTGAATCACTTCTGTATCCATTTCTGATGCTGCAGTTGAGTTTGAGTGGTACTACGCACAGGACTGCAGTGCTTATTGTAACATACAGTATTCCATGATTAAGTGCATTGAATTACCTGTGTAAACTTAAAGCTGTCAAATACTTTTAGTTGCAGTTGACTATCTTTACTTTATGAGAAACTTCTGCAGGTTCAGTGAGTTCAAAGCAGAAATGCTAACACATTGTTTTGAAAAGAGTTCATATGTTGCAGCAAAATACACACACATACACACACGAAATCCAGACTGAGCAAGGTTCTTGAATAGACTGGAAGGGCCTATGAGCAAAGAGGGGAATAATCCTAAAATTCTATCAATCACATGAATGTCTTCAGTTACTTGGAATTACTGTGGACTGGTTTCTTCAATCATTAAATTGTAGCAAAGGAGACTCGTGGATACTTGCTGTTGTATTATGATACCTTAAATAGTTGTGTTTAAAACCAGTTGGACTTCTTTGGGATAGTTTCAAAGAACATGTTGAGACAGGCTTCCTATCTTAAGACTAGGTGGAAGAATTTTGTTAACAGATATGTAAGAACACCTTATACTGCATATATCCTATTTACTCCTTATCTACTTTCTTTCTTTTGTGGAGAAGTGGAAAGACTGAATCAATGCAGAGATCAGTATAATTGATTTTATAATTGTTGAAGTGGGGTTGCTAATTGGATGACTTTGGGCCACTCACAAACTCTCAGCCCAATCTACCTCACAGGACTGTTGTTGTGAGGATAAGATTGAGAGGAGGAGGAGAATTATGTAAGCTGCCTTGAGTTCCTTGAAAGAAAAAAAGGTGGGATATAAATATAATAATTTTTAAAGCTCTCAGGGATTCATAACTAGAAAGATGTAGGGTTCTTACTGTGTTTTCCTTAAGAGCTGGTCTGTGCATGACCTTGGCATATGGGTAGGGTGGAGTGCATGTGAATTTCTATGCAAATAGACTCCAGTGCAAGTTCCCATACCATAGCAGTGTTCTCCTCTGTGAAAAAGTGACAGATGAAATTGGTATAGTTTCTTAAATAGAGTGGATCAGATGCAGGTTAAAAGTATGTGGGATAAGTTAGTCATTACTCATTCAACTATCGTAGTCTGCAGTCCTGTACACATTTACCTTGGAGTAATACCTATTAAAGTTACTGAAGTTTACAACTGAGAAAAAGTGTACAATTGCATTGTATTGTACATCTGAATCCAACCCAGTATGCCACTCATTAGGTGCTAATAGTTTTAGTGGTTCTGATAATTGTTCTTTATCTCCCTGGAATGTTTTTATTTAACTATCTCATGTAAAGGTAACACTTTTGCTTAACTTTTGTTTTCTAGCTACCTTGTAACCCATCTAATGGGAGCAGATCTCAACAATATTGTGAAATGTCAGAAGCTCACAGATGACCATGTACAATTTCTTATCTATCAAATTCTTCGTGGTTTGAAGGTATTCACATCAGTCCTGTTGCTTTAGTAGCACATCTATATCTTGAGAACTTATATTCTTATGATTGCACCAACACATGCTTGCTGTTCTGAATTGGTTAGATGGATCCCTAGTACATTGGACATAAATGACAAATCACCCTTTAGAGAACTGAGAGTGAAATGAAAAGGCCAGCACTTTCCTTTTCCCTTGAATCAGATTAGACTTATCTGTTCTACTCTTTTATTTATTTATTGAGCAAAACTAATGTTCTCTGTATGGGGGAGATTTGTGTATTTTGTGTTGCTTTGTTATGAGATGTGTAAAGCATATGTGTTGATTAGATGGGGACGAACTGCAAAAATCTTCATGAAGAGGAAGGAAGGGGACATTACAAGGCAAGATCATGCTGCTGATTGCACTGCAGAAGCAGCTAATCTTTGTATTCATTTCTGTGCCTTTCTGCAGACTTCTATATAGGAAAATGGAGAATGCTTCATGAGATATATAGAGATAGCTGGGGAGGCTGCTTCTGCAGTGGCCGTCTGCACCATGATTTCTTGCCCCTTTTCTCCATTTCTAGCCTGAAATATGTTTTATGATTGGTTAGAATCACCCATGTGACCTGTCCAGAAAGCATTGCCCTCACTCTAACTTAGTTATATTTGCCTTCAGTGATACCATCTCACGCACAAATGATCCCTCTCAGTCACAGGTTAGTCTAGCAAAAAGCATTGGGGGTGGGGGTGGGGGTGGGGGTGGGGGGGATGGTGCCGCAGAAGACCAGAGAAGCAGCGGCCAAAAAACAGCCAAAAAATATTTGTGGGGAACCATACTGGCTTCTTGAAAATTTCAAGTAGTCCTGCTAGAAATCAGGTTCAAAATTATTTTTTAAAGCAAAGGTATCTCTAGAAGATCTAGATGTAGTTTTAAATGCCATCATGTAACTTGCAATGAGTTTATAATCAGATGCCTAGGCACTTCACTGGTAGACAGTTTGACAGTGTACACTCAAAATGCAAAAGCACTTTTCAAGATAACAAAGAGGGACCGAATCTAATAATTTTAAAATATGCCTCTTGCTTTTCATGCATATATTATATATTCCACATTTCAATTAGAAATTGCTTTTTTACCTGTAAAGCGGGAAACTGAAAGCAAGCCTGTAGTTCCCTCAAACATCATTACAATATCTGAGAATACTAAATTATCAAAATGGAGCAAAAAAGATGTAGATTTTCTTAATAAAGAAATAGTAAATAGTGCACTGAACCTAATTGTCACAATATTTTTTATCCTGCAGTATATCCATTCTGCTGACATTATACACAGAGTGAGTATTCTTATTACAGTGAAAGAAGTATCTCTGGAACATTGGATTTTTATAGAGTAAACATTGGATTGTTATAGAGTAAACATTGGATTGTTATAGAGTAAAAAAGCTGCAGAAATTTTATGGAATAAAATTGCTACAAAATGCAGTTAATGCTGAAGGAAAGAATACAGGCTTGGGTTCATTGTCTTTTTCAAACATGTATCCTCCTCACATGGCATATTTTGGTGGGATAATTTTTGATGCTTGTTGCTTATACGTAGACTTGGCATGGGTTGCTGAAGAACTCAGCAACATTATAATCAGATTGTATATAGCAACTGGGGATTGATTTTAGAAGCTGAGGGATAGATCAGATGTTGTTAGTGCTAAATTTCAGAATACAGACAACTTGGTTACTTTTGTAATGTTGACATTGGCACCTCTCTCTCTCTTTCTCTCTCTCAGGATTTAAAACCTAGTAACCTAGCTGTAAATGAGGACTGTGAGCTGAAGGTAAATTGGGATTAGTATTCACACATGGTTTATAGGTTAATCTAGTGGTCATTCCTATTCATGTAGGTTAAGACATTAAATATATCGCCAGAAAAATGCAGGCAATTATATAAGCAAGTTTGTTTGTTTTGTCTTGGTCAGATATTTTCTGATTGGATTGGTTTCTGTTTAACTGTTGTCACAAAAGGTATTTGGTAAAGTTCCAATTTATTCTTTTCCAGTTTCCCTTTATGTGAAAATCTTGACTGTGATGTTAGTGGGTAAAATCTAGTTAGCTCATTCTGCTGATAGAACTGCTGTCAACACGGAGGGAGGTGATTTCCTCTCACCCTGCAACCCACCCTTACTATCTGCTCCTCAGGGAATGGGGATCTTCTGGAACAGATTCTGGGAGGTTGTAGAGCCCTGCAGGGAGGAGTAAAGAAGTTAGTCTCAGTAGCTCAAGTGGAAGCACGTCGATTTCCCCACTGATCTTGGTTGTAATTGGAAACTGCAGTTAGAAAATGACAGATGTTTCACAAATCTTTGGTAAATTTAGACTTGCAAAACCTATGTTTTATCAAATCAGTTTCTGGAAGAATTCAATAATCTTTCTTCTTGTTCAGTCTCAGATCTTCCACAGTTGTATTTCATCAGATATGTGAAGCCCAGCGTTGCTCTCCTTCTTTGTTGATGAACTGATTGTATCAGTTTATGGCTGTTCTTATTCTGCAGATTCTGGATTTTGGGTTGGCGCGCCACACAGATGATGAGATGACAGGTTACGTAGCAACCAGGTGGTACAGAGCTCCTGAGATCATGCTGAACTGGATGCATTACAATCAAACAGGTGCAGCATCTCATTAGTCTAGTAAGGATTAACAAACAGCACTTAACCATAGAATAGAATATGCAACAAGGGATTTGTCCAACCCTGCCCTAATACATGTTATAGTCAGTAGTGTCTCTATTTGTTAAACTAATCTGAAGTTCTTTTTTTGCTAAAGTACAAATACCTGATTTTTCATGTTCCCATACTAAATGTTACCCATTGTATCGAGTAGTTTTTAACAGTTAGAATAAAGCTGTCTAACTAAAAGGAGTTATTGGCTTCTGACTTACTCTCCTTTTTCCTCAGTTGATATTTGGTCAGTGGGATGCATTATGGCTGAACTATTGACTGGAAGAACACTTTTCCCTGGTACGGACCGTATCCTTTGACAACATTTAAAAATAAACTGAAACATTCATTTCACTTCTTGGAAATAAAAGGCAATTACAGTTCTTCATATCCTATGAGATTTGTTTTCCGGTGCCAGCAAACCAGGTGACCTATCAAACTTTTTTCAGTTTTGCAAGTGTGGCTATATGAGGACACAAACTGCATAATTTTGGGAGCCCCAAAGTAATAGAGGTCTAATAAATAATAACAAGGGGATAATAACACATAAATGGTAGACCTATTAATCAGTTTTAATTTAATTCTTAAACATGACTTTTCCTCCTTTCTGAATATATATCTACAGATACTGAATGCCAGTTGCCATTGGTCCGTTAGGAATATTGAAAATGCTTTGCATGATATGAAGTCATTATTTTAGTCTGCTCACATAATTGGGAGAGGAATTTAGTATCAAATCCAAGAATTCCTTCAAGGATTAAAACTTTTGAAGATACTACTGCAACCCTTTGATCAGGATTTCTTAGCATAGAGATTGCTATGATATACTGTTGTGTTGTGTTCATGCACATACTATCTGTTGGAAAGGAGCTGTTTAAGTCTTATATTGAACATTGCACTTGGATTATAATCCTGAAACAATAAAATACACATACAGATTTCTATTGAGATAAAAATGTACTTTTGTGTTAAGACTTCCATTTTCAAAATATTACATATCTCTTGAAAATGAAAGCCATGTCTTCTGGAGCTGCTTTTACAACCTTACATACTTGAGGTTAGTTCTTGTGTAAACCTCCTCCACTCCATTAATTTTGGCATTCAGTCTCTAACTTACTCTTATCCTATGATTGATTATACCTTTAATTTTTGAAAGAACAAAGTGCGCAGAAGGCATTATGCTATTTTTATGTGAATGATTTTATTATGTTCTTCAAAAACTTTCCAGAGTAATTAAGGCAAGTTTTGTTAAAACAATAATATAATAAATGTATGGCCTACATCCTTGATTTTGTCTTACTTTATTGTCCTATCTCTTGCCTTCATTCCCTCCTGTTAACTTTATCTTCTCCTTTTTCAATATCCTTGCAGTTGTCTTTCTTCTTTTCAATTTGAGGTATGTGAACAAACACTTCTCTTGCTATATAAAGCAAAATAGTCACACCACAAATATGAACTGGATGTTACCATCATTTTTACTATGACCTATTTTTCAATTACATGTATCAACTTCTCTTTTGTATGTTTTTGGTAAGAGTGAGTTTGCTTTCTGCAAATATTCTAGGCTTCATGTGTGATGGTCATTTAAGGCAAAAGCAGGGAATTACATCAGTTCTTTAGGCTGCATGCTCTTTATTGGAATCATGAGAAATTGCAGTCAAATGGTAGTATCCAGTGTTAGTTCTATTTATAGTAAACCCATTGAAATGAATGGGACTTAAGTTAGACTAACATTGGATACAACCCAAAGAATGATAAAGCACATCCTAGAGGAATACTATGAATACACAGAGATGTAAACCATCAGTACCAGGAACTGGGAAAGCAAATCTCAAAGCTCAGCTCTTGGAATCCAATTTGCAGAGGTAGTTGATCCACTGTGGTTTTACATTCATGTAAAAAGCTAACTTCTGTAGCTGGATAATGTTTCAGAAACTTAGGACATTTTGGTGGACAAAGTATGGATAAGACAGAAGATAGAAACTAATGGGTAAACTTCAACTTTCTCTTCTTTCACCCTGACCCAAATTTGTGTTAACTGTTCTTTTTAAACTGTCAGTTAGTGGCTATGGAATAGGGACATGGGTTAACTTTGGACAAGGTTAATACCTCAAGAAACTGGTGTAACTAATTGAACCGTGGTGTATAATTACTGTCACAAACTTATTCTATGCTAGTGAAGAATGCTCACTGCTGGTTGTGGCGGCAGTCTTGACTCTATTCTGCATGTTAATATTGAATGTGATTCTCTTAAGTCCTTGGATGTGATTCTCTTCTGACATCTGCATGCTTTTTGCTTTGCTTTGCTTTGCTTTGCTTTGCTTTGCTTTGCTTTGCACACACTTTCCCTTCAACTTTCTTTTGTTCTGTGTTTGCAAAAAACTTGTTTGTGCCTGTTCACAGAATATCTAACTGTTCCTTATTGATCCAGTTAGAAGTCTGTTAGTATTAACAGGTGTAATGTTAATGAGAGCTGGGGTGGTGTAGTGGTAAGGAGCACAGGACAGAACTCTAATGAATGAAAATAAATAACGTTAGGCGCATCAACTTAACTATAACTATCAACTTAGTTATAGCTTATGTACAGATTTACTTAATTGTGTTGGTCAGCTGCTGACATATGGAGAGTTCTATTATACGGGCAGTTATGGACGAGTTACATTCCTGAGAAAAATGGAAATTTAGCTTTAAGATGAATTTTTATGTAAGTTGGATCATGTATTGTCTGCCTGCCACATTTGCTGGGGTTAGGGGTGCAGGACTCCTGTGAAAGTATTAAAACCACGATTATTTCCACTGTGAACTCTTTTGGCTGTTGGCAGAGCAGTGGAGGAGCAGAGGCTGGGAGAGCGTGCAGGGGTGGCCAGAGAACTGGCAAAGGCAAGGTAGGAGCTGGACAGAGAAGTGGAGGTGGGGGGGAACAGGAGCAGCGGAGAGGAAGGGAGGTGGGGCCAGTGAGGCACAGGAGGAAGCAATGGGGTAGGGCCTGCAGCCTCTGAGGCTTATAAAGCCACACAGTCACTGCAAGCTCTTTTGGCTCTTTGCAGAGCAGCAGAGGCTAATCCCACCCAAACTCACCAGTGCATCCTCCTTGCAAGCAAGGAAATGCTGGAGAGATTTCCCTCTTCAGATAGGTGATGTAGGAAGACCTGCTTTGGAGACCTTCCTCTCTCCCCTTTCACTTCTTTCCTCTATGTGGTTGTACTTTGGAGACCCTGCCTTGCTCCTCTTTTGCTTCCTCTCTGTGGTGATGATGATTTCCTGCAGTGATTTTTAAAAAGTTAATAGGCTTTATGGCAGTTTATAAGTACGGGTTGTTCTTAGCTTGGATTTTTGTTACCTGGGGACTGCCTGTATAGCATATTTTACTTTTTTTTCCTTTAGAAAATGGCTTCTAGAGCTAGTAGAGTGAAGTGACTAGTGTTCCTACATCCATCTACACAGAAAACACAAATCTGAAAATGAAATCTGGCTTTCAACAGTGGATATTTTGTCACTACTTTCAAATATGGCTCAACTTTCAAATAGTGTCAGCTAGAAAAAGACTGTTGTAGCATTACCTCTAGCCAAAACAAGATGAAATTTTCTGAACAGTGTGACTTTTCTAACTTTTTTTGAATAAATTATTATTCACATTTAGTGAGATACAAATTCATAGTTTCAGTTATGTGAATATTTTAACTGACTGCAAATACAAATGTATTTCTTATGGCTTAAGACTGCAACAGTTGCATTGGAATTGACACCTTTATTTTAAGGATGAGCCTGCATAGACGACAGATCTTTGTAGAAGATATTAGTTTGAATTGAGTCTGAGGTTCAGTGGTTTTATCAGTTTACTAAGAGATGTGGAGGGGCTAGTATGTTTAGGATGGAAATAATGATAGGTATAGAACTTGGAACCCACTTTTCACCAAGGCAATTTCAAGGTAGTTTCAAATTTAAGAGATTAGGTTTTAATCTTCAAAAGCTAGAATAATCCCACTTTGAAATAACTTTAGAGTCTCCTGTTCGCTCATGAGCTTTCTTATGTACTACACTATGGGAGGAATAGCTCATGCTCTCAACCCAGAGGCCACAGTGGAAAGCTCTAGGAAGGCTCCCAATTAATTTGTGGCTCAGCTGAGATTTGGATTTTCTGGATCACACTTTTACCCTCTATGCTATACCAACTCTGTTGTCTACAAATCTACATGGTAAGGCACAAGAAGCAGGTTCCACAATTTTAAATGTACTGTAAGTACAAATCAAGTACATATAATGGTTTAAATTTTGTGTAATTGCCCTCCAAATATTATGGGAAGGCCCCAGATGACCTCCACAGAGTGTGTCTAATGTAATTTTAATATAGGTCACTAAATTTTTTTATTGGGTGGATTGAAAATAAATATTCTGTTATTGCATTGCTTGCCCAAGCTATAATTTCTGGCAGCAACTGAAGAAGAAGAAATAGGTTGTAACCTAGAAAGCTTAATGCTGTGTCAAAATTAGTTTCAAAGGTGCTTCACAATTTAGGCACTAATAGTTACGCAACAGTAATTCTTATTGTCAGTAGCACCTGTGCATGGCAGTCTGTACCATACTGCTTCTGTTACTAAATCTTGACCTTACTAATGAATGGGAGTATGTTGATTTAACCACTACAGAACCCTAATTATGCAGATCACATACCATTGCATTCTGATTGCAAAATGTACTCAATGGTCCAAATTGCGATGGTGGCTTGGAATGGGGGTGGGTGAGTGAACTAGATTAGCAAGGCTGGCATTAGTTAGTACTAGAATCTGGGTTATAGAGCTGAGTGGAACAAAACCAAAAATAAAAGTGTGTTGACTGTAGAGCTGCCACCTTTGCTGCTCTTTGAATTCTTTAGGCAGAAGCTTAACTTCATTTTTCTCACTTGAGGATATTGATGACAAAGCCACAATTCATGATATTCTGAAGAAGCAGCTGGATTCTATAGAGCAGTCAGTCTGCTCAGAAGTATATTTTGCTTCTTCTCTTCCATAATCAGAGAAACTGCAATGGGTGGAAGAGGAGCTACAGTCTTGGGTCAGTTTGCCCTTATGATATTCAACGGTTCATGTGAGCATTTATCTCCAGAGGTTAGTCCCTGCAGTAATGTGTACATTTTTCCATTTGTTGAACAAATTTGGGTATAGGATTTTCAGGAGGTATATATGGGATACATGTTCTATACATAAGAGATTTGCTATCTTGCTTAAAATGCTTTGGTTAACATTTTCCCCTTTAATTTTATTGGGCTGCTGCTGTTTTTCTTTCTTTTCTATTCTTTTTTGTCATTTTATTTGTCCCAGCATTTTCCTTTATGGTCCATCGTTAGATATTGATCAGTTGAAGCTCATTTTGAGACTCGTTGGAACCCCAGGGGCTGAGCTTTTGAAGAAAATCTCTTCAGAGTCTGTGAGTTTGAAACTTGATTGTAATGCCTGGCCTCTTAAGATTTTATGTTTTAGCTTTTTTGCTTTGCTACCTTAGAAACTGCCTCTCTCTCTTTTCTGGTTAGTTTCTCTTCTTTCTTTGACTTATTTCCTTAGGTACAGTGAAGTTTTCCTTCTCTTCCTCTACACTGTTCTCCATGTAAATGGCTCCTCCTATTTCTTGTTGTTTTCTCTCTGTAGGCTATACTAAACTTAGTTAAACATTGAGCCTTCTTTATTACATGCTGTTACTATGTACTGTAATATATATGCTATTAAGAATCCCATGTGTCCACTATCCTGATAAGATAGTGCATTCTCTAGACCTGGGTTGTTAGAACTTTTACTACATGTTCTTCCAGATCTAGCAATTCAAGGAATTAACAGGGAAAAATATTCTGTTTAGGAACTCTGAATCATTATCAGAGAAACATAGTAAATTCCAGTAATTACTAGTGGCTCCATTTTTACTTTGGAGCATTAAACCCACCTTGTGCTATAAAGGCCAAGTCATAAAGGTATGACCTTGAAAACAACAATGCAGCTATTTTTCCCATCATTAGGGGAAATTACATTGGGATAGTGAGAGCTTAAATATTTTATCTTTCTGCATGGATGGATTTTTGTATAAGTGCTTTGGATAGGAATTCATATAGAATAGATCCACAACAAAATGGCTGGCTTGCATTGAATATGCTATAGAGACTAAAAGATGTTCAGAAGTAAGAGGGGAAGTGAGCTTCAGAAATTGACATATTGCGTTTAGTGCCAAAGTCTATTTTTTATCACTACATGGAATGCTGAGTGCAAAACCTGCATTTCTTGTGCCCTATTGCTTGAAACCTTCCCCTGAACTAGTTCACATTTCTGGTACTGGAACCAGATTGGTAAAGTAGTGGTGTAAAAAGTGGTGTGTTGGGAAGTTAAAGTAAGGAAGGAGATGGATTCTACTCATATTACCTTCTCATCATGCTCCATTTTGACCACACACACGCACCTTCATAGCCAAACTAGCTAGTGCATATAAACAAAACAAATGTAATCGCATCTAGTTTGTTCCTTAGTATTTTTTCTGAAATTAATATGATGAAAGTTGAAAACTACCAAGATGACTCTTGGATAATCAGGTGAAAAAGGACAGTGACATCAACATGAATAAAACTCTGGGTTCAGTGGAATGCTGAGCTTAGATGGAGGAAGCAGGTGAGAAGGACAATCTTGCTCAGTCTTATAGATGTACTAGAGATAAAATGAAAACAAAAACATGACAATCTCAGGATATGCAATCTGGGAGTAGTAGAACCTACTTCTTAAGGGTGAAGGAGAAAACTGACACCTGAGGATGAGCCTGCATTCACAATTGGGTGACATTTATTTTATTTACTACTATAATGTCTTCAGTGTATATCTTGATTTATTAAGAAACAGATAAATACCAATTCCAAAAGGCATGTGCTTGGAAGGACTATTTTCCATTTATGTTTGTGTCTGTCGTATAAAGAACCTAAAACACTTGCCTATCCTTGATATCCCTTTAAATCAGGTTCCTCTTCTCAGGTAATGGGGTTTCTGATGGCTCTATTTGATCATAACTTTTTGCCTTGCGATAACAATTCTTACATGTGTGTATTGAACCTTGTTGTGTTAGTAGCCAGTTTCAGCCAGATCTCAACTGAAAGTAGAACACCGAATAGTGAAGAAAGTAGAATTAAATGACAGTGCACAGTGAGATACAGCAGCATCTTCATATAAAAATAGCAATGGTGACAAAGATTTTGCTTATATCAGATGGCAGTTTTGAATACTTCTGATGTAAAATAGTGGTCATATGTGATCTTGACATGATATATAAAGCAAAAAGCATTTGAACTAATAGTAAAAAGTTTTAAAAAAATGAAGTAAATGGATGATTACCAGGAGGTAAGTTAATGTATGAAACAATAGTACTGAAGAAGAAAGTTCAAAGATATGCAGTGATTTAAAATGGTTTCTTCTCAGTTTATGTATCTTTCAGAGACTGGGCAGATAGCTTTTATATTTCCATGCCTGCTGTATTCCACCCTGACTCCTTGTGTGGGGTGAGCCTGCTCCTCGTACCTGTTCTGTGGTCTTAGAGGGACAATAAGTAGTATTTCCAGCCCTGACTAGAGCAAAAGATACATTGCTTTCTTTCCCCCACTCCTTTTTGCTAGGTGGGGGTTATAGCCATGAGACACTAGGTCAGCTTTTAGTCTTGACAGACCCACTACTCTTGCCTTACTCTGCTAGTATGCAGTTTAGGATAATGCCTTACCTTGGGTTATGAGTTTTCCCAGGATCAACTGAATAGCTGTCCAGAAAAGGTTCCAGCCAGTAATGCCTCCAGCCAGTAATGCTTTTATTTCCATACTCTTTACATGAATGTGAGCATATAAGGGCCTGGAAGTCCACCTCCAATTGTTTTGACACTTTAGAATCTAAGGAAAGGGCAAGTCTTCACCACACTGTGACAAGATACCTAACCTAAGAATATTGTTGGCTCATTGCTTCCCTTGTGATCTGTGGTTTGATACAAGAATCCTAGAGGACAGCTATAGAGGGCATCGATTAATCTGAGACACAGAACCATCACAATATGGTTTTTAAGTCAATACAGAGTAGGTTTCTGCTTAGAAAGAGCAAGGATTTATTATGTGTCTGCCAAAAGAATCATAAAATGGTAGAGTTGGAAGGGGACAGAAGGCCATTGGGTCCAGCCACCTGCTCAGTGCAGGACACCAAGTTAAACCATCCCTATAAGATGACTGTCCAGGTGCATCCTAAATGCCTCTAGTATAGGAGAACCCACCACCACCCTAGGTTATTGGTTCCATTGGCATACTACTCTAACAGTCCAGAAAATTTTCCTGATATCTAGCTGGAATCTGGCTTTCTGTAACTTGAGCCCATTATTCTGTGTCCTGCACTCCAAGATGATCAAGAAGAGATCCTATCCTTCCTCTTTGTGACAGCCTTTCAAGTACTTGTAGAGTGTTGTCAAATCTCCCCTCAGTCTTCTCTTCTTGAGGCTAAATATGCCCAGTTCTTTCAATCTCTCCTCATAGGGCTCTGCTTCCAGTTCCTGGATCGTCCTTGTTGTCCTCCTCTGAACCCTTTACAGCTCGTTTGTATCTTTCTTAAACTGGCTTGCCCACAACAGAACATAGTATTTTAAATAGAAAAAGAAAAGGGCTAGGGTATTTTGTTTGTTTTAAGGAAAACAGGTTGTGATAGCCTATTATGATAGAAAAGTTGATTTCCTTAAAAGGAGCTTAGTTTGGTTCTGAGCACACAGCTGTCCTCTTCCCTGTCCTGAAAGAAAAAAATCTTACATTCAAGTGCTGTATCAATAAATTTGCTAAATAGAACTAAACTGTATGCCATGCACTGTATTTGTGTGCATATCCTTGCTTTGCTTTAGTTGCCATTCAGTATGCTTTCTTTTGTTCACTGACAAGCTAAAGTTTTTGTGCGGTGCCAATAGATTACTAATGTGGCATGTTGGTCTCCTGCCATTCACAGCTACTAAAGGAAGAGTCTTTTAGATGGTGCATTACCTTTTGCAGCAAAAGAGAGACAGGAGAGCAGAAAGGAGGATATAATATCTCTACAGCAGTCATCAGTTGACTAACTGCTTCACTGAAAAGAACTCTTGATTTTAAGTTTAAATGAGCCAATGCCCAGTTTAAGGCAGCTCTTGAGTATTAGTGGTGAGCTGGCATCTGGCTTTTCTGCAGGATTTTTAACTGTGATTTCTAATTTCAAGATGCTTTACTTTCTAGTTCACACTGCTTGCTTAAAGATTATGTGACACACAGAGTGGTTAATTCCTGTCTAGATGCCTCGAATGCAATTGTCTTGAATGTATGTTCATTGTTGTTGAAATATTAACAAAGCCCTTGACTAGGCACCTAAGATATTAACCAGCTTCAGCAGATCATGCGTCTGACGGGAACACCCCCTGCATATCTTATTAACAGGATGCCCAGCCACGAGGTGAGATCTGTCAGGGTGTGAATAGTGGTCTGCAATTCAAAACATGACTTTAATTATTATGGGGTTTTACCCCACATTTCAGGGCATAGTCCTGCCAAGGTAACTTAACAAAATTAAAACCACATGGAATAAATGGATTATAATACTCCACCTAAAAATAGCAGTGGTTTGAAACCCCCAACAAGCCACATTTCAGTGAAAGGCAAACTTAAACAAAATGTCTTCAGAATACAAGTGAGGCCATATAACATCTCTAAAAAGTTTGTGGGGCCACAACCAAAAGCCTTTTCTCTCTGGTATCCACCAACCTGATAGACTTTACCTTTAGCTATGGATGCATATGGTCATAATTTGGTCCCAAAGGGTTTAGGCTTTAATGATTAAAATCAGCACTTTAATTTGAGCCCAGACATGAATAAGCAATGAGTACATTTGGTATAGTATCAGTGCAATTTATTTAAAACTTTTCTATACCCTCCCATCACAGACATCTCTGGACGGTTTACAACAATAAGCTCAGAACACCTGACTTTCATGAGTATTCTAGCAGCTGCACATTTATACCAGTCTAATTTTGTAATCAGTCTTCAAAGACAACTCTGTGTAGAAGGAATTATAGCAGTATAATCTGAACACACCTGGAACATGTGTGACAGAGACAAAGTTTTCTTTCTTCAGATAAGGCAGAAGCCTGAGGGGTAAAAGACATGCTTTTACTAAGGATCACTGTTTTCTTGGTGCAATTACACAGCCTTAGCTTGTTCTGCAAGCACTATTTTCATGGCATTTTATTACTTACTGCAAAAAAAGATTGAAAAATAACCAGACCTGAATGGTTGCAATCCCCCTTTAAGCATGTTCCGTAGGTAACATATCTATTAGGTTAGTGTTGAAGTACATAAAGGCCTCTGGGTGCCACTGCTGTCCTATAGAAACTTATTTTGGATTGCAGTTCACTTCACCATATAACGGGGAATGCTCTTCCAAGCGTATACAACTCAAAAGGCTCAGATTCTAGCACTTGTTATTAGTAGCCGAAGGGGTCAGTATGTGAATGGGAAGGACTAAGATAAATGTTTATTAAGGAACTAAGATGAGCAAAAAAAATAGGCAGGTGCTTATGGTGATTAGGAGGTACAAGTTAATAGCATGTTTTATTTATCTTCAGGCAAGAAACTACATACAGTCCTTGTCTTACATGCCGAAGATGAATTTTGAAAATGTATTTATTGGTGCCAATCCACTGGGTAAGCCTTGTATCAGTTTGATTACACTGGGGGATATAAAATGCACACACTAAAATGGTGAACGCTTTGGGGTGTAGTTTAGTAGGTTAGTAATTTAAAGTAGAGCTCTTGACACAGAAGGTGATGCCAGTAAGTCAGTTTCTTTGAAATAGTTAAAACATCCAGAGTACCAAAATATATCTTTCAGATTATTTTGAATTTCTGGATTGACTTCCTTATTAAAACAGAACTCTGAAATTCTGATAACTCATTTTTACATTTTGTTTTCTTGAACTAGCTTTCAGTTGAGTTAATTTACTCTTAATCTTTTAAGAGTTACTTTTGCATCTTTTAACAAGCCTTGTTTCATGGGGAAAATTTGGCTAAAAGAAGCAAAGCAAATTGTTTATTCAATAGTGCTTGTAGAAAGAGCAGTTCAAAGCTACAGACATTTGCAGGCCTTTCCTAGAAGCTAGAATGGAGTCTTATGGACACATTTTAAACTAATATTGTTCCTTCCCAATTACAGCTCAGAAGCTCAGATACAGTCACTGGATAAATGTAATGTCCCCTAGACTGCTTGTACTAGATTTGATGCCCTAGACCTTTAGGTAGGGCTATTAAGAACAGCTGTATATTAACACCCCACCCCCACCCCCTGCTTTTTCCCCTCTGGCTCTCCTGAAGCTGTAGACTTGCTGGAAAAGATGCTAGTGCTGGACACAGACAAACGAATCACTGCTGCAGAAGCTTTGGCACACGCCTATTTTGCTCAGTATCATGATCCAGATGATGAGCCAGTGGCTGATCCCTATGATCAGTCCTTTGAAAGCAGAGAACTTGATATTGAAGAATGGAAAAGTAAGTTTTTGGGAGATTGATTTTGGTGGGTGCCATTCGCCAACATTATTCTTATGGCTCATGAGAGTACAAAAATAGACGGGTGATAATATCAAATGCAATTCTGTGGCAGCATCCCTTCTGAATAGCGGGAGCATGTTGGGTGGCAGGGTGGGGGAGCACAATAGCACTGCTCCAACGGTGCATTAGCAAAAGAATAGCTCGCTTTGAACTCTTAGCCCTGTACTTTGAGATTTTGCATATTTCCATGTGCTGCATTGGAAAAGCACTACGAATGGACAGCCATTTTCACATTCCTTACCTTTAAAAAAGGCAGAGCTGGGAGCTTGCTCCAGAAACTAAGGTTGGCATAATGTTGTGGGGTAGTTCATATTTGGCCGATGTCACAGTCTCATTGGAGTGAGGACAGAAATTGTGTTTGTATTTGCTTTGAAGAAATGAATACTTTCCCTGCTTTCCTGAGCCCCACAGCGGTTGCTGAAATGGGGAGGTGTAGCTTATGATGGGTGAGATTTTTCTCAGTTTCTCTTCAGTTTCTGTTCAGCCTTGTATCAGGTTGCTACTCACACAGGCAATGTTATCTGAATTAAATGTATTCATTCACCCTCATTGCAGCCGATTATAGACCGTGGATACCGCATCAGGTATTCTACTGCCTTGCTAGAATTTTAGGGAAAAAGTCATCAGCATGCTAAGAAAGTACCCTACTGATTCCCACATGCCCTTCTCAGTGAGTTGCCTAAATGTTAAACAATGTGGAGGAAGAGAATAATTTTGTTTAACCCCACAGGATAAATAATAGGGTGGAACCAAAATCCCTCTTGTCCTCTCCTCCATGTTCACACACATACCCACAAATACAGCCTTCTGGTGCTGACCTATCAGGTAGCGCTGTTGGTTTAACTCCCAACTTTGACAGGAAGTTTAGAAGGATACCATGGTTTGATAGTATTGAAAGCTCTGAAGAGGTCCAGAGTGGGTCCATCCTGCTATTCATCTCAATGAAAGAGAGCAGGGCACCATTCCAAAACCAGGTAGATCAGTCGGAGCCTAGCTAGATCAATATGAACCCAGGCATCTGCCTGATGATATGAGGGCAAAACTATTTAAGAGGCTTGAGGTGGGGTTGCCAGGTCTGATCCCAGTATGCTTACCAGTTGGCTTTTAGCTGGGAGAGGATGGACCAGAGCTTGCCCCCTCTACAGTTTTGCCCTTCAGGATGAATGCCTGAATGGGGTACTTGGAAACATTGTGTAGACCCAAGAGAACCTGCAACTGACCATCTTCCACATGCTTTGCCACCATGTTCTGAACACTAAATTGGAACCTGACCGAAATGGATCTAAAGTGTAAATCTGGAAGCACTATTCTAATTAACAGATGTAGATAACTGGGGACAGAAATAAATGTGTTGTGGGGGAGAGATGAAATACTTACCCACTAAAACTCTCTGTCTCTTTCTTCCTCCATTAGGCCTGACCTATGATGAAGTAGTTAGCTTTGTTCCACCACCACTCGACCAAGAGGAGATGGAATCCTGAGAATCTGTTTTTCTTTGTCCCATATCACTGTGAGGGGAAGGCCTTTTCATAGGGATTCTCCATGAATCATTCAAGTGCCTCTTGCCGTGAAGATTCTCCTTGGTGGAGGGGTTTGTGTGTGTTTTGTGTGTATTGAATGAGGGGGGTGAATTTGGAGGAAAGTATTTATACAGTAACTGTATAAATAATGTTGCATGTTCTCTTGTATTTTTGTATACAACCTGGGACATGCTTCTGCAGACCTGTTTGATTGCTTTTTAGCCTTTACAGTTTATAACCAGCTTTCACTGCTCTGGGTCAAGGCAGACATTATGCAGGGAAGCTGAGATTTCAAATTCTCAGTAGCAATTCTTGCCATTAAATGGCTCTCCTACTAAGAAAATACTTAAGATAATGGAAGCTGAATTATTACTTGAACTGTGCCCTCTGATTTCCAGGATGAGAGGGTAAGGGATGTCTTTCCATTCCATACCATGCAGGTTTACATCCAAAGCCTCTTCCCAGTCTTCTGTGCAGCAGGAAAGATGGGCCTATGAATGGCTGGCTTATCTTTTGGGAGGTTTTTTTCTGAACAGTATAACAAAATTAAAAGTTTGTGCCTTAAATGACAGAGGGAAAATACAAGTCTGGGCTTACTGTTCTCAGCAGGGTAGGGAGCTTCTGAGTTTGCTGCTTTCCAGGTTGGAGGTTCGAAGGTAGCCATGTATGACTGTCTGCTATGGCCAGGATACAAATCTTCCAGAAAATACGGAGTATCCCTCATGAATCGAATTTGATCATTTCTCTCTCCCTGCCCAATACTGAGATGTTTCAGCAGTAGCTCTTTCATGCTGCCTGTTCAGTTTGTGAATCTTCTTAAGATGGAGTGTGGGGTTTTGCATGTTGTAACTGTATGTGCATGTAGGGTTTGTTGTGTTATCTTGGAGGAGGCACTGGTCTGGTAAATCAGCCAAAATTACTGTATTTAGCTCCATAGTCAGAGCCATAAAGAGTTGCAACATCCATCTATTTTTGTTCAACTATTGTTGACATTCTGGGCACTTTTTACATGAAAGGGGTTAATAAACATGCACCTTTTCTGGATCTTCCTTTGGTGGCTTAAAAATGAATTCATTTTATCGGTTTGTGTGTCCCTAAACACAGTCTGTTTATTGTATTCATATATTATAGAAATCAAGTAACACTGAAATTGCTCTGTTTAGGAACTGGGCGGTGGGGCGGGGGCATCAGTTCAAGTATTCTGTGTTCATCAGGTATACTGGGTATCTGAGATCCTATTTTTAAAGTATTTTCTGAAATTTATATAATGCAGGTATCATGCATGGATTGTATGCCTGTCTAAAAGAGTGAAGCGTTGCAGTATTTTTGTTTTTCCAATGGAGCTGGGATTTTTGTGTATTTATCCCTTTTGTACAGAGAAACCATAAAAAAATTAAAATGGCATGTGGATATGAAGCCATCAGATACTTCCTTTCTAGTGATCTCCCTTCAGGTCATATCCTCTGTAGAGATGTTTGGGCTTGAGGTCCAGAGAGCAGTGCTCTTTTATGCTACTTGTTCAGAGGCCTTCTTAAGACCAAACAAAGTTAGCTCCCTCTGCTGGACCTGCAGTCTGGGTCTGGGTATTCATATGGAAATGTAGATATATTCTGTAAAACATACAGGAAAATTATTTTTATCTGTCATTTTATGTGTAGATGCTACCATGTGACTTTCATGCAGAAATACTACAAGAAGAACTTTAAAACATGTAGGTATATTTGTCAATGGGAATATCTCAAAGCCAAGATTCTGTGTGGGAGCCCCTGTGGAGTGCACTCCTTGTCGCTAATGTGGTGCTGTTCTACTGCTTGAACTCTGGACTGAAAGTACACACTTTAAAAAGAGATTCTGCAATTTTGTTTGTATCCAGGAACTTTGCTCTAACTGGTTATGCCATATAGGATATCACACAATGCCACTGGTTTTAAAATAAACTTATTTTTCAGACGTAATGGACTGTTGGTGGTTATAAATCAATGTCTCCTTGTAATTAAATTGACCCTTTCATTTTCTTGATGTTGTACAGTTCATTCATAGCACTCCATGTACTAAACAAAAGCATTTTCATAACAGGCAACTGCATTTTAGTGAATTGTGCTGCCTTTAAAATACTTGTCTCTGTCTCCCCCAACCATCCATCCATTATTGTGAATAAAAACTCCAACTAAGCCTGTTCAAGTTGTAACCAGATAATAACAATGATTTCTTTATCACTTTACTACGGGATGTTACTGTACAACCTGAAGCCCTAAGCCATCCTGTGAGTGGGGGTGAGATACATTTTCAGGAACCTCTGTATCCACCTGAGCTTTGTTGACTGTGAAAATGAACTTCATAAACAAGCCTTAAGAAAATGGGATGGGTTTGAACATGTCCTCAACTGCTATACTACAAGAAGTTGTATGACAACACTATAGGTCATTCTTAATCCTTACTAGCATGTATTAATTGTGCACAGATGTAATTCAAACAAAGCCCTACATTTCTCTATCATTAATGATAGTTTATTTAGGTTGAGTTTTCTTGAGTCTACAGGCACGTGGATTGTAAGCAAATATAAAATTATTTTAGATTTACCGTACAAAAATGTAAAGAGCAAGCTAATCTGAAAGCTTCACACTTAAACTTTAATTGATATAAAAAGATTGCCTGTAGTGTTTGAACTGATGAACTCTTCTCCAAAAAAGTGGGTGTGGGGGAGCATCTGTTTGGAAAAAGGTATGAGTAGAGGGAAAGAGAGAGATGAAATAGCACCTGTCTGGATTTTGCTTGCTAATCTGCATGAAACCTAGACAGCTGCAATATTCAGAATTAGACTAAGACAAAAAAAATTGTAATTCTGGGGTGGGGTGAATAACAGTGGAAAAGGGAAGAGGCAGAGTTTGGAAGCTGGGAGTTGACAAAAATGTTCAGAGTTCTGAAGGAATTCCTTTCTAAAATGGCTCTGTTGTGCTTATGTTCTGAAGAAACTACTATTTTATCTGTAGGAGATCAGCAGAGGAAGGGTTACTTTCATACAGAAGTTTGCAAATCACCTGGGAGACTTCTACAAGAAGTCTATCAGTGGATTCTTCTTCAAAATCAGTTTACCTGAGACTTCATTTTTATGTGGAAAGAATAATAAAAACTTAAGATATTTTATTAAGCATATCTTGACTGCAAGTACCGAGCTTGCAGTATTGGCATCCTACCTTTCTTTAGGAAACATAAAGCAACTTCGGTTTTCTACTGGTCTCCCATAAAGGTACACACCAAATTTACACTTGTTTAAGCTTGGAAAGAATCCATCTATGATGAACCTTTAAACCATTATGTTAAAAGGTATTTTAATAATTTCACAAATCTAAGGAGCTGGAGTTTAATTTCCATAGTGCTAATTTAAGAACATCTTGAGCACTTGGGGATTTTATACTTTTTCTTAAAGATATTTGAAGACCTAATCACCCCCACACTGCCAAATATTTGATGGTGTAAATTTACCTTTCATCGTATGCCTTGTTTGAAATATCCAAAGCATATCCCCCCACACAATTGTATAAACAGTCTCTGCCAGGAAAAAAAATACTGAAAAAATAGGCAATGTTACCCCACTTTTACAGAAGGTTGTTGTATAAAGCATAGGAAATTATCTTGCGAGAAAAGAAATAAAGCCACAATCTCTGATAGTGCATGTATGAATATTTTATGAAAGCTGCATAACTTGATAAAATAAGCCACCTTTAAATGTTTTGCAGCAATTGTTCAGTGCTGGATTTGTTTGAATCCCTAAATATTTTCCTTTCCTTGCTGGAGACTTTAGACTATCATAAAAACTATGTGGAGTGTGGCTATTGGCTATGTAAAATATCTGTGGGCTTTTCTTAATTTCCATAATCACTGAAGTTCAATGATAAGTATGAAAGTAGCACTTCTACTTTACAATAATCATAGGGACTGTAACACCAGTGTATACATTTATTTTATTTATTTATTTAGACAGCTTATATGCCACCCCCTTCGCATAACTCTCGGGGCGGCTTACAATCATTAAAATCCTGCATATAAATACCAAAAAAATACATAGAATAAATACATAAAATAGTGGAAACAGCCTGGTCAGTTTAAAATCACTAAATAAACCTTAACAATTAAAATAGCATTTAAATAAAAAGGTCTTGGCCTGGTGCTGAAAAACAAATAACGGCACCAGGCGGACCTCTCTGGGGAGTGCATTCCATAGATTGGGTGCCACCGCAGAGAAAGCCCTCCGAGTACTCACCCTCCTAATATCCTTCATGGAGGGTTCCCAGAGAAGGGCCTCTGAACCGCTGATCTCAAGGGGCGGGAGGGCATATATGGACGCAGGCGCTCCTTCAGGTAACCAGGACCTAAGCCGTTCAGGGCTTTGTAGGTGATAACCAGCACCTTGAATTGGGCCCGGACTTCAATGGGAAACCAGTGAAGCTGACGAAGGACTGGGGCTATATGAGAACAACGCAAAGTCCCCGTCAGCAGCCTGGCAGCTCTGTTTTGCACCAATTGAAGTATCCGAACCGTCTTCAAGGGCAGCCCCACGTAGAGCGTGTTACAGAAGTCTAATCGGGAAGTGACCAATGCGTGTGTCACTGTTGCCAGGCAGTCGTTCTCCAGGTAGGGATGCAGCTGATGGATCAGCCAAAGCTGAAGGAACACGCTCCTCGCCACCACTGTCACTTGAGCTTCCAACGATAGCTCTGGGTCAAGGAGCACTCCCAAGCTGTGGACCCTGTCCTTAAGAGGGAGTGCAACCCCATTCAGGACAAGGTCCAGGTCCCCCATCTCAAAGCCCGAGCTGCCTACCAACAGGACCTCCATCTTGTCTGGATTGAGCTTCAGTTTATTGGCCCTCATCCAGCCCATTACCTCGGCCAGGCACCAGTTCAGTACAGCCACTGCCTCACCTGGATTGGTTGAGAAAGAAAGGTAGAGCTGGGAATCAGCGTATTGATGATTCCGCAGCCCACACCTCCTGATGACCTCTCCCAGCAGTTTCATGTAGATGTTAAATAGCAAGGGGGATAAAATGGATCCCTGTGGAACTCCATGACATAGCTGCCATGGCGCAGAGCCATAGTCCCCCAGTACCACCTTCTGGAGTCGGCCATTGAGATAGGAGTGGAACCACTGCAGAGCAGTGCCCCCAACCCCTAATCCTGCTAGTCTATCCAGAAGGATACCATGGTCGATGGTATCGAAAGCGGCTGAGAGATCCAGGAGAACCAACAGGGACCATGGTCGATGGTATCGAAAGCGGCTGAGAGATCCAGGAGAACCAACAGGGACGCACTCCCCCTGTCTTTCTCCCTGCACAGGCCATTGTACAGGGCGACCAAGGCAGGTTCAGTACCATACCCGGGTCTGAAGCCAGACTGAAATGGGTCCAGATAATCAGTTTCATCCAAGAGTGCTTGGAGTTGTCCCGCCACCACCCGCTCCAACACCTTGCCCAGAAATGGGATGTTGGCCGCTGGTCTATAATTGGTGGCCATCTCTGGATCCAGGGAAGCCTTCTTTAGGACAGGCCAGACTACCGCCTCCTTTAAAGGGGCAGGTACCTGGCCATCCCTCAGAGAGGCATTGACAACATCCAGGATCCAGGTCCCTATCCCGTCCTTGGCTTTCTTGAGTAGCCAAGATGGGCAAGGGTCCAGTAAGCAGGTGGTGGAACGTACTTGTCCAAGCACCTTGTCCACATCATCAGGCCACAATAACTGAAATTCATCCATCAATTGTGGACCAGACGGCAACATTGGCTCCTACCCTGAAGGCTCGAGTCACTAGTGGAGTCCAGCTCGTGACGAATCTGAGCGATTTTCTCCTTAAAGTGCTGGGCAAAGTTGTCACAGCGGGCCATTGAGGGTGGTACCAGATCTTTCTTAGGGCCTGGGTGAACCAGCCCTTGTACCACCCGAAAAAGCTCTGCCGGACAGCATTGTGAGGAGGCAATGGACGCGGAGAAAAAGTTCTTTTTTGCCGCCCTCACTGCCACAGCATAGGCCAGATAATGGGCTCTTGTGTTCGGTCAGATTCATCCCGTGATTTCCTCTACCTATACTCTAGCCATCTCACAACCCGCTTCATCGCCTGTAAGTCAGGTGTGTACCAAGGGGATGAACAGGCTCTGCCCGGCGAGAGGACGCTTAGGAGCAATCGTGTCAATAACCCTGGTCATTTCTCCATTCCACAGTTCGACCAGAGCTTCGACAGGAGCACCAGCCTTGTCAACTGGAAATTCCCCCAGGGCCTTCAGGAAACCATCCGGATCCATCCAGCTCCGGGGGCGGACCAGCACAATTGGGTCCGCACCCTTACAGAGGGAAAGGCCGCCATCGAGCTCAAACCTCATGAGGAAGTGATCTGACCATGACAGGGGAGTCAGATATAAATTCCTCACCCTCAGATCACCGTCTTCCTGCCCCGTCAAGAAAACCAGGTCCAGAGTGTGTCCACGTTCATGGGTCGGGCCAGTGACATGCTGAGACAGCCCCATGGCTGTCATGGAGGCCATGAAGTCCTGAGCCGCCCCGGTCAAAACCGTCTCGACATGGAGATTGAAGTCTCCCAGGACCAACATCCTGGGGGTCCTCAACACCAGGTCTGAGACGATCTCCATCAGCTCAGGCAGGGAGTCTGTTGGGCACAAGGGTGCACGGTACACCAACAGAATCCCCAATCTGTCTCAATCGTCCAACACCAAGTAGAGGCACTCTAGACCCGGCCTCGAGAGAACAGGAAGCCCCATGAGGGAGATGGAAGCTTGGTAAACATGCACACAAATCCTGAAAAAAATTATTAGATCAGATTTTTAAAGAATACCTAACACATGCCCAGAAAGAGCCCAATATTTAAGGGCAGAATGAGATTTTCTGTCATCTTGGCGTAATATATACATGTTCTCTGCAACAGAACTCTTCACTCTAACAGTCTTCTAAAACATGTTTATGTTAAGTTATGCTAAGTTTAGCATGAGATGTGCCCTCTGCAAAGAACTAGATGTCTTCCTCGGAGATGAAAACAAGCAATCCCTAACACACTTGTGTCTGCAAGCCTATTAGCTGCAGGCACACATTTTTCACTTCTAACCTCTGACCATCAGAGAACATGTTAATTGATCCACCTAATTGCAAACTCCTGCAATCAGCATGTGCTGATGTAATCAAGAGAATGGCAATGACCTGTGGCAATTCAAGTAATTACCCAGTAATGGAAGACAACCTGGAGACAACAGGTCAATCAGGTGGTTGCCTGCTCTGAGACTGGCTATCATTCATTCAACTGAAATGTGTGGTTTGCCTTAGCCCTTGTCCTGCAAGGGAATTCCTTCTGTTAAAACTGGAGCTGCAATCCTCAATCTACCCACCCGAAGGCTGTTCAAGTAGAGCTGTGGGCTTGCTTCAGGATTGCTGGAATAGAAGGTGGCACTAGTGTGTTTGATTTGTCTAGGGCAGGGGTTCCCAACCTGGGGTGTCTGCACTCCCAAGGGATGCAAGATAGCATTTTGGGGGGCGACAAAGAGGAAGGCTGAAGTTTTCTGCCAAAATTATCCCAAGAATAAAATTATTTAATAATATTTTTTTGCATTTGCATTTCTCTTTTGTCAGTCAAAACATAATCTAGGAATCACCTGAATCCACAGGCAGACTTGCTGCTCACAATCATCAAGAAAGTTCCATGTTTTGACAATCAAAAATGGGATGCTGGAACAAAGAAGACATTGAATTTTATGTTCACAATTGGGAATGATTTTACTGTTTACAATTTTTTCTAATTGCTCAATTGATATTTGAATTTTATGCACTGAGTTGAACAAACTGAACTCAAAAATACTTTCACTTGCAGGACTATGTGTCGTTCAGTCTGTTGTTCAAAAATTAGAACTGTGACTTCATCTTCAAATGTGATTACTTTAGTAGGGGGTACAAACATAAACATTCTCTAGGGGTGCAGGGCATAGAAAAGGTTGGGAACCACTGGTCAAGAGTAACTGTTCAAAAGACATGTCTTTTGGACTACCAATGCCCTGAAGAATCTACCAGCAAGGCCAAAGATCAGAATTGCCAGGAGCTGAAGTGGAACACATCTGAAAGCTTACTTTCTGCTCTCATCTATAATAGGCTGTTAGCTATATCTAGTTATTAGATAGCTATACCTAGCTTAATTTGTGCTATAGGCTGATGATTTACTACCTGGGAACTAAACAGCTGTATTGCTTAACTTGGTTTTTGGTTTTTCTCATTGTTTGCACTTTCTCGTTCTGTCTAAAGATGAGTTCTATAACTTGAAAGAGGCAAACTCATCAGTACTAAGAATGTAAGAGCTTAGCTGAATTACAGCAAAGATTCACATCATCCAGCATTCCATGTCGCACAGCAATATCTCTCGGCATCCCACACGACAGGGCATAGACCTGTTGCATTGTTGCTCTCTAACAAAGGGAGAAGACCCCCAATGTAATGGATTATATGTAATGGTGGTGTGATGCTGGCACAAAGTTTCCACTGCTTACAGAAATGGTCTTCTTGTGCATTGTCAAATACAATAGTTCAATTCTGCTTGTACAAGCCCTTTCACATTTTACAAGCCATGCTACAAATTGTTGCACAGGCCATCACAGCAGTTACTGCACAAGTTCCTGAAGTGGTTTTCCAAGCTATTGCCCAAGAGATTGTACAAACATTCCTCAAGTCCTTGTATAACCCATCATGACATCATTAGATTAGGTGTTTCTAGCATTAGTTCTTTGCAATTTTGCAACTAGCAAATCACTGGATGAAACTCATTATTACCACCAAATCTACAACCTCCCATATATGCCTATGGTTCTAAATGGTCCATTGAAACGACTCTAAAAAGAATTTATGTGGTTATTTATGGAATCTTTTAATCATTACAACTATCCTCCTTAATGTCCCCCCCAAAATTATTGTTTTCTTCTGAAAGATCCCTCTCAGCAAAGCCAGACCAGCTGTAATCTAATGAACACAACGCATGGTCCAGTCCAAAGGAAGCATTTGAAGCCCCATTGATCTTAACCTGAGAAATCTAAGCAAATACTTAATGGATATCCTCTGTATGTCTACGCAGAAGTAAGTCCTGTTCTTTTTCAATGGGCCTTTCTCTCAGGTCTATTTGTATAGGATTGCAACCTGAAAGTAATTATTTGCCCAAAATCCCAGGAGTATTTGGTTCAGACACACTAACATGTCATCCGCCATACACTGTTCTTTTTCTGTTTAAAAACAACTGAAATAGAGTTCTGTGTAACCTGAAAATTCCCATGAATGCATATGTAAAGTATTCTAATATAAAAGTGGTATATTTTAAATAAAAGTTAACCTTATCTGTGATATGAAGGTGGTAGTGCAATTGATAAAAATATCTACTCCCTTGAGTTTTTTCCCACTGTTTCATCCATCTTGTTTTCTTTCCACAAAGAAATTCATTCAGAAGGTAAAGTTAGAACAGCAGCAAGATCTCTCTTGACTGCTGGTGACAGGAGCCCTCTGCACAAAAGCTTCAAAGATAATGTATGTGGAATGCTTTGAACTTTACAAAAGTAGTATATAATTGCTAAATATGTTTCCTTACATAGAGCATCAACTGAAATAGCCAGGGTAGATCTAAAAAGCCCCATAGGAAAGTAACAGATACCTGGTGGATACCCTGAATGTCCCTTTCTTACTGTTGGATCTATATTATACTTAAAGCCAATACTTTCCACACCGGTCTGTGCAATACAATCGTCCTAAATGTCCCTCCCATTCCCTTACCTATTGAAGGGAGATGTGGCATCAACAAATGCAATTGTGATGTTCTGAGGCAGGTGTGGGAAATCCCAGTGTGACACCTGTGGTCACATTGGGGAGTCTGAGAAATTGTCCTGGGCACAACCATAAATGTCTGTCATGGGAAGTCACAAGGGCCAAATAACCTGCCCAGAAGCATTATTAATAGTCCATACCATGGCAGGAGCCAGAGCCTCCCACTTTGTTCTGAAGCAATCTCAGCAGTCAATAAGAAAATATTTTTTAAAAAAATTGGGAGGACCCAGGTGTCTCAATGGGCCCCATCAAGATATGGTCTGATTTAGTTTTTATTCCGGCTGCAAAAAGCATATTCAGTGTGAGTTACCCAATACAAAAATCTATAATCAATATACAGAAATGTATAAATATATTGGAAAACCCCCAAACATACCACAATCAGCATAATACAAATAAACATTTAGCTGTGTTAAGAGTTGCCCAAGGAAGAAATGGAGCCTATGCTGCATGCCTTCTCTTCCTGTGGCAAGCTTGGAACTGGTGATTCAAAGGGAGCTGGCTGCAGCAGGAAATTTGAATCAGCCAGGAAATACTTGCTTCTGTTACAGGTGGCTACCTTTGACACGGAAAAGGTGGGGCCATTGCAACTACCTGGCAAAGGAGTGTCTAATATGAAACCTGATGCTTTCTTCCTGGCTGATGTGTGGGCAGAGGGAGGAGGGACCTGTGTCATTGAGCATAACGTAGCTGAGAAGTAAATCCATCGCTAATGACTTTCCTAAAGGAGACTGAGGCGAAAATACGTATCTGACTTGGCCTTGAACTTCTCCAGAACTGCATGCACTGGAGAGTTCAGCTCCAGACATGCAGGAGATGAGCCTCAACAGGAGAAAGGGTTTCTGCAGGCATGAAGTCAACAAAACAGTATGGGAGCTTCCTAAGCAGTATACTTCAATTACCCCCATAGGATCTGGGGCCTACGGCTCTGTAAGGTGAGTTGTTTTATAAATCTCAGGGCTCTTGACCAATTGAACTAGAGTTGGTGGGATCTGGGATACTCAGTCTTTGGGAGGAGTCATAGGAAACTGTTTAATTTTTGGAAAGAGATTTGCATTTTGGAAAAAGTTTTGCTTCCTTGCAGCCACGATCTGTGACGCCATTCTAGGAATCAAGTGATTCATTTTCATAAGCTAGCCATGTGGGGACGCCTCCCTTTTTTCCACTGGTCCATTTTCTGTGAGATCCTTTGTGCCTGATTTCAGCTCTTCGGTGCTTTGGGTTATAAATAGAGTATCTGGTATCTGAAGACTAACAAATGGACTTTGGCATAAGCTTTTGTGGACACTGGCCACTTCATCAGACAGTGATCACAAAAGTTTATGTCAAAATAAATATGTTTGCCTTCCAAGTACCACAAGACAGTTTGCTGGGGGTTTTTTCTGCTGCAAACGAACATGGAGATCTCTCCAGAACTGATTTATAAACAAACTGGGTAAACCAGGACAACTTCTGCTTATTTGTTTCCAAATAGGTAGAAGACAATTCAAATATTGCTGGTAATGACAGATATTTAGACAGGCAGCATCTTCTCCAAGAGGGATGAGCAATTCTGTTCTCAATGCCATGGATTAAGAATCAACTCTCACAGGATGCTGGCATTTCGAGATGATTCCACTCACTAGATCCTCAAGCGGAACATAAGTAACAGCTTGTAGCCAATGAAGATCTGCATAAAGGCAGCCGCTTCCCCCTTTACATTTTTTGAAGGTGGGCCCATAAGATGCTTGAATGCTCTTTAAAAATGTACGTCACCAAAAGTTTACTTTAGTCTTGTAAATAAGCTCACAGAATTTAACAGCCTATAGTTCATTTTACTATTTCTATCATTTATCATGTTTTAATTAATTTCTATTCCATCCAAAAGCCCAGACTCTCTAAGTAGTTTACAGCAATTCATAGAAGACAATAAAATATAATAAAATGCAGATGCAGCAAAACTGTCATAAACATTCCACTACAGAACTTTGAAAACTGCATTTTAAACAATCTAAACAACTAAAAAACTAGACATGTTAAAGTAGCTGAAATAAGACTCTTGCTTCATTTGCCCCAAAAGCCATTAAGTGCCTTGGCATACAGAGCATTAACCAGGCACTGAAAGATAGCAGAGTCGGTGCCAAGCTGGCTTCTGAGGGAATAGATTGTTCCAGAATCAGAGGGACACTACTGAGAAGGCCCTTTTCCTTGTTGCCACCAACAGGAGGTGGCACTCAGAGGAAGGCCTCAGATGCTGAGCATAGTGTCCTCTTAGATTTAGGTCAGGAGAACTCCAACAAATATCGTGGTCCCAACCAGCGTGAGGATTCATCAAGTTAAAACAAGGACCTTGATTCAGACTTGGAAACGTGCAGGCAGCCAAGGCAAGAGGGCTAGAACTGGTGTTATAGGTTCTGATAGTCTTGTTCCAGTTATTAGTTTGGCTGCCACATTTTGCATCCTCTGAAACGTCTTCAAGGGCAGCCCCACATAGAGTGCATTGCAGTAATCTAACCTGGAGATTACCTGATGCAGATTACTGAAATCAGACCACGCTTGTCCAGATAGGGGTGTAGCTGATAGAAGACTCTCTATGTCATTGCACCCACCAGAGTCTCAAGGTCCAAGATGGCTCCAGGAAGCCTCCAGAGCTATGAACCTGCTCTTTCAGGGGGAATGCAAGCCCATCTAAAACAGACTAAATGTACTCCATCCAGTCAGAAGAAACTCCCACTGAATTAGGTTTCAGTTTATTCAGCTGTTGTTGTAACCAGGTTCTATCCACCACTTCACTTTCTGGAGATGAAAAGGAGAAATAGAGCTGTGTGTCATCAGTGTACTAAAGGCAGTACACTCCAAAACTCTGGTTGACTCCACTCAACAGTTTCACATAGATGTTACATAGTATGGGAGACAAAACTGACCCTGGGAAACTCCCTGGGAAACTCCAATACTCCAGTCAGTATTCCTCAAGCACCTGCTTCTGGAGTTGGTCTTCCAAACAGGTGTGGAAACACTGCAATGCAGTGCTCCTGCTCCTGCTCCCAGCTCAGCCAGCCACCCCAGAAGTATACTATGGTAAATGGTATCAAAAGCTGCTGAGAGGTGTAGAGGTATCAATGGGATCATATTCCCCATCTCTTTCCTGAGATAAGTCCTCACAGAATGTGACTAAAGCTGTTTTCATGCCAACATCTCTCCTAAACCCTGGCTGAAGTGAATACAAGAGTGCCTGGAACTTGTTGGTCACTACACACTCAAGGACCTTTCCCAGGAAAGGACCCTTTGCTGCCAATGTAATGTCATTAAGATCTTCCAGGTCCTGACAGGGATTTTTCAGGAGCAGCTCCACCACTGCTTCTTTTGGGTGGCATGGGACCACTCCCTCTTGCAAGGAGGCATTCATCATGTCCCTGGCTCAGCTGGCTGTTCTGCCTTGCTAGTTTTTATAAGCCAACAGCAGCATGGATCCAGTACAGCAACAGTTGGGCAAACCTGCCCAAGCACCTTGTCAACATCCTTGGCCTGCACCACTAAAACTCATGCAAAACATCTTGATCAGACTGTCCTCTGGGTACATCATGTACTCTTATAACAGTGGGATCTAAGTCCTGGTGGATGCAAGAAGTTAGTAGCCTGTGATAGTTGTGGAGGAAAGGGCTTTGCTGCTTCTTTGGTTAGCATTAAAACCAAGCAGGCCACTGAAGGATGGACCCTCCCTTCTCCATCAGCCTGCTCACTTTTTGACTGTGATTTCAACACTCTTCCTAAAATTGTTGGTTGTCTGTGACTACCAGGCAAGTGGTTAGATAAAAGCCTGGTCTAGTTTGCATTTAGGGAGCTAGAATTCTCTGTGGCTTCCTGACACATATACTTCCCATGACTAAAAGAGATTGCCATTTGGCCCATATTCCATGAAATAATGAGGAAAGCCATCATGCCTTTTCAAGTGAGCTTTCTTTTCTGTTGCTAAAGAATTGTCGAACCTGAGCAAGGCAGCAGAGTTTGCAGTACGGTGGGATTGTGTCCCTGAGCAGTGGCCTGTTGTTGCTCTTGAATAATGAAAGAGAGTTACAAAGCTGTCTGTTTCTTCCAGCGACAGCTCAGATTTATATTGTTATGGACTCATTGGATTAATGGGGAAATGGGGGGGGGGGATTTTAGTGGGGAAAGATGTTTAGAATTTCTACACAAAGATGTTTAGAATTTTACAACAGCCTTGCTGTGTCAGATCAGTGGCCCATTTATCCCAGTGGGCTGCCTCTGGCATTCTTGAGGGACTTGTCTGCATGCTTTAGGGCAGGAGTGAACAGAAATTAGATCTCCACATTTTTGGACTTCAACTCCCAGCATTCCTGACCATTGTCCATGCTGACAGGAGCTTCTGAAAGTCTGGAGCATTTGGAGAGCTACTTTCTTTTCTCTCCTGTTGTAGGATTTCTGTAGCAGCTGATGACAACTGAACACTCAACTTTACCATCTCTGTTCATCTCTGGTCAGTGGATTTGGAGTGTGGTGGAGTTGGCAACAATGCAGCAATGCCTGTCTATCATTATTTATATGCCCCTCCTCCAGGTGTGAGGTGTGGAGCACTTGCCTCCCTCCAGCCAAAAAATGCTGTATGGCGGGTGGATAAGATTCACACATATGGTCTTTGGCAAGCCAGGGTTAAGCTGGATCCAGCTTCTTAAAGGAAGGTGACAGCTGCTGCGAAAGCAAGGCACAGGGATCTGGTAAGGCACAGGAACTATCAGCCCTTCTTCTGCTCAAGTATTAAAGGTGCAGAAGTCTTCTGTTCTCTTTGGCATGTGGCCACGATAGTTGGGTCAGCAAGAGATGCTGCACCAGCAATTGTGGCTGCCATTGAAGCAGCCATCCACTCAGGGGCCAGCATTGATCAGTAAAAGTCGTCCAGAAGAGCACAACTTCTTGCTGCTTGGCTGCTTCCAAACCTCACAGATCCCAGTGAAGATTGTGACAGGCTGAACAATTCAGGGGATGCTGCTATCCCGTGGATATACAGCAGATTGAGTTTGTTCTTGCTGGGTTGTGCTGGCTTCTGCATCAGCTATAACCAAGGGTGGATTCAGACATCCAGCCTTTTGCATGCTGATAGCAATTGACACATGGCAGCCTGGTTATTTAAGACAATGGTCAAGTATTGGCATGCTCTGAGCAATGTGGAATGTTCTGCAGTACAGTCCAAACCTGCAGGGCTTCCTTGAGCTGAGTACTCAGGAAAGCACAGAATGCAGCAACGCAACTTGCTTAGGGGCAATCCTCTGTGTGGATAGTCATCAAGAGTAAAAGGAAAAGAGTGATTACAATTAGATCCTTCACTGAGCTTGAAGTTATAAACATGGGGATTTCTGAGAGTGGAATGGATGAGTCCCAGATAACCCTGCCAGGGATCAATTCTTCCTCTGTCGGAATGAAGTTATAGAGAGCTGCTCTTTCTAAGCACTGTGTAAGCATCCTTTCCTAACAAGTTATATGGACACATTTCTATAATATTGTAAGCCTGAAAGGCAGGTTCAAAATCTGTTGAATAAATAAATCCAGCCATGGTTCTGGGTGGGAGGCCATTTAGGACACGTAGATTCTAACAGAACCACTTCTTTCAGCAATTGAGCATTATGTACTAAATGTTTTGTTGAGAGTCAGTAATGAAAGCTAACAGCATTACAGCACCATTTGGCTATGGGATGGTATAAAAATGTAATAAATAAATAAATGAGATCAGGACCGTGTGAATCAGACCAGGTGCACATCTTGGCCAGCATCTTGTTTCTCTCAGTGGACAACTGGATGTCTTTAGGAAGCCCACAAGAAGGACATGAAGGCATAGCACTCTCTCCCCCATGTTCCCCAGTGACTGCTATTGAGGGCCTTTTCAAGTGTGGCACATGAAGAAGCACAATTGGCTCCTCACATTTATGGTAGTTGAAATACTCTGGAATAGCTGCTACATTTCTTTTGGCATACTCCTTTTGATGATTTTAATGGCTGTTCCATGTGCTACATTTTTGTTTAAACCTCATTTTATTTATTCAGTTAGTTCAATGTCTATCTTGCCTTTCTTTTGACCCAGATCAAAGGTGGCTAGCAACAGAACCTATAAGAAAGAGACTATAACAAAAGAAACAGAACATCTGAAACAGAGCTAACACTTCAAACAAATCCAAAACACAGACAGTTGTGTGCATAAAATGCGTGTATAAAATGTGCCACTTTCAGAGAGGTGACTGTGTTGCTCTGCTGTAGTGAAAAGGAAAAGACTCTCATAGCACCGTATAGGCTAGATTTATGGTAGCCTGAGCTTTTCATGAATTCAAGGGCACTTCATCCAGTGCATAAAGGTTTATCCTCAAATGGTGTTCAGGACAGAAGTAACAGGTGACATAACACATTATTCTGAGCTTCCTTGTAGTGGGAAGAGAACCACTGCCTATTAAAACCTAAGCAAATACAATCACATGTGCAGACAAGTTTTGCAGTAGCAATTTTCCTGCATCCTCCCTTTGAAGACATCTGGGGACAATGGGGTCTTTCAGATTGGTCACAGAGTATCCTGAGAGGAAGAAACATTCTTCTGGATTCTGAATGTTGCCATTTTTGATACTAGATTGATCTTGCTTAAGACTTTTGCAAAGAACCACTTTTGCAAAGAACCAGATGTCTTCAGATGTGTTGGACACCATCTTACAGCATCTCCAGTTATAGTCAACAACACATCTGGAGGTCTCCAGGTTTGGGAAGGCTGACACCGAGTCTTCCCTGTGTGTCCTATGATTTGCCATGTAACATGTGAAGAGCACCGAAATTTCTATATAGCTTCTAGTCTGTATGGAAATTAATGGGAACAGTGTCCAAATGTTGCAGTCATGGAAATGAGGCTGCACTCCTAAATACTACATTCCTAAAGCAGGGCTGGGCAACTTGTGACCCCCCCAGAGATTTTGGCCCAAGGTTGTGATCCTTCCAAACTTCCATCAACCTTCACTGTTGGCCATATGGAAGTTGTGGCCACAATATTGGGAGGACCAGAAGTTGCTTTTCCTTGTTCTAAAGAGAACATGTCATTGAGCACAGATGCACTTCCAAGTAAAATGTGCTCAGGAGTTCACTGCTCATCAACTTCCAACTTCTGCATGGTTCCCCCCACCCCTCTTTTTTGCCACAGCTCAGCAATAGATAAAAAAACAGGCGAGAAGGTGGCTATCAAGAAGCTCTGCCGCCCTTTTCAGTCTGAGATCTTTGCCAAGAGAGCATATCGAGAACTCACACTGCTGAAGCACATGCAGCATGAGAATGTGAGTAACAACTCCTTTTGTTTGTCTGTACACAGACAGTTGTCTGTTTTTTTACCTCTTCATCTAGATGGGACAAAGAGCTGAAGTTTAGTCTTGAAATTTGCATTTTCATCCAGGTTTAGCAGTCAAAGCAAAACCGATCTTGAGTACTTAATCTCTGAATGTGCATGTCCAAAAAATTTTCTCTGTTCTAGTAGCAATTTATATCACGTGACTGAACCATCCCAGCAGGTATTCATAGATCTCATTAAATCATCAAGATCTCATTGAAAACTGGGAAGGATCACCATATGGAGTTCAATCAATGCGCCAACTCACCAGCCATTAGTACTTGCAAAGATGGAACATGACTAACTAGGCATGTACTAATACTAATACTAGATCCGGCACAGATCTTTCTATACCTGACCCTACAATATTATTTATTTATTTGAAGTATATCCCACTTTTTTCCTTACAAACTCAAAGCAGCTTACATCATCCTGCTCCTGTTCTCAGTCTTATCCCCTTAACAACAACTGTATGAGGTAAGTGGGGCTGAGAGGCTGTTACTGACTCAAAGTGACTCATTGTCTCCTTGGCCAAGCAGGGACTAGAACCCAGGCTGCCTGAGTCCCAGGCCAATGCGCTTAACCACTACACCACACTGGCTCAATATCCTTTTGACTAGAGGGAGCCATCCCCACCCACATGCTGCAGATGAAGACAACTACATTTTTTATTTTTTCCAATTTTAACACCAAGGATCACTGCCCATCCTTTTTCTGCATTCTGTTAATATCTTGAACTGCTGAAAGTCTACTAATTTATGTATTTGTTGGATTTGTATCCCACTGCATTAGCCAACAAGGCTCCCTGAGTGCTTTGTCTAAGAGAGTCCATACTCCAGGAGCTGCTTCTTTTGCTTCTCCCCACAGACCTGATGGACTTGTTTTTTTCTTACACAACATGGTAAAAAGGAGGAGCATAGCAAATCCCAGTGGTCAGTGGTCTGCTCCCGATCTGCAGGGTTGGAGCACTGCGACATCCCACTTCTGGGATGCGCATGGATCAGAGATGGAAATTTGCTTCCTTTCTGATTCCAGCCCTCCAATGGAGATAATCCATTCTTTGTGCGTTCAGCTATGCAGCGGCATTCTAATATTGTAATAACTCCTGCTTTCTTGGCTGAAGGAAAATTTCAGTTGTGTGGTTGCATATGCTCTGATAATTTTTGCAAATTTAGCAAAGCTGTTTTACCAGAACCAAAGAGGAAACTTTCTCTCATATTCCTGAACTTAGTCCCTTGATTGTTATGAGCTCAGGACAGAGCTCAAAGTCTGGCTTTTCTTTTCCCACATCCTGTTGCTTGGAAAGACATTAAGGAGCCATTAAAACATGGCTTAACCCATTGTGCTTTTGATGGGAATAGGAAGCATCCAGACAATGGACTAAACTTGGTGCTTGAGCAGTCCTCATGGTTCTGGCTCAGTCCATTTTGTTCTTCCCTAGACTTTACTGATTAAAGAAGGCATGGGAAGAGCAAAGTCAGTTTGGGACTTGGCCAATAGCTGGACCCTTACAAGAAGGTTTGTGATGGCAAGATGGGGCAGTGCTTCTTCCTGGAGTTCATTATTATCCTCCACTCTGGATTCACATCTTTTCTAGGTCATTGGATTACTTGATGTATTCACTTCAGCTACAACCTTTGATGGATTCCAGGACTTGTAAGTTTGCATTTAATTCTTTGCAAGTATTTTAGAGCTGTACTGTAGGTTTTGTTTCTTAAGAAGTTGCCATGTGGCAGTCGCACCAACTTGATCTGTTACTCAAGTTCTAGTAAAATCAGCTGAATTCATTCTAAAGTGAGTGGGTGTCTGTCATTGCTGTACAGATGCTGGGGGCCTGCAACTGTGCCTTGCAAAAGAGAACTTGGTTGGTAGAATTTATTTATTTATTTGAAACATTTATATCCTGTCCAACACTTGTCCAGCTCTCAGCAAAATTTAGCATCATTATAATCTGGAGTTCAATTTGGTCTTTAGAGATACAAGTCTTCTCAGTGGTGGTCCACACCCGCTGAAATTTCTCCTGAGAGAGCTATGCTTGGTTTCTGGCTGTTTTTGAGATGCTTTTAAAAAACATATCTGTTCTCCTTGACTTTTAACTGAAAACCTTTACGCTTTATGCTGCTGATAGATGTTTTGAAATGGTATATTAGTGAACCTTTTTTATATTAAGTGGCTAATATTTAAAAGGGTTGTATGAAAGTATCTATATTCTACTTGCTATTCAACATCTACATGAAACCGCTGGGAGAGGTCATCAGGAGGTGTGGGCTGAGGAATCATCAGTACGCTGATGATACCCAGCTCTACCTCTCGTTTTCCACCAGTCCAGGTGAGGCAGTGGCTGTGCTGAACCGGTGTCTGGCTGAGGTAATGGGCTGGATGAGGGCCAATAAACTGAAGCTCAATCCAGACAAGACGGAGGTCCTGTTGGTGGGTGGTTCAGGCCTCGGGATGGGGGACTTGGGCCTTGTCCTAAATGGGGTTGCACTCCCTCTGAGGGACAGGGTTCACAGCTTAGGAGTGCTCCTCCACCCTGAGCTGTCTTTAGAAGCTTAGGTGATGGCGGTGGTAAGGAGCGCTTTCCTTCAGCTTCGGCTGATCCAATGGACAGGCAGGGCACATTTCCCAGCTATAAGAATACATATCATCATCGATCATAGATGCAAGGGCTTTCCTGCATGAGACATACAACCCAGTGCTTGACTAAGGCTGTTGCTTCTGCTTTCTCCAGTGGAGGATTAGAGCATCTTTCACACAAGAACCCCCTTATCCTACCTTTTCCTCTCTTCCTTTCTGTGCACTCCTATATGTGCTAGGCTTCTGCAATGAACAATCACCACATCTAGAGATGTGTGAGGAATCTGCAGTGGGGTCAAAAGCTGATGGACGTTCACGATTGGCCTCCCACCCTATTTCCAGCTCATTAACCCTGTGCTGGCTCCAGCTTGCTGTGGTGCAGATGAAGTCGGCCCACGGACTTCCATCACTAAGGCAGACCAAAGTTCATCCCTTTCAACGCCACATAACTGTATGACTTACTTTATTTGCACGGCTTATACAGGCTGCAGGATTCTTTTTTCTGGACACATCATTTTATTAGTTTGTTCTTGTTTTTACTGTGTAAAGTATACATAGCCCTAGTATTCAGCCCGGCATAAGAAATAAGTACAAATCAAATGTGTCTTAGTTTCCAGCTGCCTTATTTCTTAGTTCCTTGTGCAGAATGGTAAACAGTATAATGAATCACTGAAACACAGAGGTCGTATTTAGAGGAAATGGACCATAAAAGCCAATACTCTGATTCCCAAACAAATCAAACTGGAGAATGCATTCATTAATTAGATTTTAGACCTGTTTTAGGGTGGTTGTTGAGTTGTATGAATCCAATCAGTAACCCAGTTCAGACACCACCACAGCCCTCTATGAATGATTGGAGAGTAGGTTTCTCCCACCTGTTCTACCTGGCACCTGTCTCCAGAGCAGAGGAGAAGCAGCAGTGGTCTGTCACAGTTCTGCTGATCTGGACCAGATGGTGATGTGGTCCATCACTCATACCAGTGAACCCGCAGAAGATGGGTGGTGAGCTTGAGAAGACCTTTCTTCTCCATCTGTCTCAGGTGAGGGAGGAGAGTCACCCCTTGTAGACTTGGACTCAGGGGGCCCTCTTTGCAGACCCTACTGATCCATCACTGCCTGGCTTTCTTGAAGAAGAGGAAGAGGGTGAAGACCCTGAAGGAGAGGATGAACCAGAGGAAGAGCAGCCCGAACAACCAGCTGGCAACCATAGAGCTCACCCATCTGAGGGAAGAGATACTGGAGGAAGAGCTGCCACCATCCGACGCGCAAAGGGCAACATGCCTCTGAAACAAGCATAAACCAAGCAGGTGCAGTTTACAAGGTCACTGCCAGTGAAGCATCAGGGAAGAACTCTTAAGTGAACATCTTGTCTTTATCTGGTTCATCCAGAGCCCAGTTAACTGCATCTGCTTTTCAGGTGAATTGCTGCATGAAGTCATAGCAGCCTAAGTCCTATCTAAGGAACACACTGGTGCCACGGAGAAGTGCATGAATGCCATTCAAATGTTGGCAGTAGCCTTGCACACATCTGGGCAAGGCCAGCAAGCACAGGTCCCATAGCGGCTGCATCCCTAGGGTGCACTGCAAGCAGTTTTCCATCCCTCTTCCCCTCTGTGATGGCACCGTTGTATGTATGGCACCTCAACTGCCTCAGTCCCTTGGCCTGCCTCCACCTCCATATGCACCTTGTCAACTGGCATTCCCTGAGTGGCCTACAGCAGATCTTTTGGTCATACCACCCCCTGACCTAGAGATGATGGATCAACCAGTTGCACCACTGCTTGAGTGGGAGGAAAAGCAGAACAACCAGTTCAAAGACAAATTCGGAGCAGTGAGTGCTAACCATCTTCTTCCATGCGGGCAAGCAAACATGGAAGGGAAACAGCACTGGGAAAACCTGGAGGTGCTCTGCAGCTTTTGCTCCTGTGTGTTAACCTACCCTCTATCTACTCTTTCCCCTTGCTATATGCTTTGCTGCTCTCTTCCTGTCCTGTCCATCTTGTAGTAAAATTTTAAAAAATTGTAATGAGAAGAGTAACCTGGTGTGCTTTCTAGGACACTTGGAGCCCACAATTTGCAGTGATATTGTGTGGTCAGACTAGGAATTTCATTAGAGAGAAGGGGTTAGTCAGAATGCTTTCATTTCCTTTATAGAACCACAGATGCCTGTAATGACAGGGGACATGTTATTGCCTACTTAAAGCATAGGATCACAATTAAAGCATAGAATCTATCCCACTAGGCAAAAAGGTGTGTTCCCACCATGGGTGTTAGCAGTGGGATGCTGTTTATTGCATTTTTTTTGGAGGGGGGGGGCATTGAATATTGTTCACCACATACTCAAAAGTATTTTTCTGTTTCTTCTGACTTTATTTCTCTCTTTTCTCACCATTTCCTCGCTTTGTTGTCCAATTTATTAGCACGTTCCTAATTTGTCTACCTCAGAGGTGTTCCCTGTACTCTGCAGGTAACACCAGCAAAACAAAGGACCTGGTGCATGAACCAAGATCTGCTTCCTGCCCTTTGTAGGCTGTGCAGGTTGGAAAGAGCTTTTTTTCCAATTGCAACAAATGCCCTTGGCTAAAGCTTTTGGAACTCAAGTGTTTTCTTCTGCCCATCCCCATGGCTTAATGTATATTTTAAAGCCTGCTAAGATGTTTCTGTAGCAATACCTTCATCAGTAACAACTGCTTCCTCTCTCTCCTGACAGTAACTAGGCTTTCACCCCAGCCTGCATCCTTTGCACAATTCTGACTCCATCCCAACTTCAGCTTCTGTCTCCACTGCTAAAACATCGCTATGCTTGACTGCTGGCATTCCTCTGTACTTTGAAAAGGGCTGGGAAATGAGTCACATAGCTACCTACATCTTATTCCAAAACTCAGGGAATTGTCTTACTACCTTTTAGCTACCTTGTGATGCCATACATGCGAACAGACCTACAAAAGATCATGGGACATCAGTTCAGTGAGGAAAAGGTCCAGTACCTAATCTACCAGGTGCTGAAAGGCCTGAAGGTAAGCTTTGCTGGCTGCAGATACTCAGAGTGGGCCTCTCCCTCACCATCATGGTAGCTAAGCGCTGCTGCCTTTCCTTTTCTTTCTCGTCGTTGTCAGTGCTCGCTTGAGAACCACTGGGAAGGTAGGCAGTGGCAGCTACTGCTCCTCATTCTGGAATGAGAGATAAGTGAGCAAGCAGGTTGTAATGGGGAAGAGGAGGACCAAGTCCAGGGAGCTGTTAGCAGGGGGCTCTGCTGGGCTGTGGGCCCTCAAGTGCCCAATCACTTCTTCCCTCAGGCCGCAGGCCTTGTTCCTGTGTGCAAAGTAAATTTGCCTATCATTGAAAAACCTATAGTAGGGATTTGCAGAACTGATTTTTCCCCCAGGTCTTTCTGTAGTAGCAGGATGTTTCTGGGTGCAGGCAACATAACCACACAAGGGGTGAGCATGGGTGGTCACTGAACTGTGTGTTGTTGAAATGTGGGCTGTCATGAATCCAGACAAGTTAATAAGCCATAGCAAACAGCCCACAATTCATGACCCAGTGAGAACTCATGAGTTGTCTTTATGGTTTGTTGATGATGAACCTTATTAGTGCAGCTGGATTCAGACCACCCACTTTTCCACAACTGATACTTGGCCCTTGCTTGTGCATTATTTTGCCTGAGCCCAATCAATGACGAATGTTGCTTGCAAGGTTCCGTCTTTATAAAAATAGCAGCGTTTTTGCTTGCCTGTTGTTTTTCAGACTCCCATGTTCCTTCAATTCAGCCTCCCCCAGCCTAGTGCCTTCTGATGTTTTGGGCTACAGTTCCCAGTATTAGCCAGATCAGCTGGAGCAAACAGGAGGTGAAGTCTAAAATGTCTGGAAGGCAACTTTAGCCCACAGCTTAGCAACTGAAATAAGTTGTGTGTGTGTTTTCGGATGAGATGGTTTGTTTCCACTCTGTAACTCTCTTGAGTACAAAAGTGTGTTCACTGTGTAACTCTCTTGGGTCAAAAAGAGGCTTTCTGAAAGTTCAGCATCTCTCTGATCAGTTCTGTAGCTCACCTTTTCTTTTCAGTAGAAATTACACAAAGTCTTTCACTTTTCACACTGTAGGCCATTCAATCCCCATACAAATTGTAAAGGAATAGCAAGGTACTCCACAGAAACACCCTGACCACCTATGAGTTGAAATTGTGCACACATATTCAAACTGAATTTCTTTTTCTGTTGTAGTATATTCATTCTGCTGGAATCATTCACAGGGTAAGTGCCACTTCATTCTGCTTTTTTCCGCCACAATCTTATGCATGCTTAGACAGGAAAAAAAAAGACCTGCAAGGCTCAGCATGTATCCTTAATATTTCTTATCTAGATGCACACAACCTGTTCATGCATGCTCCCCCTTCCCAAACTAGTGCCTTCCAAATGTATTGGATTATAATTCCCCAGGTTCTTCTGGCAGTGATATGATCCTCCAGTTTTGTTTCTGTTTCTTCAGAGCACTTTCCTGTTTTTTTTTCAGGGGAGGGAAAATGGAGTGTTATTTCTGAATGTGAAAGTAATTTCTTTTCCTACTTGTGTAATTACAATATCCTGCTATGGCACTGTGCCATCTACAGGCTATGCAGGTGATAGCCTTGAGAAAGCAGGGAAGGAAAGCTTTGCGTAGAGCTCAAACAAGAATTCTGTGACAAAACTGATAGTAGATACAGCAATTAACAGTCTGATGTGGAAAAGTTCAGAAGTATGGGAGTTCAAGTCTCTGGAAACACCACTTTGTTTCAGAAGCCTTTCTCCCCTAGCACTGAATTATGGGATCATTCTTTAGCGGGGATAGGCACCCTTCAGATGGTTCTAACTACAACTCCCATCACCCCCAGCCACAGTCGGGTTTGCCTGGATGATGGGACTTGCATTGTGGAGGGCACTGGGTCATCTACCCCTCTTTTTTAGTTACTGAACCTTAGCACAAAAACTTATCCTCAGACATGACGGGTTAGGGAGATTAACCCCCGTAGTAACTAAGGAAAGAACTACACAAAATGAAATAAATACTGTGTTTCCCTCACAACATTAATGCAGAGATTAAGGGAAAACATTTAATAAATCCTGGCAGGGCAGGAATCATTAGTCCTTCCTTTGCCCATTGATTCGTCCCTACAAATTATGTCAACCAGCTAGCCAACAATCGGCCGGCATAGGGCATCCCACAGGGCTTCCTTTCCAGGTGTTTGGCAAGATAACTTGCAGCTCTGCTCACTAAAGGGAGGAGAGCATTAGTGTCACCCAAGACTATTTGCTGCCTGAAGTGGCATGCAAACGGGATCCCATCCTGTGCTGTGTCTTGGACAAGTAAGACCGCACCATTCCTGCCTTCGTATCTCTTCCCCGCTTCCCTCTTTATGGTGCCACCCAGAGCAGGTGGCTTCAGCATGTGGTGTGGCCGGGCCAGCCATGAGACAAGCACTCTGCCCTCCCTCGGGCCTGCTTCACAGGGCCAGCACCTCATCCGTTCCCGAGTTGAGCACAAAGCTGTGATACTGCCTGGCTTGTCTCTGAGGCAGCTGAAGAATCATTTTGAAACTGCCTGAGGAAAACATATCACATGTCACCCAGGAAGACATCACTGCGTGAGCCTCTTGCACACCCCGAGGGCCAGCTTTTGGCTTTGAAATATGCTATAAAGGGAACATTCCACAACTGAGAGAAAAAGCAATCAAAAAAGCAGGCAGGGAGCGAGTTTGTTCTGTCACTTTCAATCCAGTAAAAGACCCGACTGGCTGTAAGTACAAAATATAAATATTCTAAATCAGCAACTGACTCCTGTGTGCCTGATCCAGGGAGCACTTAAATGAGGACATTTATAGGAAAGAGTGGACGGAAAAGGTTTAGATCCTGAAGAAGAGTGATGGCTAATTTGGGGGTATTAATGGAGTCATCTGTTTTTTCCAGAGCATTTGTTACATCCTATTTTAGAAACATAGAAACAGAGTGAGTCAGAGGGGCCTCCCGGGCTATCTAGTCTGACCCCTGGCTCCAGCCAGCTCCGCTCATGACATGCCCACGACATTTTGCTATGGATGGGGTGGTAGCTGTCTGGGGAGGGGGGTTTCTTCCCCCTGCCATTGACATTAGTGAGAGGGCACTGAAGCGGACCATTCTGGGGCCTCTTGGAGGAATCCATGTCTGCTGCTGGGACACTTGGTATTTCTGCCTCACCACTGACAAGGCCACACCGATAGAACATCTGCATCGGGGATGTTGAACCGCTTTCAGCCTGAGAGCTGAATTCTGTTTCAGAGAACTTCTTGGGGGAAGTCTTGGGGGTGGGGCCAAAGGGAAAGGGGGCGGGTCAAAATGACCCCCATACTAGCTTAGCTTAAGGTTCTTACTGCCAGCCACCGAGCCTTAGCAGAAGCATTTCAACCTTGCAGAATGGGCAAAAAACTGCACCAAAGCTGGGAAACAGCCAAGTTATCAGTGGCTGGGTGAAAGTGGGAGAGGAAGAGGAACCCAGAAGACAGGATTGGGGCCCTCTGTTGTAGTGGAGGCTAGGCTGCCATGTCAGCGGGACAATGTATCCACGCTGGGTCCCAACTATCAAGCTATGCATAGTGCTGAACCCTATACCCTAATAGGTTCAGCACCATAGATACACTAGATCCTGTCAAGTTCAGACTGAAACTTAGGGTGGAGACACTGCCCCTTTGCCATTGAAGCCACCAGCTCTTGCTGCCAAGCGGGCTGAATTTGGCCCTGGCCCTGAGGTCTTGCACCCCTGAGCTATGCCAACAGAACTCTTAGTATTTACATATTGATTTGTTTCATTTCTGTTTTCCCTTTTCTCCAAGAAGACCAAGGTAGTGCACGTGATTCCCCCCACCCCTTCATTTGTTATCCTCACAATAACCCTGTGCAGTAGGTTAGGCTGAGAGTCCATGACTGGGGCAAAGTCACCCAGTGAGCTTCATGGCCAAGTAGGGACTAGAACTCCTGGGTCCCAGTCCAGCACTCTTACTATTACACCACGATCGCTTGCCAAACATACCAAGGGATTTCTGGCAGCATGAATGTTGTCCCACTGGCAGGCTTCCTTCTCCATTGTTGAAGTCACATCCTAGGGTACTTATCCTTCTACTACCAATAGGATTGTCCCCCTAAATTGTTATTTTTTTACCATCTCTCCCCATTGTGTGTCCTGAAATATGACCTACTGATTTTAATTATGTCCAGCTAAGTGGACATGGGGTCCACTTAGGGTTGTGACATAAGTACAGCTAGCCCAACTGAGACAAAAAATGCGATAGAAAGGGTTGAGTTGTAGATGTATTTATGTTATTTTCTTCCTGATCTTGTAGGATCTGAAGCCTGGCAATTTAGCAGTGAATGAAGATTGTGAACTAAAGGTATAAATGCTTTTATTAGTAAGAAACATGTAGTAACAGATTGAACTGCTACTCTGACTGTGCCATTTTGAACCAGCACTGCTGTACCCAAATCCTATCTGTTTACTTGAAAATAAATCTTACTGATTTCAGTGGGTTGCATCTAAACTTACTCAGACTTTGGGTAAAGAATGAGGTTTAATCTGGACATAACTAAGAAAAGTATCATTGATTTCAGTGAGTCTTCTCTAAGTCTGATTAAATCTGAGTTCCACCTCATGGGATGTATTGAGAAGGATACATAAAATTGCTTCCTAATCATTTGCCAAGCCATCAACATTTGTTACTGAATTTGAAAATGAGGTTCAGAAAACAAATTTAGATAAACAGTAAGGGATTTTCTACCCATTATCAGTTTCAGAGTCGTATTATGGCATTCTAAATTAGGACTTTTTGTTGGGAGAAAGACCCATGTGAATAAATGATAATTTATTATCATTCAAGAAGCACTAGATTGGTACGTACTCAGGCAGGTGGCATTCCAGTTGTGAACGCTTTCCTGAGCAAGCTGATAGTTGCTTCTTCACCATCCTCATCCTCATGTTTTTGATTGGCAAAAAAGGACTGTTTCATTCTACCCAGCTTTTCAAGGTGCTTGATGTTTTATCTTGCTCTCTGACTTTAATTATAATTGCAAATAATTGTATAGTATTTATGGTTGCTCTCTTTTGTTTATTGTTATTAATGGTATTTGTATTGTATACGAGTGCCTTTGAGGCAGCAGCTGTGATCCATCAAGGCAAAATATAAAACAAATGGAAGATAACAGGAACTGGCTATGGTTTCTCCCCTTCACTTGTATCAGCTAAGTTGAAAAATTATTTGGAATATGGCAACTGGAAAAGCAGCCTTTGAGTTTTGCCTAAACAAGACTGCTATTGCGCTGATACAATGGAAGTGGATTGACACTGTTTCTGTAAACGTCTCTTTGTTGTGGTTTCATTGCATCAACGTTAAAAGCCAGTTCAAAAACACTTTCAGTCCTTGATGTGTTATTTATAGAGAAGCAATTTCCTATCAGCAACGTTTCATCATGTCTCGTCTGCTGTGTTAGGTGATGTGACAGAGAGTTCAGGTGATACAGAATATTCCTGGGAATAGAACAGCTCTTCACTTTTGCAGGGAGAAGGGCATGTGCTGTGGATCCCTCCTCACTGTTGGTCACCTTTTTCATTCTGTAGATCTTGGACTTTGGCTTGGCAAGGCATGCAGACACCGAGATGACAGGCTATGTGGTGACTCGCTGGTACAGGGCACCCGAAGTGATACTGAACTGGATGCATTACAACCAGACGGGTGTGTGAAATAATTTCCTGGTCCAGTTGTGTGGGGAATTCTTCCCATTAGGAGGGGATTACTGGCCACAAGCACATGTTTCTACAGTTCTTGTCTTTCTGCAGTAAAAAGTAATCCTGGGTTAAATAAGTGCAATTTATTTGTCTTTCACTGCCTTTGATTCAGACAGACACCTGTTCAAAACAGGGAAGCATTTGATAGTGCAGCCTTTCACTGCTTTGGGTCCCCCAAATGTGTCAGGAGGATGCTGGGAGTTATGGTCCACCTTATCTGGAGAACCAGGTTGGGGAAGGCTGTAGTATTACATCCTTGTGTGCACTCATTCAGAAGTGAGACCCACTTTGTTCAGTGGTGCTTATACTCACATGATTGTGCATTAGGGATGAATGAGCACACCAGTCTGAGCCTGTTTCCCACAGCTGCTGCCATCACTCTTGTGAGAAGGATCTGTTGCATTAAAAAGGTGCTATTTGATGTTTCTCTCACACTATTATCTCTGTTAAGAGAGAGGAAATCAACATATTCAGCAAGCCAACCTTCCTGACTTGATGCCCTGCAGAGCTTGCTGGATTACAACCCCCATCAGCCCCTGCCAGTGCCTTGAAGTGATGGGAGTTCTAATTCAAAACATCTGGAGGGCACTAGGGTGGGGAAGGCTGGTTTAAGCAACCAAGATATAGATGCAAATATGAATTAAAGCTTCCTTAGTCCACCACCTCTCTTCCCATTCCAGTGACTTCCAGAGTAATAAAAGGAAAAGGGAAAACATAATTCTAAAGATAATGAAATAACTCTTTAACTTGCACACCAGATAGAGGTGAGCAAGATAGGGCAAGTGCTCTCTGTCAGCTTCCAGAATACATTCTTTCTCATGTATCTCTCTCATCTCTCCATCAGTGGACATCTGGTCTGTTGGCTGTATCATGGCAGAAATGTTGACCGGGAAGACTCTGTTTAAAGGTAAAGACTGTATCCTTCTCAAAGGGCTTGCCTCTAGGACAAAAAAATAGTTGCATTAGTGAAGAGAGTGCTTGAAACTGATGCTTTTCATGTTTAAACTAAAAATATAAAGAACGTGGAGGGTGGAAATACTTGTGGGAAGAGGTATAAGCAGCTCTTCCATGTGACCCAAATCCCTTAGGAACTGCCTGTAAACACACGTGTGTGTGTCTCACTTCTAGTCATGTTTGCCTCCTTTTAGCTGACACTAAGCCCCTTTTTCATACCTTAGCTATTTCTCTCACCGCACTGTCCCATCTCCCACAATTTGAAGCCAGATATACTTCATGGATGGTCCCTCAGGCATGCTAGAATCAGTGTTTACTTTTTGTTGGCGAACATCTGGTGTGTATACATACACATAGACAGTCTAGCTAGGAAGAATTGTAGGTGATAACAAAAACCAGCATTATTGTGGCTACATGTTACCTGCTGTCAGAATATATATGGGGATTTTGCTTGGCTACAGGGTGAATCGTGAGCATTTCTATACTGTTTTTCTTGAAGTGTTTTCTCATGGATTGTTCTCATCCCATACACTGGGATGTTGAATCTTTCCTGTCCCCCAAGGCAGACCAAAAAGATATGAAACAGAAAAACCTATAAATCAACACATAGAAATTTTACAGTCACTAACACTGGTTTCAAAGTTTGGCCCCATGTTGATAACCTTTAACTCAGTGTGCCAGATCTAGATCAACTGACTCAGATCTTACGAGTGACAGGCAACCCGGGAGAAGAGTTTGTGCAGAAGCTGGAAGACAAAGCGGTAAGAGAAATGCAAGACATGGATAGAAATGGACTTTTAAAAGCTTTTTTTTTTACAACTATTATTTATTTATTTAAAAATTTCTACATCATCTATTATTTTCACAGAAAGTCTCAAGACAGTTTACAATCATAAAATATTTAATGTTTCTCCCACTTTCTAATAAATTATATTGATTTTTTTGTGCTACATTTCCATTCCATCATTTTTCTAATGTAAAGTGACATGCCCCTTAGGACAGCAAGAATCCCCCTGAAACCAATGAGGATCTTGTTGTAAAGGGGATGTAAATCTTACCACCCTCTTTTTGCAAGCAAAGATCATTTATGTCTTGCCTTTGCACAGTAGTGAAACCAAACTGAAGGGGTGTGTAAGATTATCTGGAACTTCTCTGTGCCAATGTTCAGGTTGGTACCTGCTACATTCTAGCAGCAGGTACTTCCCAGTACTTTTCCAGATGAGGCTGCACACTTTGGACCGCTGTAAGTATGCACACATGTGAGCATGAACACACACAAAATTGGCTTGCAAGTATAAACAGTCCCTCCAAGGTGCCCCTTGGGCATTTTGGAAAGGCTAGCAGTGGCTGTCAAAAGGGGATGGCAAAAGCCCGCTTTCAAGCCAGACTTTGCGATTGCCCGTCAAAACAGCCCCCAAGAGAGAACAAGCTATAATGAGCTTGTGATCATTGTGGGGAGGGCATTAAATTGCCACTTGGGCACTTGTGGTTCAGCTAACATTGGCAGGTGCCTGTGCAAGCTGGACAAAAGGAGCAAGGGTTATTTTGCTACTCTTCCCCAGGGGCTTGGTAGCCAATTCCTGGTACCCAGGATGGGGCTGGTAGCCCAAGTTAGGATGACATGACAGCCTGTTGTGAATACTGCAAGCAGTTCAACAATCAATGGATTGTTAAAATGGCTTGTTGCCCTCAAAGAAGTCATACTGCAGGAATTGATCCTGGCTTGCATGGCACAGCACTCCATTGTGACTTGTCACCAATGGTAGGTTGTTGTGTCTTATGAACCTAGTCAGTGTGGGCTGGTCATGGAGCAACCCACATTATGCCTGAGAGTGATTGGTGAGTATGAACTTCATGGCAGAACCCATCTTGTCTCCTTTCCACACCAGTTACTACCCATCTGCATCCACTGACAAAGTTTTTTTTCCCCTGTAACCTCCAAAAAGTGCAATCAAGATCCTATTTTTTCCCTGGCCCCTGAAAATTGTATAACTGTGTTCATCTTTAAAAACAAAACAAAGCAGTTTTTGGGCTTCTTTGAACACTCTTTTGGCTGTCCAGTATGCATAGATTTTCTGGCCAATTTCCTTGTACATTTCAGCTGGAAGGATGAAGGGGAACATATATGGTGAGACTGCATATAAACTGACTTGTTTACAGCTGCCAGGAAGCAACTGTCAAGTAGTCAATTGAAAAGCACTGGCAAAGTGGGAAAGAAGGTACACCGAAAGGCAGGGAGATATTAGTAGTCCTCTGGATTTTAAGTGTTGAACTGACACATTTCAGTGACCTCCACTTTTCCAATAGTTTCCTGAGTTTCCAGTTACTCCAGAAATCAGGGGAATATTAATCCCCCCCATTTTTTATAGTTCCTTTTCAGAGCACTTATCACTTCAGTTTAAAAAAATCAAATCAAAAGCTTTCCCTCTGAATTGCCTCTTGGGTATTTGTGGAGGGGACGACCCTGATCCGAGTCCATGATGCATTGGGGTCCCATTCTTGCCAAGCAGCTCACTAACTGATCCTCACAAGCCACCCTGGCATTGCTGTCTTGGGTTCACCCATCATGGATGTGACAACCCCAAGACTAAACCTTGGATTGTTGTTACCAATAGATAAGCTTCCCTGTGGGAAGCAGGCTAGATTTGGATGACATAACAGTCCATCATGTCTAATTACCTTTGAGGGGTTGTCATGTTGTGTGAACCCAGTCATAGGATGAGAAGAGGGTAAAGAGGGGAAGTCTGACCTGCCAGTTCCCCACCCTCCACCAGAACACACATAGGCAAGGAGGAAGGCTGTATGCCACTAGTTTGCTGCATAATCCAGCAAACTGCACCCTCCCTGATTAGCAGCACAGGAATGTTCTTCCCCATGTTGTAGACAGGCTTGCAAAGGGACTTAACAGGAGTGCCAGTGCAAAGGCTGAAGTACATCGGGATATGTTTTAACTGGCTGTTCAAAGATGGGATCAGAAGGTCAAAAGACTAAGGATGTAGTATAGCTTTTTGAAGCCTCGGTGAAATGTAAATATTGAAACAGTGATTGGCATCTGGGGATTTGATGGCTGCATGATTTGGGGTGCTTCCAGATGGGGGGCACTTAGCTGTACCAGTCAGAAAGATTTCTGCAGCTGCTCTTGCTTTCCCTCCTTCACTTTTTTTGTGGTAAGAAAAATGATGATAGATATGGTAGGAAAACATGCAAGTTAGAAAAGGAAGATAAGATCATTTGAAAACCCCCACCTCACCCCATCCCCCAAAAATCTGTGAATGAAGCAGGGAAATTGTCCAATGAAAGACTCACCTGAAAGCACCCATTCTATAGTATTTTAGACATGTGACAATTCAGCATTTAAATTTAACTAACAGCACAATCCTATATTACTTCTGCTTACTTAGAAGTCCCGTTCACGCAATCGCTGTGGTAAACCATGGCGTGGGTTGCGGCATGTGCTTGCAACCATTTTGAAAATTTAGTTCCTAGTAGGGGTTGCCCTGGTTTCTTATGTCATCTAAACGTGGGCAACAGGGATTGCTCAAAAGTGAAACAACACTCAAATAAGCAATGGTCTGTGTCTGAACTGTGTTTTTTGCCCTCCTTTCTCACCGAGCTCCTCCAACTTGCCTAAAATTGGTTGAGGGCCTCAGGTTACCTCCCTCTGAAATATAACAAGAGGCAGGTATAAATAGCATGGTGGTGAATTTCTAATACTCAAAGGAGGTTAATATGAGAGGTAAAATGTTGGTTGCATGTGTGAGATTTTGGTTGATCAACAGTGTACACACTGCTTAATATCATCCCTCACCTTTTTCCAGCTGCAGAATCTCTTCATGCCTGTATGAAAGTCTTGTTTCTTTTAGGCTAAAAGCTACATACAATCACTCCCCAAGATTCCCAAAATGGATTTGTCTCTGCTTTTCCGCAAAGCCAGTCCTCTGGGTAAGTTTTATTTCACTTTACTCCTTTGTAAGACATCTTCCCCCCACCCTGCAGGAGTCATGCAGGTCACCTTGCATGATAGGTTAAGAAGTTTAAACCCTTTTAAAAGTTTGGTGTAACACTTCAAAAATAAGAGCTCTTTCTATGGAGCAGAATATCTGACATTTTCTATACGGCTTTGTGTTAGGCGCTGGGATACTTTCATCTGTGAGAGCTGGCTACTGAAATATCTGAGCATTACAAGGCCAATATGTGACATGCTTTTGTCCAATTTCTCCCCCACACCACATAGGCTGCCTAAGAGAATAAGCACAACATCTGTAGCATGTAAAAAGGACAAGGACTGAGAAGGAAACTGTCTTGACAGATTGGTTAATTTCTAGGTTTCCTGTCTTCCTGTTTTTCAAGCCTAGTGTAATTTAGCTTGCTTAATTTGCCAGGAGAAATTTTAAAGCATGAAATAACTACTTGCTCTTATAATCTGAATCTGTTGAATATTTAAGTTAAATCTCTCACAAAGAAATTAACTAGGAGCTGCTTTAAAAAGGAATTGATGTATTTCTGACACTCCCAAAATTTGCATACGATCACACTGAGAAACTTAGCAAATGAACAACAGGTCACTGTTTTGGGGTGATTTCACATGAGGTATTTATTGTGTAAGCACCCTGGTTTGCCACCCATGTTGTCCATACAATGTTGTCAACAGTTTGTAAGCAGCCCACTTTTGTCTGGTGCTCATCCTGTCCTTTTTCTTAATAGAAACATCGAGGGGTTTTTTTAAGGCATCCTACAAAAAGTGCCCTTATGTTACACAGAAGTCCTGTAGTAGTACTGCTGCTTCTTGAGATGTGGTACTACTGTGAGATGGTCTCCTACGTTTCTTGAGGTGCATTTCACAACATCTCTTCCTCTTACTCTGCATCTGAGCACAAGCCACTGCATTTCCGGCATCAGTGGAGCCACAGTCAGTTTTACTTTTGCTGAGGCAACATCTGATGAAGGATTTGTGCAGATTGGCTATAATGGAAGAAGCGTTTCTTGAAAAAAGCAGGAAAGACTAGATTTGTTTATTCTCTCTCTCTCTCTCTCTCTCTCTCTCTCTCTCTCTCTCTCTCTCTCTCTCTCTCTGTGTGTGTGTGTGTGTGTGTGTGTGTGCGCGCGCGCGCGTGCATATGCATGTGTGCACCCAGGGAGGTGCGGGAATATAGGACAAGCTGAGGAATAATGATGGTAACATCGAGTCCTTTGAATATTATGCAAAGGAAATGGCTGTCTGTGGCAGAACCACACAGCACTCAAGGACTGCTCCAAATTCTTCAAGTCCATCAGCAATAATTTTAGCTGTGGTGGCAGCAGTTGCAGTCAACTGACAAGTATTGCTTTTCTTTGTGGGAGGAAGACTAGACTTTCCAACTTATCCAGAAGTGCTTCCTCCCATCTCCGTTCAAGGCATAAATAATAGGGAACGTTAGCTTAGATTCTCCTGAGCTATACTTACAGTCCTTACAGACCTGGGGACTAGAATGATCACTGTTCCTTATGGGTGATATTTTGGGCAGGGTGTGTGGCTTGCAGTCAAAGGGTGAGCATTGCTCCCCCTTTAGGGAGGAAGTTTGGACATCTCAACTTGCACAAGAGCTGTGTATACCTCCCCCCCCCCGCCACATGTATATTGTTTTGTAAACATAGTCACATGCGACTTTTGATGTTTGCTTACATCTGCTACACACATCGCTACATGTAGGCTGTAGACCATGCCATGTGTTGCATTAAGAAGTCGTTTGAAAACACCACCCTGCCTCTCCATGGACGTTCTTGGTGAAGGAAGGGACGGGGTGCACCACATGTGGTGGAGTGGGCAGCTGACATCTGGCAACATTCTGGCATGCTCCCGACCATCAATCGGGGAAACATGGTAGCAATGCGCAGCAAGGGGGAGGAACAACGCAAGGATTGTGCTGTAGTCAACCTGTCACAATTCCGTGTTTGGATCAGTTACTCCTTCTCAGCCTAAGGAGGAGAGGAGGAAGATTATGCAAGCCACGTTGTATTCCTTGCAGGAAAAAAGGCAAGCTATAAATGTAATGATAAACTATTGCAATGAATGACCTCATCTGGAAGCACCTATAATCAATAGCAATTCTAGTGGTGGCAATTTTTGAGCTATCACTTTCAGAAATTGCAGCTGATTATTTGCAATCTGCTGGTTCACAAATTTCATTTCTCAGTCTGAGTATCTGCGATTCCTTAGAATTGTTCACACAGGGAAAAATGTGAACTACCGTAAGTTGGTTTTACTTCTGCTTTACTTCATTTTAGAACAAATTTTTGAATTTGATGTAATGGTTATATTAGAGTGAACTTCCTCCAACCTGGTGCTTCCAAATATGTTAAATACCCCAGTTAGCAGGACTGCATGCCATTACAAAGAAAAGGGGCATTTTGAAACATTAAAAAGTATTGGGATCACATTCCACCTTTTCATATATTTGCTCTGAAGGGCTGATAAGCAACCCTGCTCATCCTTAGCAGGCCTATGGATGAAGTGCAAGTCTTATCATTCTGGGGATTTTTTTGGTGGGGGAGTTGAGCCCAAAATCCTTAATAATGTTCTAAATGTAAAAATGATCAAGAGGGAAAAATCAATATCGTTTCATCTCTGAAGCTAAGAATGTCTGAGACTGTACAACAGCTGGATTGAATTTTTATTGAAGGATAATGTGTTGAGCTCCTTTCATGGTAATGGGATACAAATATAATAAAGAAAACCATTTGGGATTTATTAGATGAGGTGCCGCAGCTGGACATGGGAAGGTGCCTCATTTATTTAGATAGTTTCATTATTAAGCCATTATTCTTCCAGAGTCACCCTTGCGGCAAGTGTTTCTGCCTTGTTTAACTAGTGATGCTCACTTCCTTTCTTGCAGCAGTGGACTTGCTTGACAAAATGTTGCAGCTGGATGTGGGAAAGCGTCTTACAGCCACCCAAGCTCTGGCCCATGCATACTTTGACCCTTTCAGAGATGTTGAGGAAGAGACAGAGGCACAGCAGTCCTATGATGATTCCATTGAGGGTGAAAAACTTTCCATCAATGAATGGAGAAGTAAGTTGGCTATGCCTAAAGATTTGCCTCCTACAACCGTTGGATAATGAGCTCAACCAGGAAAGCAGAAAGCATCTCAGGGTATAGAAGCATCTTCCCATCAGATACAAGCCAGAGTTGCAATCATAAGTGCAAGGCAGATGAGGTCCAAAATGCATGATAAGGAAAGACAAGGAAGTATTCCAAGCAATTACAATTGTCTCAACAAAGATTCTTTAGCTTGAACACTGCCTTAAATACAAGGGAGGGGTTTGCTAAAGCTTCCCCTTCTGCCACTTTCTAACAGGGAAATCTGACCTGTAAACAATCACGTTGTCTCAGGGGACTTCATATTCTGGCTGACCCTGAACTCTGGTGCTCAGTAGTCTTCTTCCTATATTGTTCACACACTCCCTGGCTGTAAGGCAGAGCCCTCCTTCAAGGCTGCCTCTTGCAGCTGTGACTGTGGGGTGTCATCCCCCAGTTGGGCTGCAATCAGATGGGAAACTAGACCAAGGTGGCTCCTGGGTCCCAAGCTTCCCACAATTGGACTCCAAGGTTCCCAGTTATCCTGCTCGAACTCTAGATCAGATACTGGCTGTAAAGCCATAAAGCCCACAGTGGAGAGAAGACAATTTTCTACCTGACTTTAGGCTCCTACAGGTGGATGAGCTACATGGCCTGGCCACACCCACTTGGCATGATCTGTAGACCAGCTATGGGCAATCTGCATCCCCCCACTTCCCCCAATGTGCAGACGGTGAGCTTTCTGCTGGCTGTCGGGGACCAGATTCCCCTTTCACTGTTGCTGTGAACTACAGAGGAACAGTAATCTTGACTAGTAGCACTGACGGTAAGAGAGGGGCCTTAACCTCATCTCCCCCCAGTGATCCTGATGCAGAGATCACCATTCCCTCACTGCTAAGAGGAGCAGGGAAACAGCAGTTTTGATCAAGCTTGCCAAGGAAGGGTGAAGTCCAAGCCTCTCTTCATTCAGTGATTCCCATTCTGATGTATTAGGAGGCCCAGTCAATACCAGTCCCAGCCAGTCAGGCAGCCCCCGAATGAAAAAAGTTTGTCCACCCCTGCTATAGACAGAGGAGTACATGTGAACTGGTTGGCTGGATACTTCTCAGGATCACAAAGAAGAGTAGAACAGTAAGAGCAAGTGTGTGGATTTAGCCGGTCTGGCAGGTAAACAGAAGTTTCAAGTTTAAAGTCATTTAGTTTCAGGCCTTTTCTTTGCACCTTTCTAATAAATTTAGCCAATCGGCTTTAGTCTATGCCCATGTTTGTTAGCTGTGTGAACCAGTGGGTGAACCCCCTCCCACATATCTAGATGGGCATGCTAACATGGGGCTCAGCAAACCTGAAATGCAAGGTGTTTAACTGAAACAAATGCTGACTTAAATTGTTGCACAACGGTAGACCAAACATCTTTCCTCCAATCCCTTATGCTACCACCGGCTCCCAAGTTTCAGAATACAACTTCCCCCTGCTTCTACTGCCTTTCTCAAAGCACTCATTATCCATTCTTATTCTCCCTCCTCCATCATCTCTAGCTGTGTCGGAGATGAAAATTGCCCTGATTCATAGAGTTTATAGGATTTCAGATGGCATCATCTTCCATTTTTAACCCTCCTGTATTTTCCAGCCATGTCTTCCATATTTTTTTCTTACCAGAAAACAAGAAACAATTAAGGAGGGAAAGGCAGGATAACTGCTCAATGCCTTTGGATTGACAGCACAGAGAGTTGTCTGGAAGGACCCCATATTCTTGGCACCAACTGCACTTTCTTTCTTTTTTTCAATCTGTTAATAAACATTTCAGATTTATTAGAACATTGGAAGGCATCCTGTTAGCTTGCAGCTCAGTGTGTTTGGTGTGCTAAATAGGCTTGACTCTCTTAGGGAAGGTACCTAAATGGTGTAGGTTGACGGCCCCACCCTACTGCCCTGACACCCCACCCCCATGCAGGGCTGCTGATCTGGGTCATTCTGTGCCAGCTGCAAGGAAGCGTGGTCTTCAGCATCCAAGCACCAAGGCCGGAAGGTCTCAGTGCTGCAGCTCTTGAAGATCCTGTGGACCACTAGGTGAAATTCCAAGGCCCAAGGGTTGCACCTTAGTGACTTTACAATAAGAATGCCAACTTTCTCAAATATTTGCAGTCCTAAATCAAATGTTTCCCTTGTATTTAAAGAAGCAGAATATTTAATTCCGTATTCCCAAAATGCTGACATCCCTCAGGATATTTCAGATTGTCCCACAACAGGGACTTGCATCAGTCTGAGTTTTCATTGTAGTCATATCCCCATTCAGAAGATCTGTGTAGTCTGAACATGCATGCACTCATATCTTTTTCTTCTCTTTCAAGGGCATGTTTACAATGAAATACTGTCCTTCAGCCCAATTGCACGAAAAGACTCCAAGAGGAGAAGTGGTATGACATTGTAAGCGCTGGCATGCCTGACACTGGGCTGTCTTTCCCATGATACAACGTAGATCAGCATTTTGACCCCAACCAAGAGTAAATATTCATCAGCAGGAAAAAGTCTGCATATGTAGAACATAAGGACTAAATGTATAATGGGAGTGCAGTCTTAATCTGAAGGCAAGAATTGCACAAGCAACATCTTTCTCTGCCAAAAATGAAGATGCTTCTTATTAAAAGTACTTTGTGATATATTGTAACCTCCACATTTTTTTATATTTTTGTAATTTTGTGTTTTGTAACTGGTTTGCTGATTGGTTGAAAAAGCTACAGTGTTACCAGAATTCTTTTTGTTATAGTTCGTGGAGTCCTTTCTCTGCCTGAATTAGGAACTTTGCATCCTCAAGTGAATAAGGCTGGCCGCATTTAAAGGAATAAAATAAACACTGGTGTAAGAAAGTACAATTAGAAAACCACAAGGATTATGGACAAAGTCTTACAGACTTGAAAGTAAATTAGTGCCCCTCTATTCTTATTTGTCTGACATTAGGCCTTACTCTGAAAGGGAAATGCCTACATGATTAAAGCAATGATAAACATATGAACTGGTTTTTCAGACAATTCAAGACATCTTTGAGTTAAGGTCACTCAAAATTATTCTATGTACAACCACTGGATGATTAAGGAGGAAAAATAGACCACAGAGCTGATTTTCCCTCTCCACCCATGCCGGATGCAACCCACCAAATTAGCAGAATTGCCATCACTAGGTGCAGGGGGTTCTGACTGCTGAACCCAGTGAGACTGGGCAGTTTATGAACCACTCTGAAACCCTAGAACAAGCCATTGGTTTCAGGGTGACTTATAAACCACTTTGGCCACCCACCATTGTCAGGTTCAGACATCACAAACTACATCCAGTGAGGGTAATCATGCTAATTAGGTAGCTTGCAACTGTCACGCTTAAGGAGAGAAAATAAATTACCATGGCTTATTTTTCCTCTGCGAGTCTGTGAACTTGGCCATTCAATCACTGAGCTACTTAGCACTTCACATTAAGCCACAGTGACTTAGTAGCATGTGCAAGCAGCTATTTTGCATGTTCAAACCATAGCAATGGCTTGCCATGTTGTGCAAATCTGGTGACGGTGGACTATTGGTGTGGTTAATAATTTACCCACAATCCACAGGTTGTGTATTTAGTTATTTGCAACATTGGCAACCCAAGCATACTGCATTGCTGGTGTGGGTAACCAATTGCAACTTGAATATGCAGAAGTCCACTGGCATGTACCACAAGCCACCATAACTTAAACAAGCCACGGTGGGCTGCAGCATGTGAATGGGGTTACATGGTTTAAGCAGGTTCGGCCCAAGAAATTTTGCTACCTGAGGCAAAGCAGTGCATGATCACTGCTCCCCACTCCTAATCAAAGTATCCAAAGCCACCTAGTTCTTTTGGCACATGAAGCAGAACATTCCATAGCCATTCTCCCACCTCTGACAACAGATGTACAACGACAAACTAATTTGCTGCTGTTTGATGCCCAAAATCTACTGCTTGACCTGACTAAAGATAGGCAGCCCTTTCTGCCTAAAGATAGGGCTGGTCCTAGAATCAAGGGGAAAAGTGAACCTCCAAAGTCTGTTGTCAATAATGTTAACACTGCAAGTTTGAGTAGCACTTAAATATTAACAAACATCTCAACAGACTGCAACTGCAACATATAAAGTGTGGTGCAAATGGATGTAGATACTGGTGTGGGAGGCAAAGATGATAAAATAGAAACATTAAGAGCAATCTGTATATACACTGCCAAGCTCCTCTTTGCACTGAAGCAAGAGCCCCTGAAACATGAGAATCAAATATCAATGCCCACGGGCAAAAAAAAATGCCTTAGCATGTGGACTAGAATTACGAGGACAAACTGAGAAAGAGCTGATGGAATAGCAGTCTTTTACAGGTACTCACAGGAAAAACTTGGCAATTACACAAACTATTTAAAATGATAGTAGGGGAGCATGTGATGGAATGAGGTATAATCCATAAAGTATGTCCCATTTTAAAGACACTTTTAACACCTATTCCTGTGTCACAATTTGTCCCTTCCCTTGACTCCTTTTAAGCCTGTGAAATACTTGCATTTCATTTTCCATGTTACAATCACATCGATGCTTTTAAAGGAAAAGAAAATAAACAACTGCCTGCAGCCACCATAACACCCATTAATAACTTGCAGAACAGAACGGGCTGCCTTACAGCTCCCCCCACCGCCCCATCCCACAAGGAGTGCCTTGACAGAGTCATCGAGCTGCAGCAACCGTGTGGATTGCCTTACATCTCCGCTACCCCAGCGATGGCCCCTGGACTCAAGCATTGAATTGCAACCATCTTCAGGCTCCTAAACTGGCCAAGTGACCCTTGGAATATCACAACAAACTATGTGTTGGCAGGGTCCCCCAGCCCCATTTGTGCCAGATAGGCTTCTGTCAGCAGGGAAACATTAGGAATGGACATGCTGCGCTGCTCCAGCGGCCTTGTGCTAAAGCACACTCTGACAACAGAGGCCCAGATATTAAGACCTAGCAGTTAATGTATTAAATCCAATCTCATTTGCTGTTCACAAAACACCAGTCATAAATAATTGACATGTGTGACCTGCAGAAGCTTTCTAAAAAGTCAGACTGTAGCAGAGTAAGGAAATGTCTCAATGGCAAACAATGATGTTTATTTTGAAAAGTCACCAGTTTCTTTGCAGACCTCTTGTGAAACTATGTACTCTACATGGCTACTTGTTCCACTATTGCTGCCTTTAGGTCCCTAAACATTATTAAATATGTGCCTTCCTTTCCCATAGTTCAATGCACTTTTATTTCTTATATTTGTTTCATAGGAATTAGCAGGTACAAATGTTGACTTTCCTCTCGTTTACACAGAAATACTGTGCAATTCATGCAAATTCTCATTTACATTTCACAAGCACAGGCCTGCTCTCAGTACATATTAAATGCAATGACAATAATGAGATAAATTCCTGGAAAAAATGGGATAGTCACTTTGCTCATGGCAGGCTCAGACAAATATTTAGAAGCTTGTTTTTAAAAACTGTCTTGGGGCACACTCATTCTGAATCTGCACTTTCTAATATGAGTGGGTTCATCATGCACCCAGATTATGGGTATGCTTGTAAGTAGCCAAACTTGTATGAAGGGCTAGCATGTCCAAGATTAAAGTACATGACAAACTGTATTCAACAAAACATTCCTGTTCAGATATAACGGTCTTGGTCTAGTACCTGATTTTGATGGGCTGTATAAATAAAAATGTTTTTTTCTTGGTGCCTGGTGATCTTCTTTGGGGAACAAACTGAAAACTGCTGTGATACTGCCAAAAGAACCTTCTCCCTGGTTGCTCCTTGTCTCACCTTACCCAAAGGGCTTTGGCAGATGATCTTAAAGTATAGGCAGGCATTTATTGCTCGAGTGATTTTAAAGGTGAGTGCCAGCACCTTGAAAATGAGCTCAGAACTCAACATAATGACACTTAATTCTTAATTTGTTGGACAGAGAACAAATCTTTTGCCTGAACATGACCTCCTTATCCCTTCCTTCACAAGCCTGTCTTTGAAGATACCTGGGTTGTTAAAACTAGTACCTCAACCACCTAGCCACACCATTGGGAATTTCTGCGAATTTTAAATTGCTTCTACATGCTTTTGTCTTGAGGCTGTCTACTCACCCTCTTTTGTGCTTCCTACAATTAACTTCCCCCCACAGCTATTATCTTGGCAGTGACTAGTGCTGCACTCTTCTATTAAAAGGAAGCATTACTTGATCTGGCTAGTGTTAACAAACTGCCAAGAAAAAAATCGTATTACAGCTGCCCTTGGGAAAGTGTCTTCATTTTGGAATTCTTGATAGTCACAAGAATAGCAAATTCTTCTATTAGTATATAAGATGTGGACTGCTCTATTCGCATAACACTGCTGCACTGATAGATTTCTAGCTTCTTTTTCAGAAGACACTTTGATAGAAGTCTGTTCTGCATAGAGGATTAACAGATGCAACATGGAGAACTAACTGGATTTAATTTGGAAACAATATACTGAGTATACATGTGCTGGCCATGTTTGTGTACTCTGAAGTGCTTGCCTTTAAAAGGGTCATGATAACTCAGTCTCAACTTCCCCATACTTCCTCAGTGTCCAAACCTGTATAATACAAGATGTTAGTACTGTTCCAACAATAACTTTTCTACATAAACCTGATACTTTGCAAGAAGATGAGCAGATGAATTTTAAGAATATTCTGAAACAGTTAGTGTGTTAAGTCTCTTTATTATATGATCCTACCAGCTTGTTAGGAGTACCAAGAAATTTTGGTTACCCTATCTCTAAATACCCCAAAATATACAATGGTAAGTTATAACATTTTTTACTGTGGTCAGAGTCTGTATCAACACCCAGGATGGCTGGTACAATTGTTAGAGAGATAGATTGTTAGAGAAGTAGAGCCTATTAAATGCACCAAAGTGCCCTTTAGTACCACTACCTATTTCTCTCATAATCTCTGGAAGGAAGCTAACCCTCTCTGTTGGTGCAGGGTGACTTTCAAACACATTGCCCATAGCTATTTCTGAAAAACTGCCAACACAGTAAGTGGTATGCCTATTGTCACTTCCACAAACCCCAAAATTACCCATTTTAATCTGATCCTATTCATAGCATGAAAGTGCCACATATCAGATCACTCTCACGCAAAGGAAATATCCCTTTCATATGCCTCTCAGGTAGTAAATAGTATTACTAAGTCTTCCCTCTTATCACCTCTTCTGAAATAAAGGGCCAACTACAACAGGGCAATTCTGCTTTCTTCAGAATCTACTCACTCTTTGTAATTAGGTTATTTGAAGGAATACAGAAGATTTCATAGTCATAACATACTTAGTTGGAGTTATCACATATGGGACAAACATATATATAGTCACACAAAGCTGTTCTTAGTACAGTGCTTTGGTACAAATGAAAAATGAGAAACTACCTGGAAAAGATATAATATGGCATGACTTTGCATCAAACACAGCTCATACTGGCCCAACTTTTTGTGTGTAACTTACCTAACCCATATTGGTAAGACTGTGGCAGCACACCATCTGTGTGAATTATTTGTCTACAGCAAGTATAACCATTGCCAAAGGAAGATAAAGCTTTCTTCTACATGCAATATGTGAAGTCAGCCCTCCTTTTCAGCAGCTGTGATAGAAAACCTTCATACTGTACCACCTGCACAGGAATACTTATGGGTGCTTGTTCCATCACAGGTCTTCCTCTGAACTGGCTCCATCAAGACACAGGTATGCCAACTCCTCTACTATTTATAAGGAGGCAGCCTGGGTTAGGGCTGCTTTACATTACATAGCAATGACTCTCCTGTCTGTGCTAACACCACATTTTGTGTATCACCAGGGGATACACAAAATACTTGCCCTTTGCTGGCCATAACTACCTAATGAATATGCCATAAGCAAATTACACATGTGTTCAGGCAGAACATGTGACAATCTTCATGAGATTCACATACATTTGCTGTACAGTAAAGACTTAGTGTAGGACTCTGATCATGGAAACAAGTTCTGTGGTTGCTACAAGATGATCCCCAAGAACCCAATGGTTTAAGACAACAAATCTTTCCCTACCTCCCCAGCATTCAGATAAGCTCCCCTGGGAACCAGCTCAGGGTTCCCCCACACCTAATGCAACACAGTGCATCCGAGGGAATCAGTCCCAAAGGTCTGCCCGCTACAGTGCGGTGCTCATTAACTTATTTCGGCGGCAGCGTCCCCCCCACGCCAACCGCTGCCCCCGGGCCTCCAAGATTCGTGTCCAGGGAGGAAAGGCAAGGGGGGGCGGTCCCTGTCCGGGGGGGAAGAGAGAGAGCGGAGCGCGGTAGCAGCCCCCTCCCTCGCCGCCTCTTTCCCTCCCCCCCCCTTCCCTCTCTCTCGCTCTCTCTCCATCGTTTGGCCGGGCTGCGCTCCTGCCGCCGCCGCCTCCATCTTGCCTCCCTTCGCTCCCTCCCCCACCCCGCAACAGGAGCCGGAGCCGCGGCGGAGGCGCTGAAGCGAGCGGCAACGGGGCCGAGGAGGCTGGGAGCCGTGGGCATGAGGGGGCGGCGCTGAGAAGACACGGGCTGAGCCGACATCTTGCACCCCTCCCCCCTCGCCGACGCTGCGAGCCCGTCTGCCCCGCGGAAGACCCGGTGCCGTCGCCAAGGAAGACGAGAAAGCGGCCCAGGCAAGTAGAGCCGGGACTCCCCCACGCACCGGCAACCTCGTTCCTTTCCCCCTTCCCTCAGTCCTGCTCCCAGGGTCGCGGGAAGGTGACCGAGCTGAGCGGGAAGGGGGTGGCAGGGCTACAGAGGCCTAGCGCCCTCCGAGCTGCGGGGAGGGGCTCCCTCCAAGGCGCCTTATACCGGGGTTGAGAAGGGAAATAGTGAGTGAGAACACGGGGGGGACAGGGAAACCGATCCCCGCCATCTTGTTCGCCCTCAAAACCGGGACACCATTCACCACGCCCACCTTCCCCTTCCCCATTGGTGTAGTCGAGGATACGTCGCGCCCGCCCGCGCGCTGGTTGCGGCTATTGACGGAGGGGGAGGACGATGGACAGCGGTGGCGCCCAATGAGAGCTTGGCTACGACTGTTTCCTTTACCTGCCCTGTAATTAGTCGAGGGATTTCCCCCTCAGAGGGGCTTGTAGATGTTGGCAAATTGATACTCAGCCCCTCTTCCCCACCCAGTCTTCCCTTTGCTTTGGATGGAGCCGGGGTCGCTCACATCTGGTAGTTCAAGGGTGTTGCACGCTCTATCACGTGAAAAGGCCTGAGTTGTGGCACAGACCAGTCCAATCCCCTGGGGAAAGGTTTCTCTTGTGAGGCCTGATAGGTTTCTGCTTCTCCGTCTGTACTGCAGGCTTGATACCTACTAGTGCATGTGCATTCGGGCCTCCCTGGAAAAGCCTTTAGTAGCACCCCAAAGGCCTCGCTGTTCTCAGAGTACAGTTTTTAGAGATACTTTAGTATTGGCAGGTTTATAGCTAGAATAAGATGTTGTCCATAAAGTGGCACACAAACACACACTGATGTCAGCTTGGTGGCAGGGAATCATCTCTCTGTTGAGTCTGTAGCTGAGTTCTCTGTTGTGACTTCTGTGGCACCCTTTATGGTAGATTCTTGAGTGGCATCTGCTGTAAGTGCATTCGAGATACAAACATGCACACAGAACTAAGAGAGTCTAGTATGGTCTAAATGTTGCTTTATTGTATTGACTCCATAAAGTCCATAGAATGGGAGCGAATAAGTTATTCCATGGGCAAGTCCAGAGGCACAGTAACTCATGCATTGGGGGTCACTTTCTTCTCAGGACATGGTTTGGTCATAATTTTCATTGCTTGCGAACTGCTGCTAGAGTTGGATATATAGAAAAGAAGTGGTTGGAGCTGAATACACAAAGAACACCCCACATGTGTCTATACTTACAGCATTTGATTTTTTTTAAAAATATGTTGCTTTAGAACTGTTCATTTTGCATTCATTCAATAGACATTACAAATTCACAGACTGGCCTATATGGCTGGTTAGTTCCAGTTGGTATATACAACTCACTGCTACTTCCTTGTCTCTTCTGGCCCCCTTAGGGCTGCCAGATCACAATGCTACTGTAAGGGTAGAAGCCCCACCTGGCAGAATTTCCCTGTGAGGGTCTCTTAAGTATCCTCTCTGAGCAGACTTTGCTTCAGTTCTCCATCTTATCATTTGTGCTTTTATTCAAATCTCATTCTCCTCCTTCCTTAAATCCCTCTTTCTATTGTCTGTCTTGTTCTTTGGATTTTTTTTACCTTCCAATCAACCTGTATGGAGCTTTGATTTCAGCCAAACTGACAACTTTGCATTCCTTCACAGAATTGGACAGCAAAGTGTTTAGCTCTCTGGCATCTAAACATTCTGACCTGATTCAAATTATCAGAACAAACTACCAAGTGATTTGTTGGGAGCTGCTTTGCATACCAAGTGTGAACTGCACAATTGCCACCTGGCTGTGGCCTATCATGTAACCCAAACCCAGGAGGCACGGCTAGTTGAATGGTTAACAACTCTTGAATCACCCATGTACTGTTGCAGGGTTATTTGAGGGTTGTTTAACCTTTCCAACAAGCCATACTTGGCTGATGTAATAAGCCACGGCCTGGAGGTGATTATGCAAATTTTGTCTGGCACATGTTGTGGCTTGTTTTGATCATGAAAACTGGCCCTTTGAGTCTCATACCGGTTCAGCCAGTGTCAAAGGCTTCTGTGCCAGAATCATAATCTGGATTACTCTGTGAGAAACTTTTGGATCTCATTATGTAGCATGTGGCACAGAGCATAGGCATAATTTTGTATATAAGGTGCATACTTTGTTTTTAATTCAATAGATGCATGATAGAAATATTGTTTAGAGGCATATGGAAAGAATGGGATAAAAGGTGTTATAATAAGAGAAAACAGTCTAGACAAAAGCTTCAACAGGGAGTTGTCATATATTGTTCTTTGGTAACATGCTGAGTTGGTGGAAACAGGGTGACAGAGCTGAAGCAGTTTGACCTGATGATAATTTGCAAATGTTGGAAGTAGTCAAGGGCCAAAATCTTGGAAGGGAGGACAGGGAAGGCCATTTAAGGAAGGTAGAAAGTTTGGTAGTACTGTGTGTACACACTGAAGGAAAGCTACTGTAGTATCGGAGCAGAAGGTATACTCAATCCTCAAATATTCTTTGCAATAATATAACAATGAAAGAAGCATGGTCTTATGTCACAGGAGTGGGAGGCCAGAAGCAAGGAATTAAATTGTGTTTGTGATCTGTGAGTAATCTGTATAGTTAACATTTTCTAATAGGTGCTGAATTAGCATGCTGTTAGGATGCTTTGAGTATGAAAAAGCAAGGAAATGCAACTGAGAGCAATGCCTATCTTATGTAGCCAGCTGGCAGCGTTCATGATTATTACAAAAGAAAACCAAAAAAGTGTGGAGGGGCTAATAGGCAAACCAGGGATTGCTAGCTTTTGTATTCTTTGGGAAGAGGCAATTTTCTTTCAGAACTGGAATTGTATTTTGCACGAAAGTATTCCTTTGCTAGTAGTTAAGCACTATGGTAAGGTGAGAAATCATTAAAGCATTCCTGGAGCATTACTTACAGAATCCAACTGGAAATGTATCATTAATGTGTGAAATAGTTTTTATTCATGGTCTCTGTGCATCAGATCTTTGAAAATGATTTTTTCTTTCACAAGTGGAATTTGGTTGTTATGTCCCCTTAAGTTGTCACTATCTTATTGAGACCCTGTGAATGAAAGCCCTCAAATGTTCTATCCGTGACAGCCCTGCTCAACACATGTAAATTCAAGGCTGTGGCTACTTCTATGGATCTCATACTAGGTCTTCCTTTTCTTCTGGCTTCAACTTTCCCTAGCGTGCTTGTCTTCTCCACTGAGTCTTGTTCTTTTCTTTTTAATGTTTAAATTATACTTATAATACTGCCTTGTTTTCCTTTCAATGAACCAAGGAAGCTTACATAACTCTCCTCCTCTCAATCTTATCCCCACAACAAGAACCTTGTGAGGTAGGTTGGGCTAAGAGTCTTGACTGGCCCAGAGTCACCCAGTTAGATCCAGGGCTCACTGGGGACTGGAAGCCAGATCTTTTGAGTTCCAATCCTGCAGTCTTAATCACTGTGCCCAAAGTATGACAGCCTCTATTTTGTAATTTTCATATCTATGGAAAGTTCTGACTTGATTTAATCTAGGACCCACTTATTCATATTTCTGACAGTCCAGAGTATTCACAAAGCTCTCTTCCAGCCCCAACTTTTGAACGCATTATTTTTCTTCCTGTCAGCTTTCTTCACTGTTCAAATTTGGCAGGGTTCCTAGAGGCCTGATAAAACAATTTTATGGACCTTGTTTGAGCTACACATTACTTGTTAGCTATCCTGCCACCCTTCATTAAAAGGGCATCACTTCTAAAGTTCACAAAAGTTTTAAACAAGTCCTATTTTATCAATGTATTTTTCAAATCTTTTATATTCAGCCAGTGCATATTCAAGAGCTAGTATAGTGTAGTGGTTAGAGCAGCCTTTCTTACCCAGGGTTCTCTGAACCCTAGGATTCTGCAAAAGTTTGCCAGGGATTCTGCGAGAGGTCATGGGTGTGTGTTTGTATAAAATAAACATTGTGTTTTCACATTCACATGCGTGTGTGTTGTAATATAAAATCATACAAGACTTATTGCTTGAGGAGCCATTCTGATTGCCCTAGTTGCTAGGAGGAGGGAGGGGGCCCAGAGAGTCCTTGGGAAGGGATCAGGGTGGGAAGCATCTGCTTGAGTTGGTGCCTGACATGAAACAACCAGCAGTGGTTCTTATTTCACCTCCTTTCATCACACCCTCCCATGCTTTACAGACAGGTGTTGGCCACTCAGGGGAAGGTGTGAGAAACAGGCCCCAGCTGGTGAACAGTGCAGGGGGAAGAGGTGATCTATCTCTGAGGTGTGGTGCTGGGACAAAGCAAAGGAGGAGGTTGCTCACTTCCCATGTGGCTGGTGAACTCTTTCTACAGGCAGTCCAGGCTGGGCTAGAGGAATCTTTCCCCTCTTAATCTGCAAAACAGTTCTTATGGGAAAGGTGGTAGGTGGTAAGGCACATTAATAAATAAATAATAAGAATAATAATATCTATAACATTAAATTTGGTGATACTTCTGAGTACATGTGAACAGGTGAACTGAGAGGTTCATAGACTTGGGAAGATGTTGCAAAATCCCCCTTCCCTTACTTGATGCCCAAAGTTTGACTCAGATTTAAGTATATGTGTAGCAAAAAACAAGCACAGGTTTCGCATTAAAGAAACACATCATTCTTCATTTTAGTTTCCAAAATAACACTGTTTTGGCAGTATTTTTGTTCATGTTGATTTGATTTATCTTATGGTTTTCAATAACCATCCTGTTCAACATTGCTAATAAATTTGTAAATATTGTAAATCGCACTGATTAAAATCAATTTAAATTAAATCCAGGGCCTACCTTTATGACAATTTTTATGCAGGGGTTCCCTGAGAGATGAAAAATATTTCAAGGGTTCCTTCAAGGTAAAAAAAAAAGTTGATAAAGTCTGGGTTAGAGTGGGATCTGGGAGATAAAGATCACAGCCATATCTCAGCCATAAAACTCAATGGGTAACTTTGAGTCACTCCCTCTCAGCC